CCGACTTTGTCTAAATGAAGTTCTTCTCGAAGTTGGTCAACACACATTGCATCGGGCAAATCTTGTTTATTGGCAAATATGAGAATAGGTTTATCTTCGATACGATCATCAGTAACTATTTTATGAAGTCTTTCACGTGCTTCATCAATGCTTAAATGGTCATTGGAATCAACAACAAAAATAAATGCTGACATTCTTCTATAATATTGTGTTACTATAGCACGATGTCCTGAACGACCACCTATACTCCAGATCAGCAGAGGAGTTTCGTCAATAGTTATCTTTTCAAAATCGACACCGATTGTTGGTAAAAGGTCAGCAATTTCGCCATATTTTGTCATGCGGACGATTGTTTTTTTACCTGAATACGAGGGTTTATACATAATCTATGAAGTTACACACATATACATACCAGCTCCATAGGGTCCAGTTATAAGTACTGACAATACTTTATTTTTCACGTTGTCTGCTGTTGCTTGATTAATGGCTGATGAACTCATTTGTTTCGAAAAAGCACCATTGTTACACAGAAGATTCGATTGAAGAAAATGTCGTTGAAGTATTTGATAGTAGCAAAAGGAACGCTGTATTTTTCTCTTTTGCATACGTGGCAGTACTTACGCAACCATAAAGTAATTCTTATCGTATGTTGTTATAAATTATAAGATGAATAATGCTCAGATTCGTACGACTAATTCTAATCTAAGAAGTTCTAGTCGGACTATTTGATCATTGAAGTTGACCATCCAAAAGCATTTCTATATAAATGTCTTTCCTTCGTTTAGCTGAAAATTTGATTTTACACAATAAGTGATGTAAAATCGAAATTGCATAAGGAACTATTCATCTCGTCATTTGAAAATGCACAAAGAGCACGGATAAAGTAATTAGTGATATCCTCACACTCTGCAAGAGAATCCGAAATCTGGATTACTCATCCCGGTTATGTGTCATTTAGTTTTGCATGAAAAACATTGATCGCCGAAAAAACAAACACGTGGCTCTCATTAACGTGCACAAAGATAGAAAGGAAGCAAATAACGTGTACAATTTATTCCCAATTTCTTGCGATATATTGGATAGACTTTATCTTTGCACAAAATAATGAACTTACAGAAATCGACCACACTCGATAGATCAAGTGACATGAAGCAAACAATGAAAATATCTACTAATTCAGAGAGCAGAACTCACGATCGACAAAGAGGTATTCAATTAATACAAAATGTCGTTCTCATTTGGTTAGACAATCGCATGAATATCGATAACATGAACCATCATGATACAATGATTCAATTGAAATGTGTTGTCGACAGCATCTATACATTCAATGATTATGATCAATGTGTTGATTTCGTCACAGACATTCAGAATGAGAAAGTTTTTATGGTAATTTCCGACATATCGTGTGAAAACATTGTACCTTTGATTCATGATAATAACCAACTTTATGCAATCTTTATCTTTGGGAGTCATTCAAACGAACATGAACAATGGGCTCAAGAATGGCCTAAGATCAGAGGTTTATTTTCAGGCATACTACCACTATGCGACATGCTTAAAAGCGTTACACAACAATGTCAACAGAATACCATTTCTATGAGTTTCATCGCGACGGATAACGACGTATCCAAACAAACACTGGATCGATTAGATTCAGCATTTATGTACACGCAAATCATCAAAGATATTTTGTTAACTATTAAATTTGAACAAGAACATATTAAATTATTTGTTGACTATTGCCGAAACACGTTCGTTGATAATGAAAGGACATGTGAACACGTCAATGAATTTGGATTCAACTACAAGAAGAATTCACCAATTTGGTGGTATNTTTTTTTTATTTATACGTCCTTCTACTTCTTTGTTTCAATTCTTTGATAAACACGTGTGAAGAATGTACGCATGATTCCGATCTGGGGGCAAAGAAATATACGAATCTTTAATATGATTGGTTAAATCTCAATCCTATGAAAATCTTTGGCGAAAACTATAAAGATTTCCTCTAAGAAATAAATATTTTGTATTGCATTTGTTCTAACCCGTACAGTATTTTGAAGAGAGAAGAAATTAGAAAAAAAATGTCTACCTGATAACAATGATAAATAACCGCGATACTCTTCATCTGTATACAGATATTTCGTACGGAGAATGTAACATTGAATTCATCGAGACCATCAGTTCTATGTGCAGAGAAACACTACCGTTGTTCGACATCAACAGGACGTTCTGACAAGTATTCCGAAGTCATTTCTGAACTATCATACTTTTACATCAAGTGTATAATAAAATAAAAATATTTGTTCAAAAACTTGAAACAAAAGTCTAAAAATTTTTCGGGTTGTTAACAGTTTATGAAAGTAAAGCGCAATTTCATTAACAGCAACAACAGAATCGATTGTAAAGTACATGACTTGAATGAAAACCATAGACACATGTCGATTCATTGTTGAATGCCGAAATCGAATTGATGATGAAGTGAATTTTGGTCTTTTCTCAAATGTAGAGAACTCTTCGTTAGCCGCAACTATGTTTAACTTTCGGATGATCAAGAAGATGAATACTTAAATTCAAATTGTGCGATTGGAGGATTTTTGAATTGATCGATCAATAGAAATAATTCATCGGAAGAATTTAAACGTTCAAGTAAAGAAAAATTCGTATTCCCGTAAGGATGAACTCGAAGTCAGAGCGAACACGAAAATTGCATTTGTTCAACAAAAGAAATCAATACATTTACTCCAATATCATCGAACATTTGATAATAACCGAGAGAAAACGATGTTTTGTGAAAATCTCTTCTATATCCGAATTGTCGTGCGGAATAAACCAACGCTTTCAGTCGAGCCAAAATAGGGAACGAAATGATTGGATAAATTGGTAAAACGAATTCGAAACAATGCTTTCTTCTTCAGATAGTTTGTTATATGAGAAAATGCATAGATTATATCATGAGCTAGTTCGACGGGTAAACGATCTAACATACACATTGACATAGTATAGCGATGCTTTATCTAAAAAGAAAATAATTTTGTCAATTAAAATATGAACTATCGTTATTTGATTTGCAGCACTTTAAACATATTTGTTCTTACCTGTTGTAAGAAATGACTATATGTAAAAGAAAAAAGGCAAACCTATGCGATTGTCATTCTGTTTATAAGTTACTCAAAACGTGCGTTGTTATTTTTATCACAGTAAAATCAATTCACGGGCGACGGCGACAGAAGAAATAGCTGCCTTTATCGAATAGATAAACACATAGTATGAACATTTTCTCATACTAATCGATTCTACAAACGAAGAGACTTTCAGGTTTTCATGTATACTTGTTCACAATATCTTTAGGTGACAATTGTGGATCATGATTGACATCTGAAATCGGCGAGAATTTTTGCAGTGTTTTCACACATTTCTGGTAATTGTCGTCTCTTCGAATAGTAAAACGATTTCAACTATTCCTTATTTTCTATTTGATTCCATATCTAGATTAAATCTATTCTATCAGCTTAAACAACATTAAACAGTTTTTTAAACTGGTTTTGCATTTTCGATGCAAGGTTTTGATATACATTGACATATTGTGCAAAACATATGCTGAAATGTAGAACCTAGACGAATGAAAATACTGGACATTATTAAAACGATATCAAAGAGAATGAACCATAGACAATGGATTTGACAAACTGTTAAAATCATCGTTACATATCATTCAACACATCGATATAGCAAGTTGAATACTTTATTTGAAAAAGAAAGTTCGCTGAACATCAATTTTTAAATACATATCCAATAAGAGTGAATGACGAAGAAATAATTTTCCATATACTTGCAGTAAATTTAGTAATATTCAATGACGAAATCAAATCATTTTTCATGGTAATCGTATCATTCACTGTTTCTACGACGGGATTTATTTGGTTCTTTTGTTTTGGAATCGAACGTATCAACCATTCGAAACCTTGATGAAGACCTTGGTTTTGAGTAGCAGATGCTGGTTGTAAATGCCATTTGACCTTCTTATCCACTTTGTCTAAATGAAGTTCTTCTCGAAGTTGATCAACACTCATTGCATCGGGCAAATCTTGTTTATTGGCAAATATGAGAATAGGTTTATCTTCGATACGATCATCACCAACTATTTGATGAAGTCTTTCACGTGCTTCACCAATGCTTAAATGATCATTGGAGTCAACAACAAAAATAAATGCTGACATTCTTCTATAATATTGTGTTACTGTAGCACGATGTCCTGAACGACCACCTATACTCCAGATCAACAGAGGAGTTTCATCAATAGTTATCTTTTCGAAATCCACACCGATTGTTGGTAAGAGGTCAGCAATTTCGCCATATTTTGTCATGCGGACGATTGTTTTTTTACCTGAATACGAGGGTTTATACTTAATCTATGAAGTTGCACGCATATACGTACCAGCTCCATAGGGTCCAGTTATAAGCACTGACAATACTTTATTTTTCACGTTGCCTGCTGTTGCTTGATTAATGGCTGATGAACTCATTTGTTTCGAAAAAGCACCACTGTTACACAGAAGATTCGATTGAAGAAAATGTCGTTGAAATATTTGATAGTAGCAAAAGGAACGCTGTACTTTTCTCTTTTGCATACGTGGCAGTACTTACGCAACCATAAAGTAATTCTTATCGTATGTTGTTATCAATTATAAGATGAATAATGCTCAGATTCGTACGACTAATTGTATTCTAAGAAGTTCTAGTCGGACTATTTGATCATTGAAGTTGACCATCCAAAAGCATTTCTATATAAATGTCTTTCCTTCGTTCAGCTGAAAATTTGATTTTACACAATAAACGATGTAAAATCGAAATTGCATAAGGAACTATTCATCTCGTCATTTGAAAATGCACAAAGAGCACGGATAAAGTATAATTAGTGATATCCTCACACTCTGCAAGAGAATCCGAAATCTGGATTACTCATCCCGATTATGTGTCATTTAGTTTTGCATGAAAAACATTGATCGCCGAAAAAATAAACACGTGGCTCTCATTAACGTGCACAAAGATAGAAAGGAAGTAAATAACGTGTACAATTTATTCCCAATTTCTTGCGATATATTGGATAGCCTTTATCTTTGCACAAAATAATGAACTTACAGAAATCGACCACACTCGATAGATCAAGTGACATGAAGCAAACAATGAAAATATCTACTAATTCAGAGAGCAGAACTCACGATGGACAAAGAAGTATTCAATTAATACAAAATATCGTTCTCATTTGGTTAGACAATCGCATGAATATCGATAACATGAACCATCATGATACAATGATTCAATTGAAATGTGTTGTCGATAGCATCTATACATTCAATGATTATGATCAATGTGTTGATTTCGTCACAGACATTCAGAATGAGAAAGTTTTTATGGTAATTTCCGACATATCGTGTGAAAACATTGTACCTTTGATTCATGATAATAGCCAACTTTATGCAATCTTTATCTTTGTGAGTCATTCAAACGAACATGAACAACAATGGGCTCAAGAATGGCCTAAGATCAGGGGTTTATTTTCAGACATACTACCACTATGCGACATGCTTAAAAGCGTTACACAACAATGTCAACAAAATACCATTTCTATGAGTTTCATCGCGACGGATAACGACGTATCCAAACAAACACTGGATCGGTTAGATTCAGCATTTATGTACACGCAAATCATCAAAGATATTTTGTTAACTATTAAATTTGAACAAGAACATATTAAATTATTTGTTGACTATTGCCGAAACACGTTCGTTGATAATGAAAGGACATGTGAACACGTCAATGAATTTGGATTCAACTACAAGAAGAATTCACCAATTTGGTGGTATACCTACGAACATTTCCTATACTCGATACTTAATCGTGCTCTACGATTGACTGATACTGATATTATTATTAAAATGGGATTTTTCATTACTGATTTACATCGACAGATCGAAGAATTGCACAAGAGACAATTTAATAATCACGATAGCGACAAGCTTCTTGAAGTTTACCGTGGTCAAGGATTGACTGTGACTGACTTTGAGAAAATGAAGAAAACAAAAGGTGGACTACTAGCTTTTAATAGCTTCTTATCGACTAGTACAGTTCGCGAGGTTTCTCTAGCGTTCGCCGAGAGCAATGGAAGTGATCCAAATTTAGTGGGAGTGCTATTCGTCATGTCTATTGATTCAGCCAAGTCGACTACACCTTTCGCTTCTATTAATGACGAAAGTTATTTTCAAGAAGAAGACGAAATCCTCTTCTCTATGCACACAGTGTTTCGCATCAATGATATAAAAGTAATTGGTGAAAGCTCTCGTCTATTTCAGGTAGACTTAACATTAACCGATGAAGATGACAAAGACTTGCGTGTGCTTACTGATTGTATACGAGAAGAAACCTATCCAGATGCAAAAGGATGGTACAGGTTAGGTGTAACACTTCATAAAATGGGTCAATTTGGTAAATCTCAGCAAGTTTATGAAACATTACTTTCGCAAACGACGGATGAAAATGAAATGGGTTTTATTTACTATACAATGGCACATGTCAAATATGATCAAGGAGACTACGAAGAAGCAATTTCACTATATGAAAACATCCTTGACATTTTTGGAAGAATTTTTCCTCCTAATCATATCAATTTCAGTATCCTATACAATAGTATTGGTTTTATGTACAGTGCAATGGGTGAATATTCAAAGGCGCTCTCGTATTACGAAAATTGTTTACAAGCACAAGAAAAATTGCTCCCTGTCAATTATTCCGTTTTGAGCAGTTGCTATAGTAACATGGGTCGATTGTATCAAAACATGGCTGAATACGCAAAATCGCTTGTTTATTGTGAAAAAGTTCTTGAAATTGATAGGAAAATACTTCCTTCCAATCATCCCACACTCAGTCAACACTACATCGATATTGGTACGCTGTATCAATGTATCGGAGAATATTCCAAAGCACTTCCGTGTTATGAAAAAGCACTTGACATTAAGCAAAGGTCGCTTCCTCCAAATCATCCTTCCTTCGCTGATTGCTATAACAGCATTGGAATGATATACGAAAATATAGGTGAATATTCGAAAGCACTCGCCTACTATCAAAACGCTCTCGAAATTAGTGAAAAATCACTACCTGAAAACCATCCTAATCTAGCTGCTTCCTACAATAACATTGGTATAGTCTATGAAAATATGAATGATTTCTCAAAAGCAATATCATCCTACGAAAAGGCACTTGAACTTCAACGGAAATCACTTTCTTCCAAACATCCTGATTTAGCTGCGTCGCATATCAATATCGGTAATGCCTATGACAAAACAGGTGATTATTCGAAAGCATATTCATGTTACGAAAAAGCTCTTGAAATACAGCAAATATCACTTCCCTCAAATCATCCTGAACTAGCCGCTTCCTATGGTAACATGGGTGTGACATGTATGAATATGAAAGATTATTCAAAAGCGCTTCATTTTCTTGAGAAGACACTTGCCATTCAACAAGAATCGCTGCCATCGAATCATCCTAGTTTAGCTGCTTCTTACAGTAATATTGCTGAGGTGTATGAAAATACAGATGATCTTTTGAAATCACGTTCATTTTACGAACGTGGAATAAGTATAGGACAACAGACATTACCAATGAACCATCCTCATTTGCAAGAATGGAGAAAAAATCTGGAAAATGTAAATAACAAATTGCAGCTATTACCTGCTTCACAATAAGAATTTATGCTTTGATCGGAAAAGAAGCAAACTTTTTGTTGACGTTCAAACAAATGTTGGGTAACAGTGATGGTGGGAAAAGAAACCCATCAGCTAAATTAATTTGATTCGAGAATTTTTCTAAAATTTCGATATAATTTCCATAATTTTTTTAATATATAACAACATGTTAGAGAATCAATACTTCTCAATTGAACTTTTTTTTACTATAAAACGAGTCTGAAATGACTACAATGACATTCTGTTGTTGATTAAAATGTTTATAGATTTCAACTATGTTAACGGTATAGTTTTCTCAATGGTTGAAGTTGTAACTGTACTATTTGTTCTTGTAATCTTTGATTTTCTCTTTGATATGTATCCGCTTGAATTGCCAATCGATTTGCTCGCTCTTGTAATTGTTGACTATCATTGCGAAGTTTGTCGATTTGATCTTTCATTTCAATGATTTGCTCTTTGAATTCCGAGTTTTCCGTAACCAGTGGAATGATAACATATCTCAACGAATTAAAAGCACATGTAGATAAATGCTCATCTAATTGTTCTCGCTGCCCTTTCCATGAGCATCGAATATCTGCTGATGAGCAAAGTATTTCCATTTTGGGACATATTTTATTCATATGATCGTCCAAATCGCCTCGTTGCAATCCACTTTGTCCACAAGTTGTACATTTGACTTGAAGTCGATTTAACATGTTGCGTAATGGACGATTCACTTGTGTAAGATTATCAATTGATAAAAATTTTCGACAAATCGGACAAGATGTATTTTGAGTTTGAATCCATTGTGTTATACACCGACGACAAAATGTGTCATCACATGGAGTATATTGTGGATCTTGAAAAGGTTGATGACAAATACTGCAGATCAGCTCAGGATCAATGGAAGCTTCGTCTACATATTCATAACCATCATGAACTGTGTTTCGTTGCTCAAACATTTGTATCTAAGAAAAAATTACATATGTATTCTGTTCGTCTATACTGTTTCTCTCTTGATGTACGTGGTACGGCATAGAATATCTTTCTCTATTTCATTCTGTCACGTTTCGTTATGTTGTATGCTGGTTTTTTCCTCATGATTAGATATTTAACAAAGGGAATAAAAGCGAAAAAGACAGAGTGAGATATGAATGACAGTATGTTTCGTTTCATGTAGTCCACCCATACATACTAACATTCTCAAAATTTAGACTCATATTTACCTTATTTGTTTTCGTAGTCATGTATCAAATAGTTATCTGACTATTATCTCGATGGCGGAAGCACATACTTTCAACCTTCATCCACATCCTTATGAGATATCATACTGTCCAAATGTGCTCTACATGAAAATATTTTACCATATGTATTTCTCTGTAATTAGAAAATAGTTTATTTTCCAAATGATTCAAACACACTCAGTTACATAAGTAACACAGATATTCAACGTCTTCGGATCGTATATGAACCATTCTCCAAACACCACGACATCTCTAATATAGTGATATTCACAATCATTTTCTTTCATACCGATCTATGCTGAAGAAAAGTCTAACAAAAACTAATTTACAATGATCGCCAAATCTTATCACCAAATAAGTTTTTTTTCGATGAAAATGCTAGATGCATCTGTCAGCTAATTCCACGAGAAACGTATAGCATGTTGATCGCTATTCTCATGTTTCTAGCCCACTTATTTCATGAACAACTGAAACACTTTCAATTCTACATATACAATTAACAACCAAACAAGACTGATTATCATACGCAATACGCAGTATATAGTGAACTTTTTCTCTCCCGGCTATCAATATATACATATAGAAGACAATCTATTTATGCAGAATTAAAGTTTGAAAGTTAAAACTACTTTCGGTTCCAGAATGGAAATGAAATAATTATCTAGTATTCCAACAAGTTAAGAATTACTGAGAATATCTGTAAAAGTGGATAAATTTATTTATTGCCAAGGTGCCTGCTGGACCTTTGAAATATTAATACAAGAAAATATCGATGCGCTTGAGCAAAGCGGAATATCCTCGAAAANAACTCGGACAAGATGTATTTTGAGTTCGCATCCATTGTGTTATACACCGACGACAAAATGTGTCATCACATGGAGTATATTGTGGATCTTGAAAAGGTTGATGACAAATACTACAGATCAGCTCAGGATCAATGGAAGCTTCGTCTACATATTCATAACCATCATGAACTGTGTTTCGCTGCTCAAACATTTGTATCTAAGCAAAAACTACACATGTATTCTGTTCGTCTATACTGTTTCTCTTTTGATGTACGTGGTACGGCAGAATATCTTTCTCTATTTCATTCTGTCACGTTTCGTTATGTTGTATGCTGGTTTTTTCCTCCTGATTAGATATTTAACAAAGGGAATAAAAGCGAAAAAGACAGAATGAGATATGAATGACAGTGTCTTTCCTTTCATGTAGTCCACCCATACATACAAACATTCTCAAAACTTATAGACTCATATTTACCTTATTTGTTTTCGTAGTCATGTATCAAATAGTTATCTGACTATTATCTTGAGGGCGGAAGCACATACTTTCAACCTTCATCCACATCCTTATGAAATATCATACTGTTCAAATGTTCTCTATATGAAAACATTTTACCATATGTATTTCTCTGTAATTAGAAAATAGTTTATTTTCCAAATGATTCAAACACACTCAGTTACAGAAGCAACACAGATATTCAACGTCTTCGGATCGTATAAGAGCCATTCTCCAAACACCAGGACATCTCTAATATAGTAATATTCACAAACATTTTCTTTCATACCGATCTATGCTGAAGAAAAGTCTAACAAAGACTAATTTACAATGATCGCCAAACTTTATTACCATAATAAGTTTTTTTTCAATGAAAATGCTAGATGCATCTGTCAGCTAATTCCACGAGAAACGTAGAGCATGTTAATCGCTATTCTCATGTTTCTAGCCCACTTATTTCGTGAACGATTGAAACACTTTCAATTCTACATATACAATTAACAACCAAACAAGACTGATTATCATACGCAATAAGCAGTATATAGTGAACTTTTTCTCTCCCGGCTATCAATATATACATATAGAAGACAATCTATTTATGCAGAATTAAAGTTTGAAAGTTAAAACTACTTTCAGTTCCAGAATGGAAATGAAAATAATTACCAAGTACTCCAACAAGTTAAGAATTACTGAGAATATCTGTAAAAGTGGATAAATTTATTTATTGCCAAGGTGCCTGCTGGACCTTTGAAATATTAATACAAGAAAAGATCGATGCATTTGAGCAAAGTAGAATATCCTCGAAAATTCTTTATTGCTAACAATATGTCATTCAGCTTTTCAAGGTTTGTTTTTAGACTTGGTTTAGATATTGTTTTTTTGATCGACTTGCTCATCATCAACGTTACACGTTTCGTGCAGCAGCGTGGCAAGAGAAAAGTATTATAATTAAGTTCAATTGTGTAAATGGATAGTTTTCTTTATGAATAAAACTTGATGTATTCATTATTTTCACCGAATCAATCAGGTGTGTAAAGAATATATGAAGAAGTCTAGTTTTTAGTTCAAAAATAATATTAACTAAGTGTTTAGTAGAAAAATGGTTTATTGTGAAAAAAAAACTTCCTTATTCTCATCATGTCACGTGATCGTGTACAAATCTGTAATATGCATCACCACGTGCCATTAATTCGTTGTGTGTACCACTTTCTAAGAAGCGTCCATTCGGACCAAGAACGCAAATAAGGTCACACGACTGAATAGTTGATAAACGATGAGCGACGACAATCACAGTTCGAGATGGATCGTCTTGTCTGGCGGCATTCAATGATTCTTCCACCAGCTAAAGAGAAAGAGACGAAACAATGATCTTTCACACATATCAAGTTCACAGTTTTGCCTTTTCGTTATGCACATCTAATGCACTCGTAGCTTCATCCAGAATCAAAATTTTCGGTTTCCGAAACAGAGCTCGAGCTATCGCTATGCGTTGCTTTTGACCTCCAGAGAAAAATGCACCATTCACACCAACAAGCGTATCATAACTCTACGTACAGGAAATCATCTAACGAGCTGAGACAAAATGAACAACCTACTTGAGGTAACAGTTCGATAAACTTGTGGCAATGCGCTCGTTTAGCTGCATCGATGATATCTGTTCGATCGAATGTATTCGGTAAACAACCGTAAGAGATATTTTCTGCTATTGAAAGACCTAAGATTAGTGAAGGCTCTTGACTAACAATCCCAATTTGAGAACGTAGCCATGCTATACTTAATGTTCTTATATCGTGACCATCGAGTAACTACACATGAATAAAGACGGATGGCGAATGGCTGATGAAGATGTCGAGATTACTTACAACACGTCCTTGGCTACTATCATAAAATCGTTCGAGTAACTGTGCCATTGTTGATTTACCACATCCACTTGATCCTGGATGAAATTAGACACGATTTCAACGAAGAATTGTCAAATGAAAGATCATACCAACAAAAGCAACACTTTGTCCTGAACAAAGAAGATTTATCGAATGCAACAAAGAAAAGTATGCATACCAGGTTGAATCGTCAATTGAAAAGCGTCGAGTACTTTAACTAATCTTCGTGTCGGATAAGAAAAAGTAACATTATCAAATTGAATTGATCCTGAAAAATTCTCCTGTTAATAGAAAAATGGCAAATGGTAATTTATTTATGTTCATGTGAACTTACAATTGTTTTGCCACTCGTTGCCATATTATCAATTAACGGAATGCGTTCAAACAATTGATTGATATGATTCGCTGCTGCTGTTGTTCCAGCTAAGTCAGCGGATCTATATAAAAAATGACTTCTGGTTTGAGTCGTAGAACATTCTGTCTTACATTGTTGTCGACACTTGAATGACATCGAAAGTAAACGGCACGAAAGCAAATAATCTATCAAATATGTCCATAAACAGAATTGTCTCCGGTTGAATAAGGCAAACTCACAAGACGATCCGTTCTACATCGATTAGATTCCTATCGAGAAGAGTAACAGCTAACTGCGCAAGACACGGTAAGATCAATGTAGCAACTGGAAAAGATAATGCAAATGGTACACCACCTTTATACGTACTCAGACGTGTAATACTAAAAGAAGGGCTTCTATGATCCAAGAACTATTACCTATGTACTTGTTTACTTGTAAATTTCATCGAGGATATGCTGAAATTCGTTTAATATGTGTTCTTGTCTATTCAGTTGAAAAACTGTACGAAGATTGCGTACACTCTGAGTCAGAACTTCATTAGCATTTGCAAATGCTGTTTCAATCAAAGTTTGTACTTTGCTCTTTCTTCGAACTTCCAGAATAGCAAAAGTCATTTCAAATACAATTAGGCCAAAGACAACTAATATCAATTGCCATGAAAATATCAATCCGATAATTAATGCAATCACCAAAAGTGATAACGATTCAATCAGTAGGCCAAGTCGAGCGCTAGTTAACTAAACAAATCGATTACTTCTACAAAGTTCAATGGATACTTACTGATTGAATGGCTAGTGCGTCGGTAGAAAGACGTCCGCAGAGTGCACCAGTATTATTTTCAGGCTGATCATACCAACCAACTTCTTGACGTAGCATACATCCGAACGCTTTTGTTCGTATTCGGTTGGTTAATCGCGTTCCAACTAGCCCCAAACATGTATACTATCAGAATTTAGATATATTATTTCAGATGAAAATGAATTCTCACGTGAATGACACGAAGTATACAGCTGGCAATGCCTAGAATGAAGATGATTCGGGTAAAAACAATCACTCGATTCATCTGCGCTGAAATCGAACATTCTTGAAATGACTAGAAAAAAAAGAGGGACAGACGACAGCTGTTTTCTATAGTAGAGAGTTACTTACGTTAATAGTTTCGGCTAGAGAGTAAGCAAAAGCTGGATAACATCCACCGCACAGTATTCCCGTCAAACAAATAATCAATAGGTACGGCCATTCAGGTGCATTCAATTTGAATAATTTCATTAATGAATAAAAGGAATTCGATTTGTTCTACAAAAGTTTGTTACACTGGAGCAACCGATAAGTATTACATACCTGTGGAACTTTAGTCACAATCTCTTCTGTATTGGTCAATATATCATCGTTGCTCTCCGTTGATGCTTGATTACCAATCCGCTGATTAACTTCTTCGTGTGTCTCGGAAGTGGTCAAATTCATTTGTTGCTGGTTGACTAGTTCATAATAAGATTGCTTCATTGCCATTAGATCGTCATGTGGACCTTGTTCAACTATCGAACCGTCTTTCATAACTATGATCCAATCAGCATAGCGAATTGTTGATAGTCGATGGGCAATAATAATCGTTGTTCGATCTTGAGCAGCGCGATCAAGTGCTTCTTGAACAAGTTTTTCGCTCGACGAATCCAGTGCACTTGTTGCTTCATCAAGTAAGAGTAAACTTGGTTGACGAATAAGAGCACGTGCTAAAGCAATGCGTTGCCGTTGTCCACCACTCAGTTGTACACCTCGCTCGCCAACTAATGTGTCATATTTCTTACATAGGAAAGAGAAAGAACGACGAAAAAAATCATGAAAAAAATCTAAAGATAACTACGTACATGTGGAAGCTTCATGATGAAATCATGCGCATTAGCTTGTTTAGCTGCTTCAATGATTTCGTCGAATGTCGAATTATCTTTACCATGGCTGATGTTTTCTTTTATCGATGTTGCAAAAAGTATCTTAGAAAACGAATAGCCAAACATGATGTAAGAATAGAATCATCAATTCTACCGGTTCTTGACTGACAAGACCAATGATTTGACGTAAATTCTCCTTTTCATAATCTTCAATTGAATGACCATTGATATTGATACGTCCTTTGGTTGTATCGTAAAAGCGAAGTAACAATTGAACACATGTGCTTTTACCTTCGAATTATTGAGACAATCATATTTGAAGAAGAAAAAAATAAGTAGATATAATCAATCTCACCACTGCCTGAGCTGCCGACAAGCGCGACAGTGTCACCAGCTTTTACTTGGAAACTAACATTCTTTAATGCAAATTCTTGCTGACGATTTGGATAAGAGAATGAAACATCGTCAAAAACAATCTCAACGGGTTGAGTTACTTCCAATCTTTTCAAAGATTTTTCATTTGATATTTCAACGTGATCGATATTTGTACCTTCGATGTATCGAATAATTGGATCGGCAACATTACACGCATCGAAAAATGCTTTTAAACTTGGAGCTAAATAGCCAAAAAACTGTAATGCTTCCGTCATACATGTTACGACCTAAACACATTCAAATATATTCATTCTCAATCCGACAAATACGAAACATACTACAACGATTTGACCAATATCAAGTGTGGGATGTTTTCCTGTTGTTTTGAGCCATATTCCTGCCAGAAAACCGAGTGCGGTTGTCCAATAAGTAAAAATCATGAGCACACCAACAAAACACCCATAGATAAGACCTTTCCGAAGTGCGTATTTCGTATTGTACTTCAACTTTGATGCATATCTAACATATTACCGTATATAGAGATAGAAGGAAAGAATTTATAATCTTTACCGATTTTGTTCATTGTGTTGTGCATTGAATGCTGTAACTGTACGAAAAGCTGCAAGAACTTCTTGTGCAACTTGTCCTGCACTCCCATAAGACTCCAATTCTAGAATAGTTGTTCGTGCTGTTAACTAAACACCGAAAATCCTTTCGTTATTATTATATTCATTGAAATTTACTTTAGATAACATATACGCTGCGCCCGCACTCAGTGGCTCTCCGATAATGACGATCAGTGTTAGTTTCCAGTCGGTGAACAATGCAAGAATAAGACTTCCGATAACAAAAATGATCGCACTTAATGTCACGGAACTTGTCCATCCGATGCCGGATTGTACGGTAGCAATATTTCTGGAAAGGAAGATTACAATCGTCTGATGACATTCGTCAAGACAAGGTTTACTCGAATAGATTGTTGATTGATATATCTGTAGTATCAAAGTATGAAATATTCTATAGAATCATATGTAACAGATCAGAGAGTTTCAGTCATAAGATGTGAAACATGCCCTGGCAAAAGTAGCTTGTAAGAGTCTTGCTCTCATGCGATTGGCCAATCGAGCTGCAGATAGTTCACAAGAAATATATTGAACATAACTGAACAGAATTTGTACGAGACCAATAACTGAATATTGCAATGAAGAAAGAGTATTATCTTGAAAGTATACACACCTATCAGTTGAATCACTTTTGCATTCACATCCTTATGAAATTTCTCATTATCCAAAGTACTATTTGAGATCTGCTTGATGAAATCGTACTCAGAACATTGTACAGTAGACACGCGTGAAACAAATAAACTAACTAATTCACCAAATAGTCGAACAAATAGTAAATGACCTATAGCATAAACAGCTGCAGCAAAAATACCAAATAGAATCATTAAATAATCTCGAACATCTCCGAAATGTAACTAGAAAATACGATTCATGGTTCAAGCGACATTTTTCTTCTCATCTTTTTCACTTACCAAATGTTTTAGCACAAACATTGATTTGTTTTCTCTTTCATTCGTACCATTTATCTTAATCGTTCTGCTGACTCTCAAATGCCTTTGCAACCTACACGATAAATATGTGTATATTTTATTTTTCCAAATGTCATTACTCGCTCACCAATGTATTAATTTCATTTTGGATGAGATAAAAATAGGAACCACAGTACTAAAACTTCTAACAGAAATCTTTCGAAAGCGAATAAAAGAAACTCCATAAAACAAAACGACTCCGTATATATGCCTCCGTTGCTTTTATGATTGTTACACATCATATCGTTTTATTTGGCGAAATATAACCTTGAGTTGATAATATACTTTAAGGGTAAGGGTGAAGTTATCTACTACTAAATATGTATTCTTCATCTATTGTTGTCATCAATAACTTTTGTACAGTGCTCTAAAACACGTCATCAAAATCTTTCTTACCGCAACGAAATTCATCTAAACAATCATGTAGCGTTAAATGAATGATATGGTCTAATAGAATAGTAAAGCACTTGGCAAGTACGTTGTGTGAAATACGAAAAACACATGGATTAGATGAATCTTAGGTTTCATTCGTGATTTATATCTCTACTAATTCAGACTGATGGATGCATTTTTGTGTACTCATTGACCTCTGATTTTTAAGACTTCATGTTCCAAATGGATACAAATATGCATACTATTTTTCCATATGGCACATCCCTCAGTCGAGACGATAGAAAAAGTCTTCTTAATAGCAACACATTTATGTTCAACTCAACCCAACTGTTCTGTCATATTCACACACGATCGCGTCTAGATAACAACATCAAGGATCGAAAGTAGAAGATAATTACACTATTGAATTCAATCTTTTTTTTCTAAAGTCAAGATATGCACGGTCGGCTATATGATCTCATTGAATATCAATGTTTGAATATATATCCAATAAGAGTGAATGACGAAGAAATAATTCTCCATATATCTGCAGTAAATTTAGTGATATTGAATAATGAAATGAAATCGTTTTTCATCGTAATTGCATCATTCGCTGTTTCTACGATGGGATTTGTTTGGTTCTTTTGTTTTGGAATCGAACGTATCAACCATTCGAAACCTTCTTGAAGACCTTGGTTTTGAGTAGCAGATGCTGGTTGTAAATGCCATTTGACCTTCTTATCCACTTTGTCTAAATGAAGTTTATCTCGAAGTTGGTCAACACTCATTGCATCGGGCAAATCCTGTTTATTGGCAAATATGAGAATAGGTTTATCTTCGATACGATCATCACCAACTATTTGATGAAGTCTTTCACGTGCTTCACCAATGCTTAAATGATCATTGGAGTCAACAACAAAAATAAATGCTGACATTCTTCTATAATATGACATTGTTATAGGACGATATCTTGAACGTCCACCCAAACTCCAAACCAATAGAGGAGTTTCATTGATACTCAGTTTTTCGAATTCGACACCGATTGTTGGCGAAATGTCAGAAATTTTACCATGTTTTGCCATGTGAACAATTGTTTTCTTACCTGAATACAAAAGTCTATTTCATAAACTACGAACAAGTTGTACATGTATACATACCAGCTTCATAGGGTCCAGTTATAAGCACTGATAATGATTTATTTGTCGTATTGCCTGCTGTTGCTTGATTATTTGCTGATGAACTCATTTTTCTCGATAAACACCGTTGTTACAGAGAATATTTGCCTGAAGAAATTGTCGTTGAATCATTTTATAGTAACAAGAGGAACCCCGTACTTTTTCTTTTGTATACGTGGCAGTAATTGCGCAATCATAAAGTAATGCACAGATTCGTACGAGTCGGTCTATTTGACCATTTAAGTTGATCATCGTTTGAGTCAATTTATTGAAGGATTAACTACTCTTCATATAAAGTAAGGTGAAAATAATACTGATTGAGAACCATTGTCATCACATACAATAGATTTACCAGAGAATCATGTCATGATTGCACATCTAGTGATAATTTTAGAAAGATTATCTGGTGAATTTCGTTAGTAGAAAGGAAAATTAAGAAGAGCATGATGACTTTGAACAAAAAAACCATACGAAACTCAAAAGAAGAATCTATTCATCCAAATCATCCATTGTTAGGAACCACTGAAATTTCATTTGCGGTGATTCGAAAAGAAGATTTAACATTAAATGGCACCATTGTCTACTTGTTTTTATTTAAATGATTTTCCTCGTGCAAGTAGCAGTGAAAAACACTGTAAGAATACCTGGGAACTTGCATAGTTAAAAAAAGTGGTGAATTGCTTTCGAACCAATGTTTTAATTAGTGAGAGCTTTCTATTCAAGACAAGTCGCAAATCGAAATTACCACTTATGTATAGCTTTTGACCTGGCCGTTTCATCTATAATAAATTGAGTTTATCTGTCAAACGATTTGTCTAATTAAAAGTTTCCAACGCAAAGTGTTAATTCATCCGCACCGTCTCAGGTTACTGAAAAATGTGGGCAGATACTTGTGGATAAGAGAAAGAATACACTCTCGGTTGGAGAAAAGGCACCGGGTCATATGTTGATATAATTTAGTTGCACAGCTGCCGATAAAAACGACTAAACATATCGAAATTGTTCACTTTTCGTGACAGAATTTAAAAAGTACACTGCAATTCAGATACGCCTTTTTCTTTCTTACCAAGAAACGTTAATTCCATATCAGAAAAAACTCAAAATCTTTCCATCCATTAGCGACATCAAAGATAGATCAAATCTGATTTGTGGTACTTTGTTAATGTATATGTATATATAGTTCATTTTTCCTTTTCATTACATACAATACAAATCATGTCGTTTCTTCTCGATCGTTTTCCAGCTGAACTTGTCCATTGTGTTTTCAAATATTTTTGGGCTCATGAAATTCTTTATTCATTCGGTAATATAACTTGTTATATGAATAATATTCTAATCAATTATTCAAATTATATGATTAACTTTCAATCGATTCGAAAACGTGATTTTGATCTAATTTGTCGCTATCTTCGACCAAAACAAGTGGTTTCATTAATTTTATGTGAAGATGAAGACACACCAGATCTTCTAAAATTATTCTTCTCTTTATTTTCTATGGATGAATTTATCAATTTACGTGGATTAAAACTTATTCATTTAAAAGAAGAAAATGAATCATTATGTTTGGTTTTACCTAAACTTTCCAAACTTGTTTTTCTTCAAGTTGATATGAATATTCATCTTCATTTCATTTTAACTCCATCATCATTAAAACAATTAATTATAAATACACCTGAAAATGTCCAATTAAATATCGATCCATTTATTACACATATTCAATATGAACATATACATTCATTATCATTATCAACTTGTTCAGCGGAAATGTTACGAAAAATTCTTCGTCAAGGAGTTCAATTGAAAAAATTGAAAATAATCTTTACATTACATAATCAAGATGAATTTGACGAATTTGCTCAAATTCACCAAGAGCAAAAAATGATGTATCCTCTTCTTTCACTGTCGTTTTCTCTGAATGGATGCGGTAAGTATAGAAAAATCTCTTCAAATCTTCATTCATTTTCTTTCTTATTTTAAGGTCGTACCATAAAACGTGTTCATGTCGAACATTTTCTTCTTCCATTTCGCTGCTTACGAAATTTAGAAATGATTTTTCCATTCAGTGTTCAAAGTCAAATTTACGAAGCAAATCGATGGGAAGAATTTCTTCCTAAACATTTACCAAATTTATCGACATTTAATTTTTCTTTCGGATGTCATCATTTCGAGGAAAGTCTTATTGATCAATATCGTCATTCATTTTGGCTCGATAAACATTGGTATGTAGCTTGTGATCCTTTCTATTCCTCGTTTTTTACGGTACCTCATTTTCTCCCAACATCATGGCATTGTTCATCTCTTCGAATTTCATCCAAATTAACAACATTACCTCTTGAACAACATTATCTTGCTTTCGATCGAGTGACAAAGTTGACATATGATTCGAATCAATGCAAAGAATCTTCGAAATTTAAATTTATTGAAAAACTATTTCTTGAAATTCCATATGTCGAAGAGAATATTTTCAATTTCTCAAAAGTACGAACATTAGTCGTTCGCGCTCCACAATGGTCATTTAGAAAATTAACATTATTGATTAAACAATCGATGCCTTCGGTGATTTATTTAACTCTCAATTGTACTTATCAAGATGTTCCCAATGTTTCATTAGAACAAATTCGAACATTACATTTGACGCAATTCGGTCGTGTGCAAAATTATCATTTATTTCCATGGAATAAAGTTTTTCCATGTATTGAACGGTTATTTGTTGTCATTAATTCAAAAAAGCAAATTCCCATTTTAATTGATCATTTCAAAACTATGGTTTGTGGCCATTTTAGCATTGATATGGCTTTTATAGGTCGAAATAAATCGATTCAAATGTCATTAGAATGGTTAATTAAACATACGAATCGTTTACGAAATGATACAAACAAGAATTTTATATGTGAAATTAATCATCAATACTACTTTTCAGTCGACATTTGGATTGGTGAAACGAACAACGATTGAAAATCAATGCAATAGAGACAAGCATCTTATTTTTTGTACTTCTATTCTTATCATATTAATAAAATTCATAGATGAAAAAGTCATTTGTTAAACAGATAACAAGGAAGCAAGTCTAATGAATGAGAAATGACGAGTTTTCCGTATTGAAATCAGATAGAAATTGGAATTACAATTGATTTTATTCATTGAGGTATCTATCTACTGAAGAAAAAGAACCATTTTTTGTCAATAAACTTAGAAAAACCGTCGTCAAGAATAAGATTGAAATATTGTTTCTCCTTATTGTAAAATAATAGACAAAATCTGTATCAATAGAATTATTGTTTTTTCTATTTTATTTCTCGGATAAAGGAAGAGGATATATGAAGAATAAATATGTGTGAAATGATTATTATCATCACGTCAATCTCTAGTTGGATATCTAATGATGCACAGGATTTCTTTCCAAATCTTTCTTCTATATGGCAAACTAACTAGAAATTAAGAAATTTTCTTGGATGCTGATTAAAGTAAACGAAGTAGACAATGAAAAATGCGGATAATGTACGAAAAGCTTAAGAAGTTCAAGCAGATCATTTGACTCTTACGGATGAATAGTTTTTCGCTGTACCAAAATGTGGAAAAAGAGTTAATAAACAAACTGATGTTACTACTACCGTTTTTATGAAGACGAGATAAAAGAAGAAAGATATCAATCTGGACGATTGCATCTGGTAACGAACAAGTAGAGTTTTTTTCCTTCCGATTTGTACAATTTAGTCGAGCGATTTTTTCTCCTGTTTTCGAATACAACATTGAGTCTACAATTTTTAAGCAAAATACACTTATCAGCGGCTAATATGGCACGCCAGCAGTTGATCGTGATATTCGTGTGAATGCAAAATGATTTGTCATGAAATTTAGTGATTTTTCTTTTTTAATACGAAAATTTATTCCCCCTGATGAATTATTTATAAACATCTGTTCCACACGCCTTAGTTCCTTTCAATACGAACAACCAATCATCTGTGTGTCTTCATTAAGTCTTGTTCCCGAATCGTCTTTGACTACCAAACCTCAAAATCAAATAGCTCGTTTTGTAAAGAACGAGCTTCTGCATTGCATGGTACATAAAGCGATACGTTGTTATGATATTTTCTGCTAAGATCACCAAAAATATAATTCTTAAAAAGTTAAGATTTTACTTTCCTGGGGAAAAAACTAAGCTTTTCAGAAAACGACTGTCAGAGTCGTACTCAGTGCTAAAGATTACATGTAGAATACTTCTTAGAATTGTTGTTTTCGATAAAAAAAAACTTCTCAAGACTGAATCAACTAGGTGTGATCTTACGCAAGCACATCGCCTATAACCGTTTTCCCAATATCAATGTTAAGATCGTATGATAAAACTTTCGAGGCATTTATTAGTTCGAAAACAAACCATACAAGATATTGTCTCAGCTTAAAAAAAAGAAAAAGAATAAATTCTGTTATTCATCAGTATGGAGAACTGGATTGTATCTTCAATTTCATCTGTTATAATCAGTTATCGCTGCCATTTTGCCACCGATAACAGGTGCCAAAGCACACTTTGAAAAGAAATTCGTCGGAATTTGCACATTGACGTTACCACTTATAGGATCTAAATGCACAACTATAAAAGTGTTTAGATGTTCCACTAGTTCTTTCTCATTATTAAAATTCGAATTATAACGGCCACAAATTAACTTATATTTCGGCATGTTTACCTAAAAATAAATTGAAATATCTAAATGTTTTGATGCAAAAACAAACAAAGATTGGTCGTAATCTAAGATGTAATGTAGAATGCTCTCATGCGATCGATATTAAACTAAAAGCTCTACTGATATTCACAAAACTCGGATATAAATATTTCGTCTTCGACTAGTAGCATGCGATATCTCATGCATAGTCTTAGATAAGTTACTCGTCTGCAGTTTCTCAAGTACTATATACCTTATGGTGAAGTTCGCAAGGATTGACTAGTCAGTTTGATTCAAAGTCGGCTACTGATGCGCTTCTCTTTCTATGCTTTCGATCGTAATTGAAAATCATCTTTGTGACGCACTTTCTAAAAAAAAATAGCCGACGACGGTTGCTTACTCCAGTAAAATTATATATATAATCCAAAAAAACGTTAATTACGCATCAGAAAAAATGAAGGTTACTTGGTATCTGGTCCTTGTAATTTTGTATGCTCTATACAATACAATCGAAGGAGCACGCTTTCGTAGTGGTATTATTTCATTGTACGTACATTCATCTCTCATCCAACTTTCATTTCGATACTTTGATTCTCCTCAGGCGTCCATTGAATAGTACACCATCGGGTAGTAGTGCGAGTAGTCTTATCCATCAAAGATATTTTTGAAATCGACAATGGTGTGGTTTTACTCCACCTTATTGCACAGAAGCCGATGTTACTTCACAAACACCGATTCCCGTTAATTCTTATATGACTTGTCTATCAAACTGCTCAGGTTCTACCTATCCGAGCAGCGGTCTTTCCCCTGTTATGACAACAACAGATTGTGATNTCTTCATCTTTGAAATGTGTTGCATGACGATATTTGTGATAGGAAAATGCATGTCAACAAACAGTAGCGATAATGACACCTGTTTTCTTGATTATTTTGATGCCTGTGCATGCTGTGGTGATGTATGCTGCATTCATCAAAATCTCAAATATGCTCAATCCAGCTCATATCCAAGCGCAAGCCAGACATAAACAACGACTACGACGCATTTTTGCAGCTTAGGAGAGTTTTTCTTTTGATTTTGTACATGTGTGATATTTCCCTATATAAATGAATATTTCATTATTCAGTCCTTGTTGACAAATATCCGCTCATAAATGAATCATTTTTTCTCTTGCTTCGAAGTTGAGCAATGACTGAGTATATGTCATCAAACGAAATTGTTTTCTTATTTCACTGTATGTATGGCAAATAAGAAGCTGCCCAATACTGTTCAAATTTCTACTGACGGTAAAGAGGGAACACACGGTTGACTCTTTGTGCAATTATTCGCTAAACACTGCTCAAACGGCTTTGAATATGTTCTTTTCTCGATCTCGAAAACAGGACGACGATGAAATGCTCTCAGTTCTAGTCGTGCTGACTATAAAAAGGAAAATCAGATGATATACTGGACAGTGCACACTGTATTTGAATGAAAGAACAGGGCTTATCGAACAACTAATGTTTAATTTGAACTGCAAATGAAGTGAATCATGTTGCGCATTATGATCTTATCGACATCTGAAGATCTACGATTAGGAACCTAAAGAATTGAAAAACGAGACAAGTGTGAGATGAATACAGGTGAAGTGATTCACATTTTGACAGAAAATCGATTTCAAGTTGGTATTCAGTGCATTGTTCGTTGTATAGCAAATGATGTTGAATCTGTCATAGAACTAAACAAGGTAGAAGCGCTCAAGATGACTTTGTTTAGAGAGAATGACAATCAAGTTTGAATTCATCTGATCATACTCATGTTCCAATGACTACAATTCACTAAATCCAACGCATTTATGGGTACCACCGAATGTTGAAACGTTGAATATGATAGTGGAACGTGTAGGAAATGTAATTGACTTATTCTGATAGTCAAATTTTCATGAATTTTGACGAAGAAACCGTTCTGGAATGCTCTTTTGTGAAGATTAGCATTATCGAGAGAAGAAGAACAGGTCTTAGACGAAAAGAGGCTGTGGACAATGATGTTTCTTCTTTTGTTATCTCATAATAAGAACTGGCGCACTAGAGGAGACAATATTTGACGTTATTCATACTATAGTAGAACAATCAATGGGATCTAAATATCTATTGTGCATGAATATCAAATCAAAATCCGACTGATCACCAACGCAAACGTTTATCACCTCTTCCGAATTCTGTAGGATTGATATGCGATGATTTTGTTCTCTACAAGAGCTGCAGAAAAAGAACATTTTTGGTGCATTTCTGTTCTCGTCAATATTTTGCAATAAATAATGAAGTTTGTACAGAATTTGGCCAGATAAAGTTTCGTTATATTCACGAAAGATATGATCGAGTAGAATTCTGTAACGATAATGATATCGTTCATCTCTTTCTATTCTTTATTCTCTCACCTCTATATCATACTATCTCCGGGTCATATCTCTCTTTCCTCTTCTCTATATAAGCGCGTGTCTTATTGTGAAAGAGATACATTCTGGTCATGTAGAGTAGTCAATAAACATCGATACCGTGAGAAGCGGTCAGCTACTCAACCAGTTTGTCGTTACAAATTCGCATAGACAACTACACTGATTTTGCTCTTCCAAAAGGTCGTTTATTTCACTCTCACGAGTAGCTATAAGGACTTGAACAAAATTGTCTTCATGCAACAGCCTGTACAGTTTAAACACTAATTTGGTGGTAGGATTCGTCGAACTTCACTACTTATAATTATAAAATTTATCACTCTCTGACGTACATCTTATTCGTACTATTCAACATCTAAGAGCATTCGATGTATCAACTGATCGATTTTTCTCTCATCGAGGCGTTTCCTGCGCATTTTGATGAAAAGACATCGATACAATACTTCCCTGAAAAGTTATATGCTAGCATGTCATTTTGAAACGAGAAACTATTTTATTTTATATGAGTCAAAGAAGAACGCCACAGTGCATCCTTTACACATGCCAGGTTTCTTTTGTACACTAAAAGATGCGGATGATTTGATGGTAATGAACATTTGACAATTTGAACAGCGCGTTCACAATAGAAGTGAGCTTTTGGATAATCGCCCTTTCTATAATACACCGAACCGATGTTGTTGTAGGATGTGGCTAAATGAGGATGGTTTTCAGGAAGTGATTGTTGTCGAATTGAAAGAGCTTTCCCGTAGTATTCGAGTGATTTTGAATAATCACCCTTTCTATAATACACCGAGCCGATATTGTTGTAGGATGTGGCTAAATGAGGATGGTTTTCAGGAAGTGATTGTTGTCGAATTGAAAGAGCTTTCCCGTAGTATTCGAGTGATTTTGAATAATCACCCTTTCTATAATACACCGAGCCGATATTGTTGTAGGATGTGGCTAAATGAGGATGGTTTTCAGGAAGTGATTGTTGTCGAATTGAAAGAGCTTTCCCGTAGTATTCGAGTGATTTTGAATAATCACCCTTTCTATAATACACCGAGCCGATATTGTTGTAGGATGTGGCTAAATGAGGATGGTTTTCAGGAAGTGATTGTTGTCGAATTGAAAGAGCTTTCTCATAGTATTCGAGTGATTTTGGATAATCACCCATACTATGATACACTGAACCGATGTTTCCATACGATGTGGCTAAAAGAGGATGGTTTTCAGGAAGTGATTGTTGGTCAATTGAAAGAGCTTTCCCGTAGTATTCGAGTGACTTTGGATAATCACCCATACTATCATACACCGAACCGATGTTAGCATATAATGTGCCTAAACTAGGATGGTTTGCAGGAAGTGATTTCTCAAGAAGCATAAGTGATTTAGTATATAATATTATGGATTCCTGAAACAAGCCTTGCCGATGTCGGATACGACCAAGTTGATGACAGATCAATGCCTCTTCACTGTCATCTGATGTTTGGTTTAGTAAAGTATCATAAATCTTCTCAGCCGTGTCTTGTTGACTCAATTCAATCAGCAGTTGGCCTAATCGCGCCCATCCTTTACCATCAACATGATTCTCGCGACGAATATGATCCGTCAGTGCGCGTAACTCTTCGTTAGAATCAAGAGTAAGCGAGATATTCACTTCATAGATTGGTCGACCACTGCCAATAACTTTGATGTCATGAATGCGAAACACGGTGTGCATTGAAAACAACACTTCGGTCTCTTCTGAAAAGTACCCATGATTTTCAACATGAACAAACGGTGTTGTTGACTGTGAAGGATCGACGCGTATTGTGAAGAGAATTCCTACGAGCTTGGGATTGTCAGCACTACTTTCCGCGTACGAAAACGAGACGCCGCGGTTTGTACTGGTGGAGAAGAAGTTGTTGAATGACATCAACCCACCTATCGTGTTTCTTAGTTCGTCAAAATCTGTGTGAGATAGACCTTGTCCACGATATACTGTAAACACAAGAGAACTCCAAGATGTGTTAACGAACTGTTCTTTGTGCAACTGTTCAATGTTGCGATGAAGATCAGTGATGAAGAATCCCATTCGAACAAGAATATCACCGTCCATGATTCGTAGTGCATAGTTGAGTATGGAATGCAACGAAGTACCTTTTGTATACCACCAGATGGGCTTCTTTACATGGTATTCACGTACTAATTGCTTAACATCACTGGAATGGTTACTATCGAGAGTGATTAGTCCAGGATGATGCTTGATAAAGTCTTCGATGTGTTTGTCTTGGAATTCGATCGTTAACAAGATCTCTTTGAAGAGTTGTGTGTACATGAAAGATGGATTGAGGAGATCCAGTCTTTTGCCAGATGGCACAAAACTGATTGGCGTGGTGTTAGGCTCATCTTGAGGAAACGTGATCTGAATGGCTTGGCAGAGTGATATTATATCAATGAAAACGTCTTTGATCTTGTACCAGTGTTTAGCCCATTGTTCATGATATGATTTGTTTTGACAAAAGATGAAAATGGAGTGTAGCTGAGGAATGTCATGGATACAACGCACAAGATATTGTCCGAGTGCACCAGAAAGGATTAGATATACTCGATGGTGATTGTTGCTGATTATAAACTCGACGCATTCATCATTATCCGTGAATGTAGTGACATTATCAGCAATGCGTTGGAGTTGTGTAAGTGTTACGTGACAATCAGGATTGTTATGATCAATATGATTGTCGAGCCAGATGACAACGACGTCTTCCATCTTTTTAATATCGATCGATCGATCAATGATTGTCTGTTGCGTTGAAAGTTCTGATTATTGTTCCCCGAGTAGTTGTTAACTTCAGTCTCTATATTTTGATGCTGTGCTGGTTAAAACACAATAAAAAAAAGTAACTTAGTTGGCGAATTGTTGTGTTCTTTCTTCTTTCGAGAGAAGACGTACACATAACAACTGAATAACGAGAAACACATGAGTGTAGAGAATATGTTTATTGGTATGCAAATACTGGAGATGTGAATAGGAAGTGTTTGGCAAAAGGCGTAGTTTAACTGGAATAAATCGAAATAGCTCCCGTTGGCATTATATATTCTTCTCTTTGAAAAAAGCATCATGGAGAGATTGAATGTTAACTGTTCGAGATGCTAATAATCATTTTGTTCTAGTTAATCATAGTCTGTCTGTAGTCGTTGTAATCGAGAAACATAAATGTTTGCTCATCTTTTCTTTCACTTTTGCTTCCATAAGTGTATCGTTTGCGTTAAAAACTGATTAGAAAGTAATAATAATGTTGAGAGAGGTCTACTTTAGCCAATTAGAAGAAAAGGTATGAGTCTGCCGTTGATAGAAAGAGTTGTTTTAGAGGCATATGCTCTGTGAGAAACTATCCATAGAAAGATACTCTCGCGTTAGATTACGACAAATATCTGTCTTGTCTTAGATGAAAAGTGGTCAATGACAAGAGCATCGTTTTGTCTGTTTATTTGTTTACAGCTATGAATACTCCACTCTTTACTTAATCTGAATCATTGACTAAATGTAAAAAGTAAATAGTTTGCTGATAAGACCACAAAACACCGTTTTTATAAGTCAGATTTAGTAGAAACACACATTATGATTTGAATATACAACGTTCTCTTTCATACTTCAACAATGCAAACGCTGAAAACTCATCTTCAAAATCTGAAGACTTCTGATAGAACTGATGGTGATAATGAACATCACCTTCGTTCCAGTATTATTGCCACTTGAATCTACATCATAGTTCTCTCAATACTTCTCACAATCGTTTGTGTTGTACTCTGGATGAGTTCTCAAATCACAGTGATAACAATAAATGAACCGATTATGACAGCTATTCGACTTCTCCCATTCGATGTCTGATGTCCATGTTCATGTATTTCTATTTCATATGGTAATTTCACTTTGATTTAATCACGACTCCATCAGGTGTGTTCAAGTGAATTGATTATTGATCGATGGATTGAAAGTATTAACTTTGGTGGTAGAAATCATTATGAAGTGACAGATTGTCGATGTTAATCTCTACATAGATGAGCAAGGCAACTCTTGTAATTATTTTGGATTTCTCGATTTTATCGTATATTTCTACGAATATCGACAACATTATCAGTCATGATGATCACGAACTAAAGTCGTTTTGAAATGAATTCATTAGTTAAATCAATATTCAATGATCCGATGGTAGAAGAATGAACGAACGAAAACTATACTCCAATAGTCTTTCATGTCCATGTTCATCAATTTCTGTCTGTTATTCTACTTTTCTCAGTATGGAACCTCATTTTCATCAGATATGCACAAGTGATTTCTCTTGTTCGAGTTAGATTCGTTATACTTATTTTGTGAAATGATATCAGTTGGTATTCTCGTTTGGACTATCGACTTTCGAGTAGTGCAACGCTTTACTTCTTATCCCTGTTTTGTGAAGAAACAATGTAAATGATGAATCGTTCATAGAATAGTTTCTTGCAAACACAACTGATCAATTTTCACGTACTTTCTCGAGAAGTTGTTCGAATCTGAAATGAATTCAGTGATTGAAAGTTGGCGATGTGCAACGACTTATCAATATCTTCTGTTCCACTACTTTTCGAAATTCCAAATGATTATACTGAATGTCATTTTGTTAATTTCTTTTTTGCGTCGACATTGGAATGTCCTGTATAATCGATCTTTTATGATGGTGATTGATACTTATATCGATAAGTCTCGTGGTGAAACATCTGATTTGAATTTATCCTTTTCTCGTTATTATCGAATCGATGTACTCCATACATGTGCATATTTGAATATCAAGATCACATGAGTATCGTTCTAGTTCGAAAAACTATTATTAATGTATTTGGTGGACTATATCCCTTAGTTTTCAGCTTTTGATCATCATTATCCTTTGATGAATTGAGAAAATGACACTGTATAGATATCATGTTCATCTAATTGATTTTCTATCTATGCAGAACTATTCACTCGTTATTCTGAAGCTATTGAATGTTTGCGTTCACAAATGTCAATTCCATATGGATCATACCTCGTTTTCATCAGGTATGTTCAAATGAATTTGTATCCAATGATGAGATTAGTTATGTTTATGAGGAGAATATTTTGATTGGATAAGACAATTCGAACGATTCTCGATATTCTGCTAGTTCATAATTTCAGTTACTGACATTACTAAAAAATCTCTTATGGAACAAATTGAACAGTTAAATTGTTCTTTCGTGGTACGTTAAGAGTTGCACCGCGATGGATAACAACTGAAAATTGTCGTACAGTGAAATGTAAGTGAAGTTAAACATGGATTCGTCGTAATAAGTGTTCAGTGTAGTGTCGTTAAACTGAAGTGATTACTTGACTCTAGTTAGCCATACAATACCAGATATTTCAGCGATTCGACTCTGATTAACATTTACAATTAGACGAATAGGGAATAGATGATTTGACATACGAGCAAGACTGAAAACATGCTGTAAATTATTGCGAACATACCATAGACGGTGAGCCAAAGTGGAATTTTTGTTTCAAATCGATATTCAAGCTTTCTCGTTTGTCCAAGCCATAGTAATGCAAAGATCATCTGTAATATTGTTACGAGCAATTTTTCTTGTAGAATCTTCACTTTATCGTGATATGATGACGTAAAGATCTCCATGCTATACGCTTCGACAAAGTAGAAAACATGACTACACATCTCTGATCAAGATGTGAATATCTTCTATAGATCGAAGAAACATGTATAGAGTATGTGATGGGTAGTTTGCGATAGATCTTGTAACATAATTTATTCTTTTTAAATACCATCATTCGAATTATATAACTCACTTATAAAGCTGTCTGTAGAATAAAAATTCATCTCAAAATCTTCGAAAACGAAATTACTCGTCAATCATAAAATTTATTCAAGTCGAATACTGTGTATAAAGATATGTGTTACATCCTAGATCATTTTGTTTGTTTCTATTGAGAAATGTACTGACAAAGTAGCAGTATTTGAGACTTGAAATATCGGTAATTTAGTTTGATGAATCATATCTATGGGTTGTCTTTAGTAGAGCTTTAGATCTTGAATGATTTTCGGATAGATTCAGTGTTTGTTATGAATCCTCATTATGAGTTTTGATTCAATTCACATTTGAATGGTCAACTCTGGAACTCTCTCTCGACACCTCACTTTCATTCTATCACCCTGGTTTTATTCATCTCTGCAGATGCATAGCGTTTGACATATTCAAGATCATCTTAATGAGAAAGTTTATTTATAAATTCGCACTTTAGATAGTTATCTGGTTAGTCAAGTGCATGATAATAATATTCATACAAGTCACTTGACTCTCTGAATGACATACTCAGAAAAAAAACATCGAAGTTCACAAAAAGCCGTCAAGATAACACGCATAAAACTCTCTTCTCTATTTTTCACCTTCCATTTCACATATAATCATCAACTTAATGATTAACTATCATGACAATTCCGTTTTCTGTCCGTTTTTACCTTTATTTCCCTCTTCTTATCCCATCCATACCATGTTCGATTTTTCTTCTCTATCATTTTCTTACCAACCGAACGCTTCGTCGTGCTCTTAACAATCATGTTATTATTATTATTCTTTTTCTCGGTCTTCTCTACGAATTAACCGATGTTATTTGGCTCATGCATTATTATCGAGTTCGGACTACCTTATTTCAAACATCCGCATTCTGTCTCCTGTGGGTTTTCATCGACGTTGGTATATTTGTCACAATAACAAACTTAGTCGCATGGGCATCAATTCAACGACATATTCTCATTTTCCATGACACATGGGTCACAACAAAACGAGGTCGTTTAGTGTTTCATTACATACCTTCGTTCATCTGTTTTCTTTATCCCATTATGTTCTATGCATACGTTTTCTTTATTTTTAATTGTGATCAACCGCTTAACTATAATATCATTCGCTGTGGTTATTCCTTCTGTGCTACATATGACCCAATCATTGGAAAGCTTGACGGCATCGTAAACAACATTTTACCGACTTTCATCGTTGTTATATTTAGTTTCCTGCTTTTTGTTCGTATATTATTGCAAAAGCGGCGTTTACGTCAACGCATTCACTGGCGAAATTATCGCAAAATGGCCGTTCAAATATTATCCATTTCTGGTATTTATCTTTTGTTTTATTTTCCATCAATGATTATATTCACGTTGTTTACATGTAACGTGTCGCTGAGTGACGATATTTTTGATTATTATGGTTCGAATATTTTTTTCATTCCTCATATTATCATGATGATTCCATTCGCAACTATTTTCTCGCTTCCTGAGCTTCGTAAAAAGCTTCATGTCGCTGTATATCCATGGAAACGACCAGCAGTACACAATCATGTTCGACATTAGATTGTTAATGGAAGAAAGAGCAATATTGCAGGTGGAGATATGAAAGAAAAATTTTTTGTGAAGTATAGCGTGAAAACAACGTAATTAGAAGATAGAATGATGATTTCGATTGTAATTTGTAGTCGAAATTGTGATACCGTCTTCATGTAAACAAGCATCCTAATTAAGAGAAAAAGACGTATTTCCATGTTCGGCATGCTACCAATCACTTAAGCATATAGTTTATCAATTATATTTCAGTCATTGTCATATGTATCGAATAATTTTAACATATACTCAATCGCTTCCTTTTTTCGTTAATTGATTTATGGTTCTTATTCGTTTAATGTAAAATGTGTGGCGAGTGATGTACATTGATAAGAACAGGAAAAAAAACGTATCTGACTTTATGAAGGATAAGCAGATCGAAAATGTGCAACTTCACCTCAAAATCGTTTATGAAGACGTTCGATTTTTAATAAATCATATTCTACATCTCTCATAACCACATTTTTTGCGTACAGATGCATATTAATGATACACGACACTTTGATGTTATGATATAATTGTACACATCACATTGATATGTATCTTTGTTTCGTTCCTTCGTTCTAATGACACACCACGTCGTTAGTGTTCGAGTCGGAGATATAAACTTCTATATAAGTACGCATGAGTTAGTACACGAAAGTTAAACAAAACTATGGCTGGAACTTCTACGATTCCGCCCGACTATCAAGATGCCAATCCATTACTTTATACATTTCGAGATGATAATACAGGCATTCAACCATNTATCGGTATGCAAACACTGAAGATGTGAATAGGAAGTGTTTGGTAAAAGGCGTAGTTTAACTGGAATAAATCGAAATAGCTCCCGTTGACATTATGTTCTTCTCTTTGAAAAAAGCATGATGGAGAGATTGAATGTTAACTGTTCGAGATGCTAACAATCATTTTGTTCTAGTTAATCATAGTCTGTCTGTAGTCGTTGTAATCGAGAAACATAAATGTTTGCTCATCTTTTCTTTCACTTTTGCTTTCATAAGTGTATCGTTTGCGTTCAAAACTGATTAGGAAGTAATAATAATGTTGAAAGAGCTCTACTTTAGTCAATTAGAAGAAGAAGTATGAGTCTACTCTTGATAGAAAGAGTTGTTCTAGAGGCATATGCTGTGTGAGAAACTATTCCTAGAATGATACTCTCTCGTTCGATTACGACAGATATCTGTCTTGTCTAAGAGATGAAAAGTGATCAATGACAAGAGAATCGTCTTGTTTATTTATTTGTTTAAAGCTTTGAATACCCCACTCTGTACTTAATCCAAATCATTGACTAAACGTAAAAAGTAAATAGTTTGCTGATAAGACCACAAAACACCGTTTTTATAAGAAAAATCTGAGTAAATCTTTCGAACCATGGCAGCGTCGCGTGATAGCTATATTTTTCTTTCACACTATAAGACACTGAGTTGTACAGATAATTTCATAGAATCACGCGAAACAAAAGTCAGATTTAGAAGAAACACGCATTATGATTTGAATATACAACGATCTCTTTCATACTTCAACAATACAGACGCTGAAAACTTATCTTCAAAATCTGAAGACTTCTGATAGAATTGATGGTGATAATGAACATCACCTTCGTTCCAGTATTATTGCCACTCGAATCTACATCATAGTTCTCTCAATACTTCTCACAATCGTTTGTGTTGTATTCTGGATGAGTTCTCAAATCTCCCATTCGATGTCTGATGTCCATGTTCATGTATTTCTATTTCATATGGTACTTTCACTTTGATTTAATCACGATTCCATCAGGTGCATTCAAGTGAATTGATTAGTGATCGATGGATTGAGAACGATTAACTTTGACAATGGTGGAAATCGTTATGAAGTGACTGATTATCGATGTTAATCTCTACATAGATGAGCAAGGCAACTTTTGTAATTATTTTGGATTTCTCGATTTTATCGTATATTTCTACGAATATCGACAACATTATCAGTCATGATGATCACGAACTAAAGTCGTTTTGAAATGAATTCACGAGTTCAATCAGTGTTCAATGATCTGATGGTAGAAGAATGAACGAACGAAAACTATACTCCAATAGTCCTTCATGTCCATGTTCATCAACTTCTATCTGTTATTCTACTTTTCTGAGTATGGAACCTCATTTTCATTAGATATGCCAAGTGATTTGTCTTCTTCGAGTTAGATTTGGTATACTCGTTTGGACTATCGACTTTCGAGTGGTGCAACGTTATACTTCTGATCTGTTTTGTGAAGAAGCAATACAAATGACGAATCGTTCATAGAATAGTTTCTTGCAAACACAGTTGATCAATTCTCACGTACTTTCTCAAGAATTTTTCGAATCTGAAATGAATTCAGTGATTGAAAGTTGGCGATGTGCAACGACTTATCAATATCTTTTGTTCCACTACTTTTCGAAATTCCAAATGTTTATGCTGAATGTCATTTTGTTAATTTCTTTTTTGAATCGACATTGGGATGTCCTGTATAATCGATCGTTTATGATGGTGATTGATACTTATATCGATAAGTCTCGTGGTGAAACATATGATTTGAATTTATCCTTTTCTCATTATTATCAAATCCATATACTCCATACATGTGTTTATTTGAATATGAAGATCGTTTGAGTATCGTTCTAGTTCGAAAAACTATTGTTTATGTATTTGGTGGACTATATCCCTTGATTTTCAACTTTTTATCGTCATCATTCTTTGATGAATTAAGAAAATGACACATAGATATCATGTTTATCTGATTGATTTTCTTCGACATCCATTTTCTATTTACGCAGAACTGTTCACTTGTTATTCTAAAGCTATTGAATGTTTGCGTTCACAAATGTCAATTCTATATGGATCATACCTCGTTTTCATCAGATATGTTCAAGTGAATCTGTATCCAATCATGAGATTAGTTATATTTATGAGGAAAATCTTTCGACTGGATAAGACAATTCGAACGATTTTCAATATTCTGCTAGTTCACAATTCCAGTTACTGACATTACTATGTCGGTTTGCTCAGAAAACAATCAAGAGTGCACGCGTACGATTGCTGACAAATTAGTTTGTTAATCTTGAAAATGAACTTTTACCCGAAAAGTCTCTTATGGAACGAACTGAACAGTTAAATTGTTCTTTTGTGGTGCGTTAAGAGCTGCGCTGCGATGGATAATAACTGAAAATTGTCGTACAGTGAAATGTGAGTGAAGTTAAACATGGGTTCGTCGCAATAAATGTTCAGTGTAGTGTCGTTAAACTGAAGTGATTACTTGACTTTGATTAGCCATACAATACCAGATATTTCAGCGATTAGACTCTAATTAACATTTACAATTAAACGACTGAGGAATAGATGATTTGACATACGGGCAAGACAGAAAACATGCTGTAAATTATTGCAAACATACCATAGACGGTGAGCCAAAGTGGAATTTTTGTTTCAAATCGATACTCGAGCTTCCTCGTTTGTCAAAGCCATAGTATAATGCAACGATCATCTGTAATATTGTTGGTAGAAATTTTTCTTGTACAATCTTCACTTTATCGTGATATGATGACGTAAAGATCTCCATGCTATACGCTTCCATAAAGTAGAAAACATGACTACACATCTCTGATCAAGATGTGAATATCTTCTATAGATCGAAGAAACATATATAGAGCATGTAATAGTTAGTTTGCGATAGATCTTGTAACATAATTTATTCATTTTAAATACCATCATTCGAATTATATAACTCACTTATAAAGCTGTCTGTAGAATAAGAATTCATCTCAAAATCTTCGAAAACGAAATTATTCGTCAATCATGAAACTTATTCAAGTCGAATACTGTGTATAAGGATATGTGTTACATTCTAGATCATTTTGTTTATTTTTATTGAGAATGTACTGACAAAGTAGCAGTATATATGCGACTTGAAATATCGGTAATTTAGTTTGATGAATCATATCTATGGGTTGTCTTTAGTAAAGCTTTAGATATTGAATGATTTTCGGATAGATTCAGTGTTTGTTATGAATTCTCATTATGAGTTTTGATTCAATTCAGAACTCTCGATATCTCACTCTCATTCCATCACCCTGGTTTTATTCATCTCTGCAGATGCATAGCGTTTGACATATTCAAGATCATCTTAATGAGTAAATTTATTTATAAATTCGCACTTTAGATAGTTATCTGATTAGTCAAGTGCATAATAATAATATTCACACAAGTCACTTGACTCTCTGAATGACATACTCAGAAAAAAAACATCGAAGTTCACAAAAAGCCGTCAACATAACACGCATAAAACTCTCTTCTCTATTTTTCACCTTCGATTTCACATATAATCATCAACTTAATGATTAACTATCATGACAATTCCGTTTTCTATCCGTTTTTACCTTTATCTTCCTCTTCTTATTCCATCCATACCATGTTCGATCTTCGTTCTCTATCATTTTCTTACCAACCGAACGCTTCGTCGTGCTCTTAACAATCATGTCATTATTCTTATTCTTTTTCTCGGTCTTCTCTACGAATTAACCGATGTTATTTGGCTCATACATTATTATCGAGTTCGGACTACCTTATTTCAAACATCCACATTCTGTCTCCTGTGGGTTTTCATCGACGTTGGTATATTTGTCACAATAACAAACTTAGTCGCATGGGCATCAATTCAACGACATATTCTCATTTTCCATGACACATGGGTAACAACAAAACGAGGTCGTTTAGTGTTTCATTACATACCTTCATTCATCTGTTTTCTTTATCCCATTATGTTCTATGCATACGTTTTCTTTATTTTTAATTGTGATCAACCACTCAACTATAATATCATTCGCTGTGGTTATTCCTTCTGTGCTGAATATGATCCAATCATTGGAAAGTTTGACGGCATCGTAAACAACATTTTACCGACTTTCATCATTGTTATATTTAGTTTCCTGCTTTTTGTTCGTATATTATTGCAAAAGCGGCGTTTGCGTCAACGCATTCACTGGCGAAATTATCGCAAAATGGCCGTTCAAATATTATCCATTTCTAGTATTTATCTTTTGTTTTATTTTCCATCAATGATTATATTCACGTTGTTTACATGTAACGTGTCACTAAGTGACGATATATTTAACTATTATGGTTCGAATATTTTTTTCATTCCTCATATCATCATGATGATTCCATTCGCAACTATTTTCTCGCTTCCTGAGCTTCGAAAAAAGCTTCATGTCGCTGTATATCCATGGAAACAACCAGCAGCACACAATCATATTCAACATTAGATTGTTAATGGAAGAAAGAACAATATTACAGGTGGAGACATGAAAGAAAACTTTTTTGTGAAGTATAGCATGAAAACAAACGTAATCAAAGATTGTCTCAGTATGCAGATAGAGTAATGATTTCGATTGTAATTTGTAGTCGAAATTGTGATACCGTCTTCGTGTAAACAAACATCCTAATTAAGAGAAAAAGACCTATTTTCATATTCGGCATACTACTAATCACTTAAGCATATAGTCTATCAATTATATTTTAGTCATTGTCATATGTATCGAATAATTTTAACACACACTCAATTTCTTCCTTTTTTCGTTAATTGATTTATCGTTCTTATTCGTTAAATGTAAAATGTGTTGCGAGTGATGTACATTGATAAGAACAAGAAAAAAAAAACTTATCTGACTTTATGAAGAATAATCAGATAGAAAATGTGCAACTTCAGCTCAAAATCATTAATGAAGACGTTTGATTTTTAATAAATGATATTCTACATCTCTCATAACCACATTTTTTGCGTACGGATGCATGTTAATGATACACGACACTTTGATGTTATGATATAACCGTACACATCACGTTGATATGTATCTTTGTTTCTTTCCTTCGTTCTAATGACACACCACGTCGTTAGTGTTCGAATCGGAGATATATAAACTTCTATATAAGTACGCGTGAGTTAGTACACGAAAGTTAAACAAAACTATGGCTGGAACTTCTACGATTCCGCCCGACTATCAAGATGCCAATCCATTACTTTATACATTTCGAGATGATAATACAGGCATTCAACCATNCACCACGTCGTTAGTGTTCGAGTCGGAGATATAAACTTCTATATAAGTACGCATGAGTTAGTACACGAAAGTTAAACAAAACTATGGCTGGAACTTCTACGATTCCGCCCGACTATCAAGATGCCAATCCATTACTTTATACATTTCGAGATGATAATACAGGCATTCAACCATACTTCATAGCTGTATCTCAATTTTTCTTTTTCGAGTTCTCATTTCGTCTTTGGGATCGAGCAGTCTACGGTACATGGTTACTACCAAGTGACTTCATCGACGTTAAAATAGTCAAATCACCTCCACCACCACCTCCTCCTCCTCTTCCACCTCCTGCTATCTTTGCACCTCGACGTCGACGCGCCTCCCGTATTCGAACAATCTATCTTCTCAACTACCAGAAAGCAATCTTATTAAAGACCAGCGAGGAACTAGAAGAAAATAGAAAGAAGCCAACGTTTGATTTATTTGACATTCTGTTCGCTTGTTCGCCATTATTTGCACATGCGATTTGGTATTGTGTCATCCAATCAAATTGCATGTCAGGCGCATTTGCGACGACCTGGAATTGCTACAATCTGTTTGGCTATCGAATATACAATTATTTATTTGATCCATACTCCATGTTCGCATACGAATATGTTTCAAAGATGATTATCTTACGTGATAAAAGACATCTTGAAGTTCCTTGGATTGTTCGAAAGAAAAAATGGCGACAAGTCTTAGGGAAAATCATCTTTTATCCATCGATGATCATCTCGACTATTACATTTGTGTTTATTTCCGCTATGCTTCTTCCCTATATATTCACCAATGTTATTCCCATGATTGTCATTTATTCGTTCATCGTCACTATTTACGCGTATATTGTGACGATTTATGCAGGTTTACTCAAATTTTATACATTTGTTACAAAGAAAATCTTTAAGATCGATAATGATAAACTTCCCAAAATAGAAATGATAGTGAGAAAATATCATTTCAAACGACGATATATTGTTTACTTTGCCATCCGCTGGTCTCCACATTTAGTACCATTTCTATTCAATTTATCACAATATTTCTTTTATAGCGCAGATTTCCTGGGCGCATTGAATCGAGAAGCATCATCCAGAAGTATAGTCGCTTATTTCGAACGAGTAAGAAACTCACCGCAAATTGTTCATACCATACTAACGGCAATCTAATCGACAAAATATTCAGACTGAGATTATTTTTCCATGGTGTTTCACCGTGTAGATTTTTTGAAGAGTTCTCTAGTGTGAATTTGTAAGCGTAGATTATCATCATTAATAAATATGAAATCTAACAATTAAGTTGTNGTTCGAATCGGAGATATATAAACTTCTATATAAGTACGCGTGAGTTAGTACACGAAAGTTAAACAAAACTATGGCTGGAACTTCTACGATTCCGCCCGACTATCAAGATGCCAATCCATTACTTTATACATTTCGAGATGATAATACAGGCATTCAACCATACTTCATAGCTGTATCTCAATTTTTCTTTTTCGAGTTCTCGTTTCGTCTTTGGGATCGAGCAGTCTACGGTACATGGTTACTGCCAAGTGACTTCATCGATGTTAAAATAATCAAATCACCTCCACCACCTCCTCCTCTTCCACCTCCTGCTATCTTTGCACCTCGACGTCGACGCGCCTCCCGTATTCGAACAATCTATCTTCTCAACTACCCAAAAGCCATCTTATTAAAGACCAGTGAGCAACTAGAAAAAAATAGAAAGAAGCCAACCTTTGATTTATTTGACATTCTTTTTGCTTGTTCGCCATTATTTGCACATGCAATTTGGTATTGTGTCATCCAATCAAATTGCATGTCAGGCGCATTTGCGACGACATGGAATTGTTACAATCTGTTTGGCTATCGAATATACAATTATTTATTTGATCCATACTCCATGTTCGCATACGAATATATTTCGAAGATGATTATCTTACGTGATAAAAGACATCATGAAGTTCCTTGGATTGTTCGAAAGAAAAAATGGCGAAGAGTTTTAGGAAATATCATCTTTTATCCATCGATGATCATCTCGACCATAACATTTGTGTTTGTTTCCGCTATGCTTCTTCCCTATATATTCACCAATGTCATTCCCATGGTTGTCATTTATTCGTTCATCGTCACAATATACGCGTATATTGTGACGATTTATGCAGGTTTACTCAAATTTTATACATTTGTTACAAAGAAAATCTTTAAGATCGATAATGATAAACTTCCTCAAATAGAAGTGATAGTGAGAAAATATCATTTCAAACGACGATTTATTGTCTACTTTGCCATCCGCTGGTCTCCACATTTAGTACCATTTCTATTCAATTTATCACAATATTTCTTTTATAGCGCAGATTTCCTGGGCGCATTGAATCGAGAAGCATCATCAAGAAGTATAGTCGCTTATTTCGAACGAGTAAGAAACTCACCGCAAATTGTTCATACCATACTAACGGCAATCTAATAGACAAAATATCCAGGCTGAGATTATTTTCCCCATTGTGTTTCATCGTGTAGATTTTTTGAAGAGCTCTCTAGTGTGAATTTGTAAGCGTAGATTATCATCATTAATAAATATGAAATCGAACAATTAAGTTGTCTCAAATGATTCTGTTATATCTTTCGCTTTACAGTGATGATTCAATGGAAAACAGACTTTGTAGTGAATAATTTACATAAGATTTGAGGAAAAGATTAAAACGAAAAATGGAGAGATCTTATCAGAATGCATAGAAATAAGAATCAAACTTCTGAATTCGATGATAATTTGAGTCAACGAATAACCTTGGTTATCTAACACAATTCTATTTGGACAATTCAAGTCAAACGTTCGGATCCTACAGATAAATGGACATCTGTAAAAAGTTTCGAACAATATAAATGATTTAAAAGGGATTTTTAATGTCTATCGAGAACTGTTCATCTTGCGCATCATTACATCAGATCACTGCGTGTTCTTATTACCCCTGAAAACAATGATATATCAACAAAAGATAAAGTTTTAGCTTTAAGTTATATTTATCTTGAAAGAGAAAAGAAGAAAAACGTTATTTTATCTTTCAGAGCATTTTTTAAAAATATGTACCTACTCTCGAAACAAAGTCCAAGGACATGTAACGAAAGGACATTTATAGTGATTATAGTGAATGACTCATGTGTGCATATCCTATCAGCAGTAAATGTGGTGGAAATAAAAGTCCCATGTTGTTGCATATAAAGCAGAAACGGAAAGAATTGTTTCACATACCTGAGGATTCGACAAAAATGGACATGAAAATGTGTATGGTTATGCAAAATGGTTTTCAGTTTGCAACTGGAGACGACCGTTGTATAGTGTTTTTATTCAAAGGTTGGAATGTTGATAATCACACGAAATATGCTTTTATGATTATCGGTACTTTCTGCATGGCTTTACTTAATGGTGGATTAGCATTCATTCGTCATTTTTTAGTCAATAAATCACAAAAGAATTCATCCCCATTAATTTATCAAGTTTATCTATCATTAGTCTATGGAGTTCAAATTGTTTTAGCTTATTGGATGATGTTGTTAGTCATGACTTATGAAACTGGTGTTTTTCTTGCACTTGTGTTTGGTCTCACGATTGGATACTTTATTTTTACTTTACTTGAAAGCAAGACTAAACTAGCAACAGTGAATTCGACCTATCAAAATCAATTCAACAATACACCCTGTTGTCAAACGACGAGTTAAAAGTCATTTTCTATGCGAAAAAGTACATCGACATTTACTACATTTTGTTTTTAACCATTATATTAACTACCACGAATAAAAGCTTGGATTACGTCGTGTATAGTTTTGAATTGTTTTGATAAGAAAAATGAGAGCATCATGTCAGAGTGAATATGAACAAATGTTTTGCGTAGTTGCTTTACTTGAACAGATCAAGTAAGATTTATTTTAACAATGAAATTGAAAAATCGATCGATGATACAAACTACAGGTCAAAGTAATCGGCCTTATAAATATCGTACAAAAAAGAAATGTCAAATCCAAGTTTTACAATGGGAGACACTGTTGATATGGAAATCAGTATGACTCGGTAAAATCGTAAACATTAATATCCAAATGAAATACATAGATTATCAATTACCATTTCCGTTCCATTTTGAGATAATCCAGAGTATGGAGTTCCACTGCCCGCGGACAAGACAATCGTGTCTATATTTGTACAAACAGTACATTGAAATAGGGTTGAGTTAGCTGCAAAGACTGTGCGGGAAGTACCCAACCTGAAAGAACCCAGTCGGAACAGTGCGATCGATATATTGAGACCACTTCGCCAAGCAGAAGTCCAAGTGATGGAATCAAATGAAAAACTTGAACCATTAGCCGATGATATTGTTATATTACTGCCTCCTGGATTGTAAGCGACGTAGGATGAGGCAGGAACTATAGATCGCAGGCCACCTATTGGTGCTGATGATGCATTTATGTACACAGTATTGACCCAGTTAAGATTTTTATACCCGTTTGGAACAGTGCCAGATGATGATGATTGACCAGAAATATCATCGAATGTTACTTGAGTTGTACAAACTAAGGAAACATATGGTAAGATGATAAATATCTAACTATTTAAAAGTAAAACTTACCAGGTTTCGTAGTAGTAGTTGTTGTTGTTGTGGCCGAAGTTGAGGTTGTCGTTGCGGTACTAGTGGTAGTCGTTGCAGTACTTGTCGTTGCGGAAGTTGACGTTGTTGTGGCGGTACTTGTTGTAGCCGAAGTTGATGTGGTCGTCGCAGAAGTTGAAGTAGTCGTTGCGGTACTTGTGGTTGTTGTAGTGGCTGTGGATGTTGTTGTAGAAGTTGTCGCAGTGGTCGTAGTAGTGGAAAGAGTATTCGTAGTAGCTGTGGTAGTTGTCGCTGTCGACGTCGTTGTTGTACTAGTTGAGGTGCTTGAAGTGCTTGATGTTGTCGAAGTGCTAGCTGTGCTAGTGGTGGTGGTTGTAACTGTTGTTGTGGTGGCCGACGTGGAAGTAGTAGATGTACTTGTTGTAGTATTGTAATTAACTAAGACAATTTTTATCATCATAGAACTTGTTTTATTTTAATATTCGATATACATACTTGTTGCTGTCGCTGCTGAAGTGTCATCTAGAATTAAAATTTGTTGATTATTTCCAAAGAAAATGCAATGGTTACAACATTCTAATTGTCTTATCAGAATAAGAAATCGATAGTTCCTCGCAATACCTCCTTCGTATACAAATAAAAGAATGGCTAGTACCTGCGTTTTCGATCCTCTCGTTTCTCATTTTTCTTGTAAAAGAGCATACTCTCTGTCATTAACCTAATTCGAGCCAAAAAAAGACAGATAACAATCAATACCTGATTTCTTCAATCCGACGACCAGACCCACGATCAATGCAGCAATCAACAAAAGCAAGATGATCGTTGTGGCAATACAGCAACAACAGGCATGTTCCCTATAGAATAAATTTGATAAATGTACAAAGCAAAGATGAATGTAAGAGGCGTCATTACTTTAACCAAGCCCCTATCGACCGTTTTGCTTTATCCGGTTTCGACTCTCGGTCGTTAAGCAGATCGCTGGATGAATTTGGCGTCCATGGTTTATCTATATTCGGCGTGACTGATCGTGGACCAGGCTGTATAACTTGAAGCTCAGCGCGCATGAAACGATCTTACAGGTTAAACTTGAATTTATGTGACTATTTTACTGAGAAACAACTTCTATTTATTCTGTTGTGTGCGTTCTGTGCGACTTACTGTGATTGTTGAGGGTGACCCACGTGTAACACGAAAGAAAAATATTTCATTTCGACTCATTTCATAAGAAAAATTATTGGAAGAAAACAAAAGGGTGAGGGTAGTCTTCCTACGCATAATTTAAAAGAGAAGCTGTCAACATATGAAATGATTGCAGTTGAAGAGCATCACTATGTAAGATAAACAAAAAAATACCACCTACGAATTTTTGCTGACGTCAATTCAACTAAAAAAGTATTTGAATTTCATTTCTATTTTTCTCACTCTAATCGCCTTGCATTGCACTAAAACAACCATGAAGCAACCTCAGTTTTTCTTAAGTAAATAAAAAAACTCTTTCTCACGTAGTACCATCTTATTTAAGAGTGAAAACGAAGGCGAAATCAATCAGAATATAGACTCTCACTGCAGGAACAAAGATAGGTGAGTATTATTGAATGGCATCCATCGATAGGCGCACTTGAACTGCACATAGAAAAATACATTGGTAGTATCATGATTGTATAAGCAAAATGTTCGTGTAGCCTTCAACGATCATAATCAGCGACAGATCTATTTGAAAAGCTTTTAGTATGAACAATCCGGCGTAGAATAAAAGAAAAATCGAATTGAAGCGAGAGACATAAAATGTAAGTTTTGTTATTTTAGAATCGAGATTGGCTCTGAAAAACAATGCAGATGTACTTATTGATGTTATTTTTATGAATATATTCGTTCTTGAGATATCACATTCGTCAAAAATGTATTTATATAGAATTTTTACAGCTTTACAGTGAAGTGTTTACATTGGTATTATCATTATTATTCAACGTTACTATAGTTTCGTACAGTGTCGACATATTGCAAACAAACTGTTTCTCCGTCTTCGATATGTGAAGCAATAAAAGAAACACATCTAAAGAACGAGTGACCATTTGTCAAAAGAAGTTAATGATCTAGATCTGTTACGATTGAAATAGAATACGTTGTATGATGAGGTCAATTTAAATTCAAATTACAATACATAGTTACAAGTTGTTGTGAAAGTACAAAACTAAAATTTCCAATCGAGCGATGGTTGTAGATGGCGGTATCTTCTTTCGTTAGAAATAAAGAAATCTGTTCGTTGGCCCTTAACTGTGGTTATACAAAACATATACATTTCGTAATATAGTATTGAACATTTCACTTCATATCTATATTTGATCACGAAATTGTATGTCACCATCAAAATAACAACGACATTGAAAAGAAAAAAAAAATCCTATACGCCCTGTTTTCAATATTTCTTAGAGAGACCGACATTTTCCTTTTCGAACACACATACTTCGCGTGTAAAAAAAGAACACTTGTTTTTCTTCCTTTTCTCGCTAAATGAAGGAGAAGAATCATTTTAAAGCGAGAGGAAAGTAGAAAAAGATGCAATCACATGCATGCACTATAATAGTACATCGTATGTCAAAACATAGCGTCAATTGCAAATGAGCTAGCGAGTGTGGTTTTTTTTCAAAGATGATTCGTTTGTGTACAACACCGTTATGGGTATGAAAATCTACTTGTCAGTTAGTTGGTATTTATATCGTTTTCATTCTTTAGGATGAGAATATCACGAATTTATCGTATCCTTATTTAACGGAATGTTTTCGAAATACGATTCTACAATGGATACCTTTGAGTGTCTTTTGGTTCGTTTTACCCTTATGGATTTATGTGCTAAATAGACGAGGAAGGAAACTACAGGCTATGCGGATATCTTCATTATTTATAAGTAAAATGGTAAATAAATAAGTCACTAAGAATCATATTCATAGTTTTCTTGATAGATTTTTACGGTTTTCTTTATTCTCATGCAAATAACGAATGCAGCAACGGAGGTTAATAATCAAGCGGTTTTCTTCACTTCCATCATTTACATAATAACGTCAATAACTATTCTTTGGCTGATAAATTACGATCGCTTGAAAAATGTTCATTCTTCGGAATTACTCTTTATATTTTGGTTACTTGTATCTCTCGCTGTTACACCGAATGTCATCGCTAATTCAATAGACGTTGACAAATCCATAAAATCATGGATAAGATTAACTCGTTTGTACTTTCAATTATTTATCACTCTAGTATCGTTCATTTTGAATTGTTTTGCTGAAAAGTCCACCGATATAGAAAAAGTATGACCGACCTTCATCGCATATTTGACAACAACTTTGCGAAATATAAATTATTTTAGTTGATTGTACCTGAATCTTACGTTAGTTTTCCATCGCGAATATTTTACACATGGGTAACACCGTTGGTTCTTCGAGGTTATAAAAAACCATTGGAAGAAAGTGATTGTTGGAAATTACCAATCTCTGAACGAGTTGTTACCGTTGTTCATCAAGTCCAAAAGTGCATCGATCGAATGAGGAAAACGTCGAGTAAGATTTTATACGCAAATCCAACTGAGAATGTAAATTGAACACTTTTTACATTCACGACGAAGTCGAAATTCATATTGATTTAGCTTGATGATGATTTAACGCAACCATTGCTAACCCATAGGCAGAAATTCGTGTTCTGGCATGCTCTCTTTCGCGCATTTATCCATAAGATCATGGCGGCTGGTTTGATTAAATTCGTTCATGATTTATTACAATTAGCAGGTCCATTGGTGTTAAAGTAAATCGTCGAAAGATGTTTGTTCGCAGTGTTGAAATGATTTGCTTTAGGCTATTCTTAGCGTTTTTCAATGATCCAACAAAACCAAAGTGGCTAGGGTTGTTTTATGCAATGTTGTTGAGTGTCATGACTTTTTGTCAAGCCATTTTCTTACGAACTTATTTTCATTATCAATTTCTCGTTGGACTTCGCTTTCGGTCAGCGATATCCGGACTTGTATATCGCAAAGTGAATTGTTTTCTAATGATTTTCCTTATCCTATCCTTTGAATTCTTAGACCCTCAAGCTAAGCAATGCATCGAAGCATGAAACAACCACCGGCGAAATCATTAATCTAGTTCGTATCAATCGTATTCTATGTTTCATTCATTCTTCTTCTTTCCTATCGATAGATGGCCATTGATGCTTCACATTTTGCTGACATTACCACGCAATTTCATATGTTGTGGTCAGGTAAACATAGAACTAATCTATTCACATTTGAATTTCTTTTATTATATACAAGGTCCATTTCAAATAACTGTGATACTTGTCTTACTTTATAAAGAAATGCAGTTAGCGATAGTACCTGGAGTGATTTTATTGTTTTTGATGATTCCAGTTAATTTGTTTCTACAACGGATTCTAAAACAACTGACGGTAAGAAGAAAATCATTGGAATTCGCTTGTTGACCTGGATTTTAGTCTAAAAAAATGAAAATCAAAGATGAACGAATCAAAATGGTCAATGAAATTCTGAACGGAATTCGTGTTTTGAAATTATACGCATGGGAAATGGCATTTGTTCGTACAATTAATCGTATAAGGGAATCAGAACTCATATATATCCGACAAAAGGCAATCATCGGTGCAGTTTCAAGTATTCTGTGGATATTCACACCCATTCTTGTAAGTAAAACAAGAATTCCACGATTTTGATTAGAATTTCTTTTCAGGTTGGCATAACGACCTTTGCTACCTATGTTCTTCTATCAGATTCGAATATTTTGACTGCCGAGAAAGCATTTGTATCACTGGCGTTATTCAATTTACTTCGTGGTCCACTTATTTCATTCCCGAATATGATTAATAGCATTATTGAGGTAATGGAATGTCGTTCTCTCGTATTTTGTATAATCATACTGCATAGGCACGAGTCTCAAGCGAACGAATCGGAAAATTTCTAACTCGTGATGAAATTGATGAAGATACTGTCGAGCGAATACCGATTGAGATGTCAAATGAGATTTCCGTTCATATACAAAATGGATGTTTCCGTTGGTTGAATCACCCGGAAGCTCCTTTGACTTTAAAAAAGTTCGTTATGAGCAGATCGTTTCGTATTAAGAACAGTTATTTTTAGTATAAATTTGCAAATTCGTCAAGGTTCACTTGTTGCTCTCGTTGGTTCAGTTGGATCGGGTAAAAGTAGTATGTTATCCGCACTTCTCGGAGAAATGAACAAGACTAATGGTCGAGTGTTTATGAGTGGCAAAATTTCATATGTTCCTCAAACCGCTTGGATTATGAATACGACATTGAGAGAAAATGTCATCTTTGGAAAAGATTTTGACAAGAAATTTTACAATCAAGTGATTGAAGCATGTGCTCTGAGACAAGATCTTGGTAATCGAATGAGAAATGATTTCATTCTGAGAAAATATTCGAATTGTTTTCCTAGTTATGCTTCCCGCAAAAGATCAAACAGAAATTGGCGAAAAGGTAAAGAACTCTCTTGATAAATAACAACGAAATCACAATTTCTAGGGCATTAATTTGTCCGGTGGACAACGACAACGTGTTTCTCTAGCTCGGGCGTTGTATAGTAATGCTGATATTTATCTTCTTGATGATCCATTATCCGCTGTTGATGCTCATGTTGGAGCACATATTTTCAAACATGTGATCGGATCGAAAGGATTGTTACATGACAAAGTAGACGTGAAAAACATCATTTTCGAGAGTATTGATTTTGACTATTTGGTGTAGACGAGAATTTTAGTGACACATGGTGTATCACATTTGCATAAATGCGATCAGATTGTAGTTATTTCTCAAGGCGAAATTGTTGACCATGGTGAATACGCTGATCTCATCGGACGAAGTCAAATTTTACGAGATTTTGTTCAGTCCGGAAAGAGAGAGGAAGAAGATGATGATGATGATGGTGAGAATATTGCAGCAGTATCGATTGATAATGACGATGAACAAATTGAGGAAGAGAAGAAAAAACTGATTGAAAAAGAAAAGATCGAAACCGGTTCGGTGAGTTTAGTGACGATGATTGTTGTTTGTCTTCGACTCGATTCACTTCAGGTCAAATTTCGTATTTTCTCAACTTATATTCGTTCAAGTCGACTTTTACTGGTTACACTACTTCTAATTTTCTTCTCGTTAACAATATTCTCCACTCTGTGTACAAATATTTGGCTTTCAAAGTGGACTGATCAATTAACACATCCAATTTATTACATGAGTATTTATTCAATCCTGGGCATAACTCAAGGTAGAGTAGATTTTCTGAGATATTCTTCTATTCATCCGTCTTTTCTGTGTTGAGGTTTCTTTGCCTTTTTGATGCAATTATTCTTAAAACTTTCTGCATATGTCTCCAGTCGAACACTTCATTCCGCTCTTCTCCTTGGAATTCTTCGCTCTCCGATGTCGTTTTTCGATACAACACCTATTGGTCGAATCCTCAATCGTTTTGCTAAAGAAATTGATTCAGTCGATTCCACATTACCGACTTCTTTCTCTCAAGCATTAGTCACTCTGATTGGTGTCATTGTCACAGTCTCCTTGCTCATCTACGGATCATGGCTCGCTATTGTTGAGCTAATTCCACTTGCCTTTCTCTTCATTTACATCCAGGTAGATGAATTTTCTTTTGAATTCTTCTTTTTTTCTAAAGCTTTTGCCTGAAAGCGCGTATACATTTCCTCGTCTCGACAACTCCGCCGTCTTGATTCGGTTACACGTAGTTCAATATANAAACTCACCGCAAATTGTTCATACCATACTAACGGCAATCTAATCGACAAAATATTCAGACTGAGATTATTTTTCCATGGTGTTTCACCGTGTAGATTTTTTGAAGAGTTCTCTAGTGTGAATTTGTAAGCGTAGATTATCATCATTAATAAATATGAAATCTAACAATTAAGTTGTCTCAAGTGATTCTGTTATATCTTTCGCTTTACAGTAATGATTCAATGGAAAACAAACTTTGTAGTGAATAATTTACATAAGATTTGAGGAAAAGATTAAAACGAAAAATGGAGAGACCTTATCAGAATGCATAGAAATAAAAATCAAACTTCTGAACTCGATGATTATTTGAGTCAACGAATAACCTTGGTTATCTAACGCAATTCTATTTGGATAATTCAAGTCAAACGTTCGGATCGTACAGAGGTGATTCGTGTAGGAGTTATTCCAGTGTACAGATAAATCGACATCTATAAAAAGCGTTTCGAACAATGTAAATGGGTCAAACAGGATTTTTAATGTTTATCTTGCGCATCATCACATCACATCAATGCGTGGTCTTATTCCGGTTGAAAACAGTGATGTATCAACAGAGAATAAAGTCTTACCTTTGAAGTATATTTATCATGGAACAGAGAAGAAAAGAAAAAGAAAAAGGTTATTTTCTGCTTCAGAGCATTTTTTTAAACATGTACTTACAATCGAGACAGAGTCCAAGGACATGTAACGAAAGGGCATTTATAGTGATTATAGTGAATGACTCATATGCGCATATCTTATCAGCAGTAAATATGGTGGAAATAAAAATCCCCTGTTGTTGCATATAAAGCAGAAACGAAAAAAATTGTTTCATATACCTGAGGATTCGACAAAATGGACATGAAAATGTGTATGGTTATGCAAAATGGTTTTCAGTTTGCAACTGGAGAGGACCGTTGTATAGTGTTTTTATTCAAAGGTTGGAATGTCGATAATCATACGAAATATGCTTTTATGATTATCGGTACTTTCTGCATGGCTTTACTTAATGGTGGCTTAGCTTTCATTCGCCACTTTTTAGTCAATAAATCACAAACGAATTCATCTCCATTAACTTATCAAGCTTATCTAGCATTAGTCTATGGAGTTCAAATTGTTTTAGCTTATTGGATGATGTTGTTAGTTATGACTTATGAAACAGGTGTTTTTCTTGCACTTGTGTTTGGTCTCACGATTGGATACTTTATTTTTACTCTACTTGAAAGTAAGACTAGACTAGCGACAGTGAATTCGACCTATCAAAATCAATTCAACAATACACCCTGTTGTCAAACGACGAGTTAAAAGCAATTTTCTATGTGAAAAAGTACATCGACATTTACTGCATTTTGTTTTTAATCATTATATTAATTACCACGAATAAAAGCTTGGATTACGTCGTGTATAGTTTTGAATTGTTTTGATAAGAAAAAAGAGAGCATTGTGCCAGAGTGAATATGAACAAATGTTTTGCGTAGTTGCTTTACTTGAACAGATCAAGTAAGATTTATTTTAACAATGAAATTGAAAAATCGATCGATGATACAAACTACAGGTCAAAGTAATCAGCGTTATAAATATCGTACAAAAAAGAAATGTCGGATCCAAGATTTACAATGGGAGACACTGTTGATATGGAAATCAATATGACTCGGTAAAATCATAAACATTAATATCCAAATGAAACACATAGATTATCAATTACCATTTCCGTTCCATTTTGAGATAATCCAGAGTATGGAGTTCCACTGCCCGCGGACAAGACAATCGTGTCTATATTTGTACAAACAGTACATTGAAATAGTGTTGAGTTAGCTGCAAATACAGCGCGGGAAGTACCCAATCTGAAAGAACCCAGTCGGAACAATGCGATCGATATATTGAGACCACTTCGCCAAGCAGAAGTCCAAGTGATGGAATCAAATGAAAAACTTGAACCATTAGCCGATGATATTGTTATATTACTGCCTCCTGGATTGTAAGCGACGTAGGATGAGGCAGGAACTATAGATCGCAGGCCACCTATTGGTGCTGATGATGCATTTATGTACACAGTATTGACCCAGTTAAGATTTTTATACCCGTTTGGAACAGTGCCAGATGATGATGATTGACCAGAAATATCATCGAATGTTACTTGAGTTGTACAAACTAAGGAAACATATGGTAAGATGATAAATATCTAACTATTTAAAAGTAAAACTTACCAGGTTTCGTAGTAGTAGTTGTTGTTGTTGTGGCCGAAGTTGAGGTTGTCGTTGCGGTACTAGTGGTAGTCGTTGCAGTACTTGTCGTTGCGGAAGTTGACGTTGTTGTGGCGGTACTTGTTGTAGCCGAAGTTGATGTGGTCGTCGCAGAAGTTGAAGTAGTCGTTGCGGTACTTGTGGTTGTTGTAGTGGCTGTGGATGTTGTCGTAGAAGTTGTCGCAGTGGTCGTAGTAGTCGAAAGAGTATTGGTAGAAGTTGTGCTAGTTGTCGCCGTCGACGTCGATGTTGTACTAGTTGAGGTGCTTGAAGTGCTTGATGTTGTCGAAGTACTAGCTGTGCTAGTGGTAGTGGTTGTAACTGTTGTTGTGGTGGCCGACGTGGAAGTAGTAGATGTACTTGTTGTAGTATTGTAATTAACTAAAACAATTTTTATCATCATAAAACTTGTTTTATTTTAATATTCGTTATACATACTTGTTGCTGCCGCTGCTGAAGTGCCATCTAGAATTAAAATTCATTGATTATTTCCAAAGAAGATGTAATGATTACAACATTCTAACTGTCTTATCAGAATAAGAAATCGATAGTTCCTCGCAATACTTCCTTCGTATACAAATAAAAGAATGGCTAGTACCTGCGATTTCGATCCTCTCGTTTCTCATTTTCCCTGTAAAAGAGCATACTCTCTGTCATTAAACTAATTCGAGCCGAAAAACGACAGATAACAATCAATACCTGATTTCTTCAATCCGACGACCAGACCCACGATTAATGCAGCAATCAACAAAAGCAAGATAATCGTTGTGACAATACAGCAACAACAGGCATGTTCCCTATAGAATAAATTTGATAAATGTACAAAGCGAAGATGAATGTAAGAGGCGCCATTACTTTAACCAAGCCCCTATCGACCGTTTTGCTTTATCCGGTTTCGACTCTCGCTCGTTGAGCAGATCGCTGAATGAATTTGGCGTCCATGGTTTATCTATATTCGGCGTGACTGATCTTGGACCAGGCTGTGTAACTTGAAGCTCAGCGCGCATGAAACGATCGTACAGGTTAAACTTGAATTTGTGTGACTATTTTACTGAGAAACAACTTCTATTTATTCTGTTGTGTATGTTCTGTGCGACTTACTGTGATTGCTGATGGTGACCCACGTGTAACACGAAAGAAAAATATTTCATTTCAACTCATTTCATAAGAAAAATTATTAGAAGAGAACAAAAGGGTGAGGGTAGTCTTCCTACGCATAATTTAAAAGAGAAGTTGTCAACATATGAAAATATCGCAGTTGAAGAGCATCACTATGTAAGATAAACAAAAAAATACCACCTACGAATTTTTGCTGACGTCAATTCAGTCAGTAAAGTATTTGAATTTCATTTCTATTTTTTTCACTCTAATCGCCTTGCATTGCAATAAAACAAGTATTAAGCAAACTCAGTTTTTTTTAAAGTAAATAAAGAAACTCTTTCTCCCGTAAGACCATATTATTTAAGAGTGAAAGCGAAATGTATATGATCAAAGCGAAGGCGGAATCAATCAGAATATAGACTGTCACTGCAGGAACAAAGGTAGGTGAGTATTGTTGAATGGCATCCGTCGATAGACGCATCTTGAACTGCACATAGAAAAATACATTGGCAGTATCATGATTGTATAAACAAAATGTTCGTGTAGCATTCAACGATCATACTTAGCGACATATCTATTTAAATAGCTTTTAGTATGAACAATCCGGCGTAGAATAAAAGAAAAATCAAATTGAAGCGAGAGATATAAAATGTAAGTTTTGTTATTTTAGAATTCAGATTGGCTCTGAAAAACAATGCAGATGTACTTATTAATGTTATTTTTATGAATATATTTGTTCTTGAGATATCACATTCGTCAAGAATGCATTTATACAGAATTTTTACAGCTTTACAGTGGAGTGTTTACATTGGTATTGTCATTATTATTCAACGTTACTATAGTTTCGTACACTGTCGATATATTGCAAACAAACTGCTTCTTCGTCTTCGATACGTGAAGGAATAAAAAAAAACACATCTAAAGAACGAGTGACCATTTGTGCAAAAAAGTTAATGATCTAGATCTGTTACGATTGAAATCGAATACGTTGTATGATGAGGTCAAGTTAAATTCCAATTACAATAGATAATTACAAGTTGTTGTGAAAGTACAAAACGAAAATTTCCAATCAAGCGATGGTTGTAGATGGCGGTATCTTCTTTCGTTAGAAATAAAGAAATCTATTCGTTGGCGCATAACTGGTTATACAAAACATATACATCTCGTAATATAGCACTGAACATTTCACTTCATATCTATATTTGATCACGCAATTGTACTCAGATTTATTTCGCCATCAAAATCACAACGACATTGAAAAGAGAAAAGAATCATACGCCCTGGTTACAACATGTCTTAGAGAGACCGACATTTTCCTTTTCAAACACACATACTTCGCGTGTAAAAAAAGAACACTTGTTTTTCTTCCTTTTCTCGTTAAATGAAGGAGAAGCATCATTTTAAAAGCAAGAGGAAAGTAGAAAAAGATGCAATCGCATGCATGCACATGTCATGCACTATAATAGTACATCGTATGTCAAAATATAGCGTCAGTTGCAAATGAGCTAGCGAGTGTGTCTTTTTTCAAAGATGATTCGTTTGTGTACAACACCGTTATGGGTATGAAGATCTACATTTCAGTTGGTTGTTATTTATATCGTCTTCATTCTTTAGGATGAGAATATCACGAATTTATCGTATCCTTATTTAACGGAATGTTTTCGAAATACGATTCTACAATGGATACCTTTGAGTATCTTTTGGTTTGTTTTACCCTTATGGATTTATGTGCTAAATAGACGAGGAAGAAAACTACAGGCTATCCGGATATCTTCATTATTTATAAGTAAAATGGTAAATAAATAAGTCACTAAGAAACATATCCATAGTTTTCTTGATAGATTTTTACCGCTTTCTTTATTCTCACGCAAATAATAAATGCAATAACAGAAGTTAATAATCAAGCGGTTTTCCTTACCTCCATTATTTACATAATAACATCAATAACTATTCTTTGGCTGATAAATTACGATCGCTTGAAAAATGTTCATTCTTCGGAATTACTCTTTATATTTTGGTTACTTGTATCTCTCGCTGTTACACCAGATGTCATCGCCAATTCAGTAGATGTTGACAAATCCATAAAATCATGGATACGATTGACTCGTTTGTACTTTCAATTATTTATCACTCTAGTATCGTTCATTTTGAATTGTTTTGCTGAAAAATCCATCGATATAGAAAAAGTATGATCAAAGCTTCATCGCATTTTTGAAAGCAACTTTACGAAATATAAATTATTTTAGTTGATTGTACCTGAATCTTATGTTAGTTTTCCATCGCGAATATTTTACACATGGGTAACACCGTTGGTTCTCCGAGGTTATAAAAAACCATTGGAAGAAAGTGATTGTTGGAAATTACCAATCTCTGAACGAGTTGTTACCGTTGTTCATCAAGTTCAAAATTGCATCGATCGAATGAGGAAAACGTCGAGTAAGATTTTATACGCAAAACCAACTGAGAATGTAAGTCGAACACTTTTTACATTCACGACGAAGTCGAAATTCATATTGATTTAGCTTGATGATGATTTAACGCAACCATTGCTAACCCATAAGCAAAAATTCGTGTTCTGGCATGCTCTCTTTCGAGCATTTATTCATAAGATCATGGCGGCTGGTTTGATTAAATTCGTTCATGATTTACTACAATTAGCAGGTCCATTGGTGTTAAAGTAAATCGTCGAACGGTGTTTGTTCAGTGTTGCAATGATTTATTTTAGACTATTTTTAGCGTTTTTCAATGATCCAACAAAACCAAAGTGGTTAGGATTGTTTTATGCAATGTTGTTGAGTGTCATGACCTTTTGTCAAGCCATTTTCTTACGAACTTATTTTCATTATCAATTTCTCGTTGGACTTCGCTTTCGATCAGCGATATCTGGACTTGTATATCGCAAAGTGAATTGTTTTCTAATGATTTTCCTTATCCTATCTTTTGAATTCTTAGACTCTCAAACTAAGCAATGCATCGAAACATGAAACAACTACCGGCGAAATCATTAATCTAGTTCGTATCAATCATATTCTATGTTTCATTCACTCTTCTTTCTTTTCTATCGATAGATGGCTATTGATGCTTCACATTTTGCTGACATTACCACGCAATTTCATATGTTATGGTCAGGTAAGTATAGAACTAATCTGTTCACATTTGAATTTCTTTTATTATATACAAGGTCCGTTTCAAATAACTGTGATACTTATCTTACTTTATAAAGAAATGCAGTTAGCGATAGTACCTGGAGTGATTTTATTGTTTTTGATGATTCCAGTCAATTTGTTTCTACAACGGATTCTAAAACAACTGACGGTAAGAAGAAAATTGTTGAAATTTGCTTGTTGACTTGGATTTTAGTCTAAACAAATGAAAATCAAAGATGAACGAATCAAAATGGTCAATGAAATTCTGAACGGAATTCGTGTTTTGAAATTATACGCATGGGAAATGGCATTTATTCGTACAATTAATCGTATAAGGGAATCAGAACTCGCATATATCCGACAAAAGGCAATTATCGGTGCGATTTCAAGTATTCTGTGGATATTCACACCAATTCTTGTAAGTAAAACAAGAATTTCACGGTTTTGATTAGGATATCTTTTCAGGTTGGCATAACGACCTTTGCTACCTATGTTCTTCTATCAGATTTGAATATTTTGACTGCGGAGAAAGCATTTGTATCATTGGCACTATTTAATTTACTTCGTGGTCCACTTATTTCATTTCCGAATATGATTAATAGCATTATTGAAGTAAAGGAATGGCGTTCTCTCTTATTTTGTATAATTCTATTGCATAGGCACGAGTCTCAAGCGAACGAATCGGAAAATTTTTAACTCGTGATGAAATTGATGAAGATACTGTCGAACGCATACCGATTGAGATGTCAAATGAGATTTCCGTTCATATACAAAATGGATGTTTCCGTTGGTTGAATCATCCGGAAGCTCCTTTGACTTTAAAAAAGTTCGTTATGAGCAGATCGTTTCGTATTAAGAGCAGTTATTTTTAGTATAAATTTGCAAATTCGTCAAGGTTCACTTGTTGCTCTCGTTGGTTCAGTTGGATCGGGTAAAAGTAGTATGTTATCCGCACTTCTCGGAGAAATGAACAAGACGAATGGTCGAGTGTCTATGAGTGGCAAAATTTCCTATGTTCCTCAAACTGCTTGGATTATGAATACAACATTGAGAGAAAATATCATCTTTGGAAAAGATTTTGATAAGAAATTTTACAATCAAGTGATCGAAGCATGTGCTTTGAGACAAGATCTTGGTAATAGAATGAGAAATGATTTCATTCTGAGAAAATAGTCGAATTGTTTTCCTAGGTATGCTTGCCGCAAAAGATCAAACAGAAATTGGCGAAAAGGTAAAGAACTCTCTTGATAAATAACAACGAAATCACAATTTCTAGGGTATTAATTTATCCGGTGGACAACGTCAACGTGTTTCTCTAGCTCGAGCGTTGTATAGTAATGCTGATATTTATCTTCTTGATGATCCATTATCCGCTGTTGATGCTCATGTTGGAGCACATATTTTCAAATATGTGATCGGATCGAAAGGATTGTTACATGACAAAGTAGACGTGAAAAACATTTTGCGAGTATTGATTTTGACTATTTGGTGTAGACGAGAATTTTAGTGACACATGGTGTATCTCATTTGCATAAATGCGATCAGATTGTAGTTATTTCTCAAGGCGAAATTGTTGACCATGGTCAATACGCTGATCTCATCGGACGAAGTCAAATTTTACGAGATTTTGTTCAGTCCGGAAAGAGAGAAGAAGAAGAAGATGATGATGATGAAAATATCGCAGCAGTATCGATTGATAACGATGACGAACAAATTGAGGAAGAGAAGAAAAAACTGATTGAAAAAGAAAAGATCGAAACTGGTTCGGTAAGTTTAGTGTCAATGATTATTGTTTTTTTCTTCGACTTCATTCACTTAAGGTCAAATTTCGTATTTTCTCAACTTATATTCGTTCAAGTCGGCTGTTACTGGTTATATTACTTCTAATTTTCTTCTCGTTAACAATATTCTCCACTCTATGTACAAATATTTGGCTTTCAAAGTGGACTGATCAATTAACACATCCAATTTATTACATGAGTATTTATTCAATTCTGGGCATAACTCAAGGTAGAGTAGATTTTCTAAGATATTCTTCTGTTCATTCGTCTTTTCTGTGTTGAGGTTTCTTTGCCTTTTTGATGCAATTATTTTTAAAACTTTCTGCATATGTCTCCAGTCGAACACTTCATTCCGCTCTTCTCATTGGAATTCTTCGCTCTCCGATGTCATTTTTTGATACAACACCTGTTGGTCGAATCCTCAACCGTTTTGCTAAAGAAATTGATTCGGTCGATTCAACATTACCGAATTCTTTCTCTCAAGCATTAGTCACTCTGATTGGTGTCATTGTCACAGTCTTGTTGCTCATCTACGGATCATGGCTCGCTATGATTGAGCTAATTCCACTTGCATTTCTCTTCATTTACATCCAGGTAGATGAATTTTCTTTTGAATTCTTCTTTTTTTCTAAAGCTTTTGCCTGAAAGCGCGTATACATTTCTTCATCTCGACAACTCCGCCGTCTTGATTCGGTTACACGTAGTTCAATATATGCAAATTTCGCTGAAACGATTCAAGGTTTGACTTCCATTCGAGCTTATCACATTCAACAACGTTCTATCGATCTGTTCGATAAATTCATCGATCGAAATCAATCGTGTAACTTTGCCAGTTCGGTTGCCAATCGGTAAAACGAAATCCAATTGTTTCACAAACACAGTCTTTCATGTTTATTATTAGATGGCTTGGCGTTCGTTTAGAAATGATTTCGAATCTGATTATTTTATTTACAGCAACGACATCGGTGCTTGTGCGTGGTCATTTAACAGCTGGAACGGTTGGTTTAGTGATGACTTACGCGTTACAAATTACGAATTCGTTGAATTTATTTGTCCGTACATGGAGTGAGATTGAAACGAATGTTGTTAGTGTCGAACGAATCAATGAATATGCAGAACTGAAATCCGAAGCTGCATGGGAGATTTCAGACAATAAACCGCCACCGCATTGGCCAATACGTGGAGATATTCAGTAGGATTAATTTAGAAAAGATCTTTGAAGGATTAATTCTTATTTTAGAATAAAACAATTATCAACACGATATCGAGAACAGTTAGAACTTGTGCTGAAAGATATCAATGTGAATATTGAACATGGAGAGAAGGTAAAAGATAAATTGCATGTTCGATGAATTGAAAATTATTCCAATGAAATTTAGATTGGAATTGTCGGTAGGACAGGAAGTGGAAAGAGTAGTTTATGTTTAGCATTATTACGTATTATCGAACCAACTGCCGGAACAGTCATAATTGACAATGTGGATGTTCGTTCAATTGGTTTACATGACTTACGATCGAAGGTTACGATTATTCCACAAGTCAGTTTATTCTTGGGTTTATGTTTGATTATGAAAAGAATGTTTTCATAGGATGCGATTATCTTCGCCGGCGATATTCGATTCAATATTGATCCACTTGGGCATTATAGTGATATGGAGATATGGTCAGTGTTAGAATCGGTGCATTTAAAAGAACGGATAATGAGTAGAGGTGATGGATTGACGTATATGTTGGTCGAGGGAGGTCANATTATTCCACAAGTCAGTTTATTCTTGGGTTTATGTTTGATTATGAAAAGAATGTTTTCATAGGATGCGATCATCTTCGCCGGCGATATTCGATTCAATATTGATCCACTTGGGCATTATAGTGATATGGAGATATGGTCAGTGTTAGAATCGGTGCATTTAAAAGAACGGATAATGAGTAGAGGTGATGGATTGACGTATATGTTGGTCGAGGGAGGTCAAAATATGAGGTATTTGTCAAATATTTACATGAATGTTGAATTATTTTCTTTTTGGCTTAGCGCGGGTGAAAGACAATTGTTGTGTTTAGCACGAGCGCTTTTGAGAAAGAGTAAAATATTTATACTCGATGAAGCAACTGCTGGTAATTCGACTGACTGAATTAATATTTTAGGCTTTTTTTTTTGTTCCATTTTAGCGATCGATATGGAAACCGATCGTCTGATTCAACGAACAATTCGATCAGCATTGAAAAATGCAACTGTTATAACAATTGCTCATCGACTACATACAATTTTAGACAGCTCAAAGTATATTTCGTTTTTCTTTCTACTCACTCCAACTGATTTTCTATATCTACTAAGAATTCTCGTCTTATCTGACGGTTCAATGCAAGAATATGATCAACCAATTCGTTTAGCAACAGATCCAAATTCAATATTTGCCAAACTATTGCGCGATGCAAATATTCATCCGCTCGACATCACTTCTGTTCTCACGACTACTTAGTCACGAAATATATATTCAAACAGACAAAATTTTTCGTAAAAATGTTTGCGAAATTGCGCAGCATACTCATTACATTCGAAATTTTTTTAAACGAACCACCTAACAGATTAATCATTGTAGAAATTCGATGATTTTATTTTTGTCAAACAGTAGGAAAAATAAAACGAGTTGAAAGTAAAGAATCCTATTCCCGCGTCGGATTTATTCAGACTCAATATTCCTCTGAAAGGCAGGAAGAATAAATTCATTTTACTAGCAAAACGATTAAATTTCACAAAATTAACTCGTACCATATCGCAGATTGTGGATGACGATAAATACAAATATTATCACTCGTATCAAATTCTCTCGAAGCTTTATTTATTGAATGCAATTTTTTCCATCAATCATTTGCCGACCTGCGTTTGAAAAAAGACTCGTCATTGTATAACCAATTGTACTGCCAATATGTCTTTTCTTCGACATTTTCTCTTCGCTTGCTGTGTTTTTTTAGGTTTGTTTGGTCATTCTGAAAACTCTTGAAAAAATCCCGTATTTTTTTAGCATCGTATCAATTTGCTGATGGTTTGACCTGTTACCAATGTACGAATTGCAACAGCCCATTTAAGCCCGATGGTATTGCGCAAGTGTCGTCAAATGATGCGAAGGCTTCTTGCTGGGTAAATGAGAAATCGTTGTAACATATAGAAAATTTCAATTCGATATGTTTTCTTTTTCAGAAAACTACTGCACGAAATGCTGTCACGGCACGAGGTATCGATACCGACTGCAAAGCAGGTGATGTAGCCGGTGTTGGTAAATGGTGTTGCAATACCAACCTGTGTAACGGAGCAATTTCCACAACTTCATCGATCTTTGTTATATCAACAATTGCTACTGTTGTTTTTGTCATGTTTACCTAAAACAATTAATTTTCTTCATATATCAACTATAACGCTATTATATCTAATTCCGCAAATAAAAACCGTGTGTAATTTCGATAACCGGAGATGAAAACTTTACTTCAATATATTGCTTTTTCTTCCGATGAGAGAAAAAGCATTTATTTTCCATCCACTCACATGACTATTGAAGTTTCGTAGGGAAAATGTTAGAAGTGTTATATCATGCTTTTCTATCTTCCTATGTATACCCATTGCCTTTTGCTTCTTTCTGTACAAAAAAAAACAAAATGAGCATCTTCGTGATCATGAGTTTATTGGTCTCAATACCACTGTGCCAAACAGCATCGTTCGTATGTGATAAAAATCTTGTTCCATGTGGTTGTGGACCAGTATCCGTTGGAATCAATGCACGAATTGTCAATGGTGAAAACGCGATACAAAATAGTTGGTCAATGATCGCTTCGTTAAGATACGACGCATCTATGTCCTATCACATATGCGGAGGAACCATTCTCAATGAATATCATGTTCTCACAGCAGCTCATTGTGTCGATCCATCGGTCGTTGGGATTACCTTTAAGAATATGTCTGTTGCTTTCGGACTATTTCAATTATCTCAAACAAATGGAATTATCCGTAAAATTAACCAAGTATTTATTCATCCATTGTGGAACTCAAATGCACGTTATATTGCGAATGACATTGCGATTCTTCGTTTGAATCAATCAATTAATTTAGATCGAAATTCATCGTTAACACGAACATGTCTTCCCGTGCGTTTAAACGATTCGGAAGAAATGCTCATGTACCCACCGAATAATACAGATCTAGTCGTTATCGGATGGGGTCTGCTCAATACATCAGGTAGTATCTCGGATGTTTTACAGCAAGTTACTATTAAATTAATTGACCAACGAGATAGAATTTGTGCAAGCACAACCTTTGATCCATCAAGTCAATTTTGCGCTGGTTTAGATCAAGGCGGAAAAGGTTAAACTGCTTTTTTCAATTGAATTTCGCATAACATTTTTTCCTCTTTTGAAATTTTAGGACCATGTTATGGTAAATGTTTTTTTTTCTTGATGATTTCCCAATCTATATTTTCTGTTTGCTATTTAAACAGGTGATTCAGGTGGACCGATATTTCAATGGATCGGCGATCGTTGGCAACAAGTTGGTATTGTTTCCTACGGCGAGATGGGTTGTGCAGTAAAAGGCTATCCAAGTGTCTTCACGCGAATAAATTACTTCCTTGATTGGATTCAATTCACTATTCAATTAAATAATACTAATCAAACAACTCTACCGGTTAATACAACACAGAAAACTATCTATCAATGCTGGTCGGAATATTTCGCATGTGGTTGTTCTCGTCGAAATGTTATTTTATCTTCAAATCAAAATGCTTTACCGTACAGTTGGTCAATGGTGGTCGCTATTTATATTCAGAATAAATATGTATGCACTGGAACGATCCTCGACGATTATTTTATCTTAACAACAGCGAACTGTGTGAAGAGCTCATTGCCGAGAAGTATAACCATTCATGCCGGTATTTATTATCAAACAGAAGCCGACGCAGTCATTCGACAAGTTGATCAAATTTCTATCCATCCGAACTATAATTTCAATCTTCATGATATCGCAGTTTTACGTTTATCAGAATCGTTAAACATAGAAGAGAATATTTTTCTTTCAAAAACGTGTTTGTCTTCAACAACTGATCAATTTAATTTACACTCAGTTGTCGTCAGTGGATGGAATGTGATGTTTCTATCTGAAATTTTACAACAAGTGCAACTCACTACAGTGGATAGGAATGATCCTAACTGTTCTCTTCCAATCGATCAACAACAATATCAATTTTGTGTCGGTCAAAATCTTTGTGTAGGAAGTAATTATAGTAATCCGATGTTTGTTTTTGATGGATATCATTGGATACAAGTCGGTCTTTCATCATATTGTAAAGTATCGAATACTATGGGTGTTTTTACACGATTGGACGTATATTATGACTGGATATGGTCAATTGTTGATTCACATCAACTAGAACGATCAACGGTTTATTATTGTGATAAAAGAAGTTCATGTGGTTGTGGAGAAAATGACGTCCGTGCTGAGCTGGATGCTGAAAATGCCGTTGTAAATAGTTGGTCAATGATTGTTTCAATTCGAGTTTACGATATTCATGTTTGTTCAGGAACCATCTTATCGGATTTATTTATTTTAACATCTGCTCGATGTACGGAGATACTGTTGTATTATAATGATACGAGTATTGTCACTGACATTTATCGGCTTTCTGCAAGTGTGAAAATAATCCGACGTATAAAAAAATTCTCTATTCATCCGAATTATGTTTTCAATGATGAGAATTCATTTTATGATATCGCTATTCTTCGTTTGGATCTGGCACTTCCGTTGAATAATCATTCACTATCACTGAGAAAAATATGTGTATCGAACACGACCAATGAAGACTTACAAGAAAATTCAGTTTTGTTTATGATCGGATGGGGAAGTCTGAGAAGAGAAGATGCTCTTCAGCAAGTGTCTACTAAGCTGATTAAAAGTCAAAATCAATTTTGTGGAAATATTTTTGTTAATGAGACTTATCAATTTTGTCTTAGATCTTCAGACAATAACACTGATATCTACTCGAATGATTTATGCTACGGTAAATAGGATTGGATCTAGAATAAATCTTTCTATGTATTTATATTCAGGTGATGTAGGTAGTCCAATTTTAATATATAAAAACAATCATTGGGAACAAGTATGAATCGATTTTTCAAAATGATTTTCTATTTGTATTTTCATTTAGATTGGAATTGTTCCATATAAATATTATTGTGCGTCTGTTGGATACCCAGATGTTTATCTGCGATTGTCGTCACATATCGAATGGATACAGAATGTAACGAATTCATCTTTAACAACATATACATCAATCAATTATAATAACGCAGTCGATTATTATCATCAACAGAATTTCATATTTATCCTGAGTTCTCTCTTTATTTTCTTTCTATACTTATAACATTTTCATCTTTTAACTTTATTTTGATGATAAATAATGTAGTTTCCATTCTCTGACAACTTATTCAACACCGTGAAATTATATGACGTATTCTCCTTTATTGAGTTTGAACACAGAATGAAAAACAAAACCAACTGAATTCAATGATAATCAAGATTTATTTTGTAAAGCAGAAGAAGATTTAGAATATATTTTCAACGTGAAAAACTCATACAATACTCGTTTGGAAAAAAAAATCAAACGATCAATGTGCTTGAATTAGTTGTAATATTGGCATGATCAGAATACAAACGACTAAAAAAAAGACGTGTTAGATAGAATATGAGCAGATTTTGCCATTAGACTACTCAGAATAGCATGTTTTGTGTTCGACTATCTTATACTCAATTGAAAATTTTTGTTACTCTTTCTTTTTGTTGATGGAGAATTCCTCAATAAGCAACTTACCAGCCATGGTGCCAGTTTTGATTGATGCCGATGATTTAACAGTAGTGGTCGTGATACCTGGAGTCACCTCACCCGGATTGGTTACTGGAGCAGCTACATAATTTATAAAATANATTATTCCACAAGTCAGTTTGTTCTTGGGTTTATGTTTGATTATGAAAAGAATGTTTTCATAGGATGCGATCATCTTCGCCGGCGATATTCGATTCAATATTGATCCACTTGGGCATTATAGTGATATGGAGATATGGTCAGTGTTAGAATCGGTGCATTTAAAAGAACGGATAATGAGTAGAGGTGATGGATTGACGTATATGTTGGTCGAGGGAGGTCAGAATATGAGGTATTTGTCAATCATTTACATGAATGTTGAATTATTTTCTTTTTGGTTTAGTGCGGGTGAAAGGCAATTGTTGTGTTTAGCACGAGCGCTTTTGAGAAAGAGTAAAATATTTATACTTGATGAAGCAACTGCTGGTAATTCGACTGACTGAATTAATGTTTTAGGCTTTTTTTGTTCCATTTTAGCGATCGATATGGAAACAGATCGTCTGATTCAACGAACAATTCGATCAGCATTGAAAAATGCAACTGTTATAACAATTGCTCATCGACTACATACAATTTTGGACAGCTCAAAGTATATTTCGTTTTTCTTTCTACTCACTCCGACTGATTTTCTTTATCTACTAAGAATTCTCGTCTTATCCGACGGTTCAATGCAAGAATATGATCAACCGGTTCGTTTAGCAACAGATCCCAATTCAGCATTTGCTAAACTATTACGCGATGCAAATATTCATCCGCACGACATCAGTTCTGTTCTCACGACTACTTAGTCACGAAATATATCTTCAAATAGACAAACTTTTTCGTAAAAATCTTTGCGAAATTGCGCAGCATACTCATTACATTCGAAATTTTATTAAACAAACCACCTAACAGACTGATTAATGTAGAAATTCGATCATTTTGTTTTTGTCAAACAGCAAGAAAAATAAAACGAGTTTAAAGTAAAGAATCCTATTCCCGCGTCGGATTTATCCGTATTCAATATTCCTCTGAAAGGCAAGGAGAATAAATTTACTTTACTAGCAAAACGATTGAATTTCACAAAATTAACTCATACCATATCGCAGATTGTGGATGACGATAAATACAAATATTATCACTCGTATCAAATTCTCTCGAAGCTTTATTTATTAGGTGCATTTTTTTCCATCAATCATTTGCCGACCTGCGTTTGAAAAAAGACTCGTCATTGTAGAACCAATCGTACTGCCAATATGTCTCTTCTTCGACATTTTCTCTTCACTTGCTGTGTTCTTTTAGGTTTGTTTGGTCATTCTGAAAACTCTTGAAAAAATCCCATATTTTTTTTAGCATCGTATAAATTTGCTGATGGTTTGACCTGTTACCAATGTACGAGTTGCAACAGCCCGTTTAAACCCGATGGTATTACGCAAGTGTCGTCAAATGATGCGAAGGCTTCTTGTTGGGTAAATGAGAAATCGTTGTAATATATACAAAATTTCAATTCGATATATTTTCTTGTTCAGAAAACTACTACACGAAATGTTGGTACGGCACGAGGTATCAGTACCGACTGCAAAGCAGGTGATGTAGCCGGTGTTGGTAAATGGTGTTGCAATACCAACCTGTGTAACGGAGCAATTTCCACAACTTCATCGATCTTTGTTATATCAGCAATTGCTACTGTTGTTTTCGTCATGTTTATCTAAAACAATTAGTTTTCTTCATATATCAACTATAACGCTATTATATCTAATTCCTCAAATAAAAAACATGTGTAATTTCGATAACCGGAGATGAAAACTTTACTTCAATATATTGCTTTTTCTTCCGATGAGAGGAAAAGCATTTATTTTCCATCCACTCACATGACTATTGAAGTTTCGTAGAGCAAACATTAGAAGTGTTATATCATGCTTTTCTATCTTCCTATATATACCCATTGCTTTCTGCTTCTTTCTGTACAAAGAACAAAATGAGCATCTTCGTGATCATGAGTTTGTTGGTCTCAATACCACTGTGCCAAACAGCGTTGTTCGTATGTGATAAAAATCTTGTTCCATGTGGTTGTGGACCAGTATCCGTTGGAATCAATGCACGAATTGTGAATGGTGAAAACGCGATACAAAATAGTTGGTCAATGATCGCTTCGTTAAGATACGACGCATCTATGTCCCATCACATATGCGGAGGAACCATTCTCAATGAATATCATGTTCTCACAGCAGCTCATTGTGTCGATCCGTCGGTCACTGGCATTACTTTTAAGAACATGTCTGTTGCTTTCGGACTATTTCAATTATCTCAAACAAATGGGATTATCCGTAGAATTAACCAAGTATTTATTCATCCATTGTGGAACTCAGATGCACGTTATATTGTGAATGACATTGCGATTCTTCGTTTGAATCAATCGATTAATTTAGATGGAAATTCATCGTTAACACGAACATGCCTTCCCGCGCATTTAAACAATTCGGAAGAAATGCTTATGTACCCACCGAATAATACAGACCTCGTCGTTGTCGGATGGGGTCTGCTCAATACATCAGGTAGTATTTCAGATGTTTTACAGCAAGTTACTATTAAATTAATTGACCAACGAGATAGAATTTGTGCAAGCACAACCTTTGACCCATCAAGTCAATTTTGTGCTGGTTTAGATCAAGGTGGAAAAGGTTAAACTTCTTTTTTTTTAATTGAATTTCGCATAACATTTTTTCCTCTTTTGAAATTTTAGGACCATGTTATGGTAAATGTTTTTTTTTCCTGATGATTTTCCAATCTATATTTTCTGTTTGATATTTAAACAGGTGATTCAGGTGGGCCGATATTTCAATGGATCGGCGATCGTTGGCAACAAGTTGGTATTGTTTCCTACGGCGAGATGGGTTGTGCAGTAAAAGGCTATCCAGGTGTCTTCACGCGAATAAATTACTTCCTCGATTGGATTCATTTCACTATTCAATTAAATAACACTAAGCAAACAGCTCTACCGGTTAATACAACACAGAAAACTATCTATCAATGCTGGTCGGAGTATTTCGCATGTGGTTGTTCTCGGCGAAATGTTATTTTATCTTCAAATCAAAATGCTTTACCGTACAGTTGGTCAATGGTGGTCGCTATTTATATTCAGAATAGGTATGTATGCACTGGTACGATTCTCGACGATTATTTTATTTTGACAACAGCAAACTGTGTGAAGAATTCGTTGCTGAGAAGTATAACCATTCACGCCGGTATTTATTATCAAACAGAAGCCGATGCATTCATTCGACAAGTTGATCAAATTTCTATCCATCCGAACTATAATTCAAATCTTCATGATATCGCAGTTTTACGTTTATCAGAATCGTTAAACATAGAAGAGAATATTTTTCTTTCAAAAACGTGTTTGTCTTCAACAACTGATCAATCTAATTTACGCTCAGTTGTCGTCAGTGGATGGAATGTGATGTTTCTATCTGAAATTTTACAACAAGTGCAACTCACTGCAGTGGATAGTAATGATCCTAACTGTTCCCTTCCGATCGACCAACAACAGTATCAATTTTGTGCCCTTCTAAATCTTTGTGTAGGAAGTAATTATAGTAATCCGATGTTTGTTTTTGATGGATATCATTGGATCCAAGTCGGCCTTTCGTCGTATTGTAAAGTATCGAATGCGATTGGTGTTTTTACACGATTGAACGTATATAATGACTGGATATGGTCAATTGTTGACTCACATCAACTCGAACGATCGACGGTTTATCATTGTGATAAAAGAAGTTCATGTGGTTGTGGAGAAAATGACGTCCGTGCCGAGCTGAATGCTGAAAATGCCGTTGTTAATAGTTGGCCGATGATTGTTTCAATTCGAGTTTACGATACTCATGTTTGTTCAGGGACCATCCTATCGGATTTATTCATTTTAACATCTGCTCGGTGTACGGAGATACTGTTGTACTATAATGATACAAGTATTGTTACTGGCGTTTATCGGCTTTCTGCAAGTGTGAAAATAACCCGACGCGTAAACAAAATCTCTATTCATAGGATTATGGTTTCAATGATGAGAGTTCATTTTATGATATCGCTATTATTGGTTTGGATCTGGCACTTCCGTTGAATAATCATTCATTACCACTGGGGAAAATATGTGTATCAAATACAACCAATGAAGACTTACAAGGAAATTCCGTTTTGTTCATGGTCGGATGGAGAAATCTGAGAAAAGAAGATGCTCTTCAGCAAGTGTCTACTAAGCTAGTTAAAAGTCAAGATCAATTTTGTGGAAATATTTTTGTTAATGAGACTTATCAGTTTTGTCTTAGGTCTTCAAGCAACAACACTGATATCTACTCGAATTATTTATGCTACAGTAAATAGAATTGGATCTCAAATAAATCTTTCTATGCATTTATATTCAGGTGATGTGGGTAATCCGATTTTAATATATAAAAACAATCATTGGGAACAAGTATGGATCGATTTTTCAAAATGATTATCTATTTGTGTTTTCATTTAGATTGGAATAGTTCTATATAAATATTATTGTGCGTCTGTTGGATACCCAGATGTTTATCTGCGACTGTCGTCGCATATCGAATGGATACAGAATGTAACGAATTCATCGTTAACAACATATACATCAATCAATTATAATAACGCAATCGGTTATTATCATCAACAGAATTTCATATTTATCTTGAGTTCTCTCTTTATTTTCTTTCTATACTTATAACATTTTCATCTTTTAACTTTATTTTAATGATGGAAATTTCGAGCCAATCAAATTTTCATTTTTTCAATGCGCCATCATACACAAGAAAGTTCTTGAAAATGAATCATAGATCACTAAATCCGGTCATTTCCTATCGAACATCATTCGGGTTTATTGATACCTTTCATAACGTAGTTTGAACACAGAATGAAAAATAAAAACAGCTGAATTCAATGATAATCAAGATTTATTTTGTAAAGCAGAATAAGATTTAGAATATATTTTCAACGTGAAAAACACATACGATACTCGTTTGGGAAAAAAAATCAGACGATCAACGCACTTGAATTAGTTGCAATATTGGCATGATCAGAATACACACGGCTAAAAAAAGACGTGTTAGATAGAATATGAGCAGATTTTGCCGTTAGACTACTCAGAATAGCATGTTTTGTGTTCGACTATCTTATATTCAATTGAAAATGTTTGCTACCCTCTCTTTTTGTCGATGGAGAATCTCTCAATAGGCAACTTACCAGCCATGGTGCCAGTTTTGATTGATGCCGATGATTTAACAGTAGTGGTCGTGATACCTGGAGTCACCTCACCCGGATTGGTTACTGGAGCAGCTACATAATTTATAAAATACAAAGAGTCATGATAGTATTATCCTTATAAAGCTTATGATTGAAAAACAAATGTAATTATTTCATCAAAGAAGTCATAAAAGTACGGTAGTTTTCGTCTGTAAGTCTCCGAAAAGATTCTCTACTTTAACCGACATTACGGAGCGCTAAAATTCAAGATCCATCGTCTTGTCTATATACGCAGATTTTTCCGATTGTACGGTACAATCAATTTCATTTAAAAAGCACAAAATCTCATGTATTTCAACTGTAACATGTTCAATAGAACACTAGTTTTGTGTATAGTATTGACTTACCTGTCGATGGCATGATTGATGTTATGAAAACTGTATTAGGACCATGAACTGATACCCAGAACATTCCCGTGATAGATGGTTGAACGTTCGTAACGACGAGAATGTACTTGCGTCCAGATTGAAGAGAAACACCCATGCGGGCTTCTCTATTAGCAAGGCTATTATCATCCATGCTGATCAAATTCGTCGACAGGTTTGACGGATCAAAAGAAGTATCAAACAGATAGCTCATAGTACCGATAGAAGAAGTGACACTGAAGGAGTAAGTACCACTTGTGAACACAGTGATATCCATAGCATGATAGTAGTAGCCTTTACTGTCACCATTTGGTCGATATAGTATTGGGCTAATGGGTAACAATGCGTTGAGATAATATGACAATAAAGAAGGTATAGTAGTTACTAAAAAAAAACGAAAAGAGAGATTTGTGGAAAGAGTAATAACAGGCGAATATTTGATATATAACGACTAAATAAAATCACATTCAGACATGTTTCTGTACTCTAGTCTACTTGTCAAGAAATTGTTTATGAAGAACTCACCTGTTGTTGTTGATGTCGTTGTTGGCGGTGTTATCGCTACAAGATTAACGACAGCGGGACCACCGGTGATTACTACGAAATCTCCTGTCACGTTTTCTCTATGCGTTGTGACCACTAGAATATATGGTTGACCCACTCGTAAGTAGACTTCGATACGAAACTGCAAACTGCCACCACCATCATCATTATCAGTAATCAAATTTGCTGTCGCGTTGTATGGCGAGAAGGTATTATTGTAAAAATATCCTCTGGTATCCATTGAACTATTACTTCTGAAGGTATAAGTACCAGCGGTAGATACAGTGGCTTGAAAAGTTTGAAAATAGAAACGACGTTGTGTGCTATCTCCAGGTCGAGAAAAGGGCAGACTACTCGATGAGAGTGAACCTCCAATGGACGATGGTATCGAGATCGTTGTGGGTGCTAAAATAATCCAGCTAATCACGACAAAAACATTGATGAAGAACTTACGCATCGTAATAGGTCTACTTGTTGATGGTGTGAAAGATGTAAGAGTAACGAGGGCTGGTCCGGAAGCTGAGATGGAGTACTTTCCCATAACTTGTTCCCTGTGCGTTGTGGTCACAAGGATGTATACTTTTCCGGNTTAGACTACTCAGAATAGCATGTTTTGTGTTCGACTATCTTATACTCAATTGAAAATTTTTGTTACTCTTTCTTTTTGTTGATGGAGAATTCCTCAATAAGCAACTTACCAGCCATGGTGCCAGTTTTGATTGATGCCGATGATTTAACAGTAGTGGTCGTGATACCTGGAGTCACCTCACCCGGATTGGTTACTGGAGCAGCTACATAATTTATAAAATACAAAGAGTCATGATAGTATTATCCTTATAAAGTTTATGATTGAAAAACGAATGTAATTATTTCATCAAACAAGTCATAAAAGTACAGTAACTTTCGGCTGTAAGTTTTCGAAAAGATTCTCTACTTTAAACGGCATTACGAAGGGCTAAAATTCAAGATCCATCATCTTGTCTATATACGCAGATTTTTTCGATAGTACGGTACAATCAATTTCATTTAAAAAGCACAAAATATCATGTATTTCTACTGTAACACATTCAATAGAACACTAGTTTTGTGTATAGTATTGACATACCTGTCGATGGCATGATTGATGTTATGAAAACTGTATTAGGACCATGAACTGATACCCAGAACATTCCCGTGATAGATGGTTGAACATTCGTAACGACGAGAATGTACTTGCGTCCAGATTGAAGAGAAACACCCATGCGGACTTCTCTATTAGCAAGACTATTATCATCCATACTGATCAAATTCGTCGATAGGTTTGATGGATCAAAAGAAGTATCAAACAGATAGCTCATAGTACCGATAGAAGAAGTGACACTGAATGAGTAAGTAGCACTTGTGAATACAGTGATATCCATAGCATGATAGTAGTAGCCTTTGCTGTCACCGTTTGGTCGATATAGTATTGGACTAATGGGTAACAATGCGTTGAGATAATATGACAATAAAGAAGGTATAGTAGTTACTAAAAAGAAAACGAAAAGAGAGATTTGTGGAAAAAGTAATAACAGACGAATAGTTGATATATTACGACTAAGTAAAATCACATTCAGACATGTCTCTCTACTCTATTCTACTTATCAAGGAATTGTTTATGAAGAACTCACCTGTTGTTGTCGATGTCGTTGTTGGCGGTATTATAGCTACAAGATTAACGGCAGCGGGACCACCGGTGATTACTATGAAATCTCCTGTGACGTTTTCTCTATGCGTTGTGACCACTAGAATATATGGTTGACCCACTCGTAAGTAGACTTCGATACGAAACTGCAAACTGCCACCACCATCATCATTATCAGTAATCAAATTTGCTGTCACGTTGTATGGCGAGAAGGTATTATTGTAAAAATATCCTCTGGTATCTATTGAACTATTACTTCTAAAGGTATAAGTACCAGCCGTAGATACAGTGGCTTGAAAAGTTTGAAAATAGAAACGACGTTGTGTGCTATCTCCAGGTCGAGAAAAAGTCAGACTACTGGATGACAGTGAACCTCCAATGGACGATGGTATCGAGATCGTTGTGGATGCTAAAATAATCCAGCTAATCGCAACAAAAACATTGATGAAGAACTTACGCATCGTAATAGGTCTACTTGTTGATGGTGTGAAAGATGTAAGAGTAGCGAGGGCTGGTCCGGAAGCTAAGATGGAGTACTTTCCCATAACTTGTACCCTGTGCGTTGTGGCCACAAGGATGTATACTTTTCCGGCTTGGATTTTAACTTGAATAAGAAATTGCGAACTACCGCCACTATCATCATTGTCAGCGATCAAGTTCACTGTTGCATTTGATGGATCAAATGAGTTTTCGTAAAAGTATCCTCTAGTATCGATGGAACTGTTGCTTCTGAAAAAATAAGTACCATTGATAGGTACGGTAACTTGGATAGCCTCAAAATAATAATAACTGTCGAAAATACTCTGGGGACGATAAAATATTAAACTGCTAGCTGATAGTTCACCCATAAATGAGGCTGAATAGCCGGGTGTTGACGCCTCTAAAATAAATTGACAAACGAACTGTTATGTTCATAGGAACACTACTGATGAAAGAACTTACCTGTTGTTATAGGCCGACTCGTTGGCGGTACAATCGGCGTAAGACTAGCAAACGCTGGACCGACGCCTAAGATTGTGAAATCTCCGGTGATTTGATGTCTATGTGTTGTGGCCACAAGAACGTAAGCTTTTCCAGGTTGCAAATAAACTTGAATGCGAAACTGTAAGCNATTGACAAACGAACTGTTATGTTCATAGGAACACTACTGATGAAAGAACTTACCTGTTGTTATAGGCCGACTCGTTGGCGGTACAATCGGCGTAAGACTAGCAAACGCTGGACCGACGCCTAAGATTGTGAAATCTCCGGTGATTTGATGTCTATGTGTTGTGGCCACAAGAACGTAAGCTTTTCCAGGTTGCAAATAAACTTGAATGCGAAACTGTAAGCCACTGCCACCATCATCATTATCCGCGATCAAATTTACTGTCGGATCAGATGGATCGAAAGACTTCTGATAGAAATAACCTCGTGTGTCCATTGAGCTATTGCTTGTGAATATGTAAATGCCAGGTGTAGATACCGCGACTTGCAATGCTTGAAAATAACAGAAATCATTTACGAAATTTAGAGGCCGAAAGAAAAATGGACTGTTCGGAGTTAATGCACCGGCATAAGTCGATGGTACAGGCATTGCAGTAGATGCTGCAAAACAAACGGACGGTATTCATTAGTGTTCAAGTTTCTAGATAAAAAAGATTTTGTGAGAAACTTACGCGTTACTATCGGTCGACTTGTGGATGCAGTGATTGGTATAAAACTAACCGATACTGGACCAGCTGATGTGATCGAAAAATTGCCGATCGCATGCTCTCTATGAGTAGTCATTACGAGAACATACGTGATTCCGGGTCGAAGATAAACTTGGATACGAAACTGGAATTGAGAACCGCTATCATCATCCTCGGTAATCAAATTTGCCATCGGATCAGATGGATCAAAAGAATTGATATAAAAATAACCTCTGGCATCAATATCACTTTTGCTTGTGAAAATGTAAGTGCCAGCGGTGGATGTAGTGACTTGTATCGCTTGAAAATAATAGTAATAATCAACATTACCTTCAGGTCTATCATAGACTGGACTACTAAATGTTAGCGCACTTCCATATGTTGATGTTACAGTAGGCGTAGTGGATTCTAGAAGAATAACAAATAATCGATGATGAAATCAATTAACTAATAATGCGTAAAACTTACGTATGACTATTGGCCGACTCGTTGATGCGATGATTGAACCGAGATTGATGGATACGGGTCCAACAGCTTTAACAGAGAATGTTCCTTTAGTATATCCCGAATGTGTCGTAACTACAAGAATGTAGGTTTGCCCCGCTTGAAGATAGACCTCAATGAGAAATTGGAAGTCGTCATCACCATCATCGTCATTCGTGACAAGATTCATCAATGGATTCGACGGGTCAAAAGTTGACTCGTAAAAGTAACCCACCGTGTCCATGTTGCTTACGCTTGTAAATTTATAAATACCAGCAGTAGAAATTGTAAATTGTAAAGCTTGAAAGTAGTAGTATTTATCTTTTTGACTTTCAGGTCGATAAAATACTTGACTGGTTCCCGCAAGTTCGCCTGAGTACAATGATGTTATCGTAGGCGCAGCAGTTGCTAGAAAAACATAAGAGGCAATGCGTGCAACAGTGAAAGATCGAGGTGGCAATGAACTCACATGTCGCTATCGGTTGACTTGTTGATGGAGTGATGGACACAAGACTGAGAGGACCTGGGCCGAAGGCAGATACAGAGAAACTTCCTGTAGACGAGTCCCAATGTGTTGTAACCACAAGAACATAGGTACGGCCAGATTCGAGATAAACGCGGATGCGGAATTGTAAAGGAATATCGCCGCTATCATTATCTTCCATGATCAAATTCATCGATGGATTGGATGGATCGAAAGGGGAACTGTAAAAGTAGCCGATGGTGTCAATGGTACTGTCACTTGTGAAAAAATAAGTGCCAGAAGTAGGTACGACAACCTGTATAGCTTCGAAATAGTAGGGCGAATCGTCATCACCATCGGGTCGGTGAAATACTTGGCTACTAGCTGACAGTGCACTCGAATAAGATGATGTCACAGTAGGCAGAGTAGACGCTACAAAATAAAAAGACAATTCATGTCGAAGCGGATTCTGTTCGCTAAGAAGTACATCAAAGTGATAATCAACTTACATAGTAGTATTGGTTGACTTGTTGATGGAATGATGGACATAATGCTGACTGAAGCCGGACCAAAGGTAGAAACAGAGAAACTTCCTGTCATAAATTCTTCATGTGTTGTAACCACAAGTACATAGGTTTGTCCAGCTCGCAGATATACGTCTATTTGAAATTGCTGGTCTTCACCACCGTCATCATCATCAGTGATTAAGTTCGCCGTTGGATTGGATGGATCAAAGGGTGAATTGTAAAAGTAGCCCATAGTGTCAATATTGCTACTGCTCGTAAATGTGTAAGTACCATCCAGAGACACTCCAATCTGTATAGCTTGAAAGTAGTAAAACTCATCGTCATCACCATCGGGCCGATGAAATACTTGACTACTGAACGATAATGCGCTCGAATATATAGTCGAAATATCTATAAAATCGAAACGTACATTAGGTCGGCTCTATCCTTATCGTTATAGAAATACTACTTACTGTCGACTTTGTAGAGTACATTGACTGCCGTGGGACCGGACGAGATAATCGAAAATTTGCCAGTGGCTTCCGGGATGTTGGTTGTGGCAACCAAAATATATCGGTGATCCGGATGGAGCAGAGCAGTAAGTTTGAATTGTCCTTTGCCATTGCTATCATCATCTTGTGCAATTAGATTTAAATTAGTATTCGTAGGATCGAAACTATTGTCGTAGATATAACCATAAGCGTTGGTCAGACTTTTACTTGTGAACGTATAAGTGCCCGTGACTGGAACATTTACTTCAATGGCTTGATAATGAAACTCTTTTTCCGATTGCTGCGATGTGCGAGAGAATTTTGGACTGTTCGCAGTCCAAATACTAGAGAAAATTATCTCTCCATCCTTTCCAGAGGTTTCTGTTGGTAAGGCTGTTGATTCTAAACAAACAAGATTTGAAATTATTTTCAATTTCGGCGATACTCAATGGCAAAATATTGAAAACAACAAATCAAACAAATACACTTAAGTTACAATTATCGTATCGCAACAGCGATAGGCTTTGACGATGGATGGGTTAAATCTAAGTTTAAACTAACAAAAAGTAGCTCGTGCTTCTATTCGATTCAGTCTGTCGTATGGACGTTCAGAGAAGTACTGATGCTAGTCTGACTATAATTGTTGTCAATTTGTTCGTTAAAATTCTTACCGTGTATCAAGCCAAGTAGAAGTCCACTAATCAAGACGGCAATAGCAATAGTATCGCCTAAGCACGAAATGAATGCACGAAGATTCATTCGAAAAGATTGTTTGAAAACAGGCAGTGTTGTTGGTTGTGCTAGAATCTCGACTAATTGCCTACTCTCAACAGAAGAAATGAGAAGAATNAAGCACGAAATGAATGAACGAAGATTCATTCGAAAAGATTGTTTGAAAACAGGCAGTGTTGTTGGTTGTGCTAGAATCTCGACTAATTGCCTACTCTCAACAGAAGAAATGAGAAGAATGCCGTTGGCGTTATCTGATCTTAGAGATCTTTTCATCATTACTGAAACAACCTTATGTATACTTGCTCTCTTTTTGTATTTGTTTATAGGGTTTGATAAAGATAAGAGGATGAATGCAATGTTTAGAATAGTTTGTATCACAATGTTGCCACGCGGCAAGATAACACAAACTGGCAAACAACACTTTAATGTAACTTAAAGGTAGATTTCAATTGCAAAGTCCAAATAAACATAAACTTGCGTGATTACAGTGCGCTAGAGAACAATTTATTCTTGAGGATGTGAAGATAAAAATGAGTCAGGATTTCATTCACATAATTGATCTTTTAAACATTAATCGAAGGATTTCCGGATTCCAACGTGTATTTATTAACAAATAGATTTCGATTGAATTGCAAGAACTGATGAGTAGAAGGTCGTTTCGAAAAACATAGTACTGATGTTGTTTTTTTCCATTGAATGCGAATTTCTGCTTCGTAATCCAGTTCGAATTAATATGATATTTAAATCAATGTGATAAGTAAAAAGGCGGCTGACCTTTTTCGTGAAATTCATGTCATAATGTATCAGAATAGAGGATGACAATAACAATAGTGAAAAGTTAAGCTATGAATGGAGTCGATGTTATACTGAGTTTAAGACTGCTTCGTTATTTGATATATGCATGGATCTTTTGCGCTAGAACTTTATTTTCAGATGAAATGAACTGGGTATCTTATAGTTAAGTAGTTTTCTTTTCCATATTTTGTATATTAAATCTCTCTCGTCGGTACCGTATCGCCGAGTTTGGACACATTGACTATTAGTTATTCGAAAATTCTTAGTGACTTCTTAAACATCCGATTTTTGAATCTGAATCATTTGGTATCCTCTTGTCGTTGTTTTACAGTGTCGTAATTAACAGGTATCACTTTTCGCAAAACGATCCGTTAGAAGGTCAATTAAATGATGGTTCTGGCAATACTAACCAAACCATTGACTGATTATTAGAGAGGAAAATGATGAAAAATTAGATCCATTAAAAAAGAGACAGGCATAACGTGTATTTTACCTTCCTATTTTGAGCTTCTTCTGAATTAGCACAAACATTCGAGCAAAAGTCGAACGTATTCGATACAGATTTCCTTTCTTATATAGTTTTGAGTCAACAATTATTTTTCTAATATGTTCGCTCGTGGTTTATCAGAACTTGCAGTCTCAAGAAGCTCCAAAATGATATACTTCTATTTGTTTTTCTTCTATGGGCTTCACGGGTTTTTAACGCTCGAAAATATCGAAAAAGGAAGTATAATTTATTTTTTTATTATCGTCAATACAAAGAACGAAAGATAAGGCATACCTTGGATTTTCCTCTCATTACGAAGAAACCACTATTTTTTCACACACATACTATTCCCTTGAAAGTACACGTAACGATGAATAAGAACGGTACAACTGGTCCTATACCGATATACCATCAAAATGCTAATCCATTATTATACACCCTTGACCAGGATCATATGAACATTCAACCATATTGGATAATGGTTTTACAAATAGTCGGACTACAGTTATTTTCTCGAACGCGACATCTTATTAGATACGGAGTCTTTTCGACAACGTTGGAAATTGGTCTTCTGCGTTGGACAATATTACGTCAGCTTTATACAATAAAAGTAGTCTTTGAAAAATTCGATGATCTTCTCGTAAACGTTGTACACCATCGTGAATTTGTTCGAGAAGAATTTAAGCGAGAAATAGAGCATATTAGGGGTCGTACACATCAAGCCAACGAGAAGTTCTTTAAAAAAATAGATTTCAATATGTTTGATTACATTATTCATGGTCTCCCTACACTTGGTCATGCTATTTGGTATTGTCACATTCAATCATCATGTATGTCAGCGGAACGGGCAACTCCGTGGAATTGTTACAATGCATTTGGATATAGATTATTCAACTATGTATTTGTATCCTATTGGAATTTTTCCTTCGTTTTTGGCGTACAATTGATAGCATTCATATGCAAAGACGTCCATAAACTTAATTTACGGAAAAAAAAACCAAAATCAATCATAAAATACGTCTCCTATATTATTACTATAGGACTGTATCTCATTACATGGGCGTTTGTTGGTGCTTTAATATTACCATATATGTTCACACATATTGTACCAATGGCATTTGCATATGGGTTTATGGTTGTGATCTACTTTTGTCTTTGGGGTGCTGTCTTATTTTCCACACAGATCTTAGCAGAACTACCTAAATTTACTCATATCGTATTCTATTTTTTTCTTCCGAGTCCTCTTTTAGACACATTTTATGCAATGTCAGCTGCTATGTATTCGACTGCACTCTTCATCAATACATTTCCCATCTTACTTACCGTGTTTTACAATTATTCACAATATTTATATTATGGTGAAAATTTCATTTATACAATGTCAAATGAGTTCAATTCTCGAGATACTGAAACATATTTTGCCATATTTAGAAATTCAGTTAATGAAAAGCTTCACAGTCTTTTGGATTTTGTTTAGAATTTCAGTATTTGTTTATATCGACTAATTCCAACAAAAGTATCAGTTTCCTTGAATTCATTCAATAAACATTCTTTTTACGTATCAAAATAACAAGACCCTGATTGGTTTCATTTCACGTACTGCGACATCAAGTGACGGCGCTTGCTTATCATAACAAGGTAGACTTGAGTAATAGAAAGAAATAAAAATAGTGATTACCTGTCATATCACTTCCTTTTCGCATCACGTTGTTTACTTTAGCATATTGATTGACATGAAATAATATAATATTTATTATTTGCGTGTTTATTCGTTTAATACGTATGAAAAAAACATTCTCGACAGGGACTCAGTACGACGACCTTGATTTGAGCAAAGTTCTCTGCATGGAGGATTTCACATTGGTATTTTACTTTCGTATCAAGAGAATTGTTATCAATCGTATTTGATGTTTCAATGCACAGAAAGGGCGGATGAAAGAGTTTAAGCTATTGAGTCTTACTCAAACTGTCTTGATATTACGAAATATTTTGTAACTGTAAAATAACATCGACGACGCGACAGATGCAGCGAAGAAGAATTTGAAAATGCGCATCTATTTTTCTTCCTTTTCTGTCAAAGACGAGCACCATAAATATACTAGCACGTGTCAAGTGGTTGCATCGATCATGCGCATATTGTTTTTCTCTTCTAGATGGCAGAGTTTGATACCAAATCACAACGTATGTTAAACTCACTGGAATCGGGTATCAATTCGCTCACTATTGTACGTACTGCATTGTGTTCGTGATCATACGAAGCAAAACAGATTTATAATTAGTTTTGATTAAACGTATCAGAGGTTATATTCTATTCTAGACCGATGAAGAAACTTCAGCATCGAAGCTAGAAGCAACTGGAAGGTATCGTGTTCTGCGTTTATTATCAACACGATCGAAACCTATCGATCGATTACCAATAGAGAATGAAAAAGTAGGTATTGTTCTCGATGTGGAAACAACAGGTCTTAATTCACAAACCGACGATGTGATCGAACTCGGAATGATCAAGTTTATCTATAGAGATTGTGGAGAGATTTCTGATGTCATCGGTATATTTGAGGAACTGAATGAACCTCGTCAGCCTGTCCCTGATTTTATTACGAAACTTACAAAAATTACAAATGAAATGTTGAGAGGAAAGAAGATTTGTATTGCGGCTGTAAACGAATTTATTGTCAATGCTGATCTCATCATTGCTCACAATGCAGCCTTTGATCGACCGTTTTGCGAAAACTTATCCGACGAATTTTCAAGAAAAAAATGGGCATGTAGTATGAATGAAGTCAAGTGGTCTGATCATGGATTCGAAAGTCTCAAATTAAAATATCTTCTTGTTGACCTTGGATATTTCTATGGAACTCATCGTGCACTCGATGATACTTATGCAGTACTTAAACTTTTATCAACTCAACTCCCTGACAAACAAGAAACTGGTCTTGCACAGCTACTCGAGTTCTCCAACAGGACAACTGTCCTTATTAGAGCAATTCAGTTTCCTTACAAATACAAAGATAACTTGAAACAACGTGGATACAAATGGTGCGAAAACAATGAAAATGAAAAGTTCTGGTGGACGGAAGTTTCATTAGATAAAAAGGACGATGAACTTAGATTTCTCAAGCAAGACAAATTCAACTATAAAGTTGAACCGAAATTAACGACCATATCAGCATTAGAAAGATACAAATCTTGGCAAAAACTTCCGTAATAGAATAACAGAGAGCTTCACAGGTGAAAAATTTTATTTTGAATATCAGTCTCAATATATGTATTTTCATAATAAATAAATGTGTTTCGAAATATATACAACATAATAAGCATAAATTGATTAGAAAGTGCGTAATTTAAACTGTTTAATAGTGAAACACTATCGTCAATAAATGAATGCTAATTTCCTATAGATATATATATAGAACTAATACATTCAATCAAAAACCGAATCTATTACGAACAAAATTGATATTTAAGTGATAATGCGCTCATCTATTTCAATTTGAGTGATTGTCTCTATTATCAATTTATTTTGATACGTGTCTTCTTTCTAGCAAATGATAAGTTACAGATGACATGTTCTTTGTTTTTCTCTTGATCAGATGTATGACAAGCATCATTCGCATATGAAAATGAAACGCTTACTCAACAAATATATTCCATTGACGAATGTTCAGTATCTCTCGCGAGTTAACTTTAATATGGATTTCGATACAAAAATTGTTTCTGTTGATCCAATTACACAAAATAAAGTTGTACTAACTGAGAAATAGAATAATTGTTGCAAAAGATTGTTTCAATAAATAAAATAAATGTGTCCTGTAATGAAGACTAAGTGACGTCATAGTCTGCGCTTAGAAAATGTTAGTTAACTTGAGATAATCAGGATCAGAAGATATACCGAAACAGTCTCACATTAGAACTGACGTCATTTTTTATAATGATTGAAAACTTATGCATTGTTCTAAATTTATAGAAGAAATACGACTAGTGTTTATGTGTGTTTGACGTTACAGTTTAAAATATTTTGTCGAATGTTGCGCATACAATTTCTTCCAACGTGTGGAAAAGATTTATGGTCCAATGTATTGATGTGCGATACTGTAAAATATGTATAGGCAACAAAATACTTAAGATAAATGCTTAATTTTCCTCACAAGTACATAGACACACAGGACTAAATTCATATTCATACGATCAAAAAACTTGTTCGTTTTTTATTTAATTCGAGTTTTGTTTTTCATTTAATAGTCTGAAAAATGATAAAAGACAATCGCTGGTGGATGAAAACACTCACGGCACACTTCACGAATGGATTGATGTCAACTAAACTATTCACATCTTTTAAAATAGCTTGCAGAAATCAACTCCGCACAATCCTTATAAGGAATGGAAAGCATAGAAAACAACATCTACGCTTCATAAAGTATAATGACTTTCCTTTCTTTCTTATTTACCTTTCAACATGCGTACGCGATTATTATTTTTCTTCGTTGAAGAAACATTCGAATCCGCGCGGCTAATAATATGACATTCATGGCTGAATTATCGTTCTCAAGAGGAATACAGCTACTCATTCTATTGCTAATCATTGTTTCGTGTATATCTGCAGCACAATACACTATGAACAGTAATAGTAGAATGAATTTGAATTCTAATCTGACACGTTTTTGGTAAGTTAAATGAAGAGATCAATAAAGAAAAGGTATTCACTGGGTTTTTTCCTACTAAAATAAATACATCGCTTTTTTGCTCTTCATATGACATCATTACTAGAAAAAGTAATACATGTATTGATTCTTTTGAATAAACAAACAATTTATCTTACCATCCGTCATCATCGAAACTATGTTTTTCTTCTAGAAGAAGTTATTCCACAAAAATAACATTATCAAACCAAGAAACATGGAGAATGTAGTACTCCTGTGGTATCATAATTCAGCAGATAATGACATTCCATCGACATTAATCGTAAATCAGATTCAAGAACGGTAAGATCGATAAAAATTTGTTTTTCTTCTGAACTTACTTGAAAGTTAAGTTGAATCATTGAACGGATAAGTTTTCCTTTATTCAAACGTCTCAAGTATCGAAAGTAACACAGGATCAGATATTATAAGTGAGTGCGCCGTTGTCTAAACTTGTAGAGCGACATAGACGCAAAGTGATATTCGAATCAATGTCAACTATTGAAGATTTTGAAAAATGTTCAGATCTTTTACACAGGAACATTGCATACTTACAGTTCAACGATTTACAACTATGCACAAACTACGTGGATTCCATTCCAAAGAAGAAAATCTTTTTAGTACTATGGATCTCAATATCATCGACTGAAACATTATCTTCTCTACATAAATATCGACAAATTGATTCTGTTTTCATGTTTGCAGAAGATTTATCAAACGATAGATCGTTCGCCGAAAATTTATTAGATAAATACGCTAAAATTATTGGAATTTACACAAACGAGATCGAGTTATTCAAAGCTATTAATGAAAACATCGATTTAACTTTGAAACAAGATCTGTCACTCTCATTTTATAATCAACATCAAAAGTCAACGCGTGAACTCTCAAAAGAATCAGCATTATTTCTTTGGTTTCAACTATTTAAAGGTAATCCAATAAACATTGCCCGCTTCTGCGAAAAGAACTACGTACTCTAGTCGAAATACACTAACCAATAATGTTTCTACATTATAGTTTTTGAATGTCATTACGAAAAATAAGTTTTCAGTTGTAAATTATGTCGAGTATTTATAAACACATTTAGTTTAGAGAAGATTTCCATAGCAACACGAGGAATAGTTAACATGCGATTGGAAGGAATTTGTTACCAAAATTATTGATGCGCAGATAGCGATCAAATTCAACTTTTCACACTTTTTCGTTTCTTTAAACCAGATGTTCTTCTTCACCTACCACAAAATGATAAAAATGCAAAGCAGCAATTGGTTAATTATTTGAAACAATGTTATCATAATAATAATAAACAATTAAAGTTAATTGATGAGTTTGATTCACTCTATAAAGCTGAAGATGCAATCAAATGGTACACTGGTCAACCATTTCTCTATAAAAATTTGAATAAAGCATTACGCACTGAAGATATTGAACAATTATATTTATTTCGATTCTTCATAACTGATTTATGCACAGTATTGCACGAAGAGTACACGTACTTGAAAGAATTTGAACCATGTATTACACTTTATCGTGGAGCGTCGATGTCCAATGATGAACTNCGAAGAAAATTCATAGCAAGCAAGCTTATACAATACTCGAAAAGTTGTTTCCGAACGGACATCGATGCGTTGCGCATTGTTTGCAGGAGATGGGTTGTGTTTACAAAAGAATCGAATCTTACCACACGGCAATGGAATGTTTCGAGAATGCCTTAAGAATTCGACAAAATCTACTTCCAGATAATCATCTCGAGATCCAACAGACGCATATGATCATCAACGACCTTGTCTCTCTGATATTATATCCACGCAACAAATGCTGTCTCTAGTAACAACGAACAACTAATAAACTATTTAAACAAACTGTTTGTTTTATTCTGTTACTAACATTCCATTCTACTCGAAATAACCGTTATGATTAAACGCGAACTATGTTGCCTAACGGCCTTTGTTCACTAAATTCCTATCCCTTTAGATTCGATGTTTATGGCAACAGTTAATGATATACAAGAAAACAACCAATACTCATATCTTTTCTTTTTGCTAAGTTTCGTTTCTATCAGATCAAAAGAACTGACAATTTTGGAATGTTATTTGTCCTACTCATTGAAAAGTTCTGACTCGATTGTTCCTGACTTTTGTAGTTTGAACAACAATTGTGACTTGTGCTATATTAACATAAAAAAATCATCGTTTCGTTCCAGTTTTTCCCGTCCTGAGTTAGTCGGAATCAAATTACAGAGGTAAAAACTCCACATTTTATCCTAAAAATAGTAAAAAAAACCGTGAAAGAGAAGTATTTTATTTTCAAGACATGATTCTCTCTTCCGTCTTCTTCCCATGAAAACAAATAAAGGCAGAGAAAAGATTTTGTATGGAAATGTTTATTTCTTGAATACTATTACCATAGAAGAATTCGTCAGAATGTTGTTCAATAACAAATCCCATTTATGGATATTATTCTTAATGATTGAACGAAGTCTGGATAAATAGTTAAACTGTTTTGAATATATTTTTAGCATTGAACGTCTTTAATTTTAGCTATATCGTATAATCAACCGAAATTCTATTCGAATGCAACATGGAATCCAAATGGTACAACTGTTGCTAATATCACTATGATTGGTTCATATTCTTCTGATATTTTCGTTAGTTCAAAAAATCAAATATATGTTTTGAATCAAGATGACCATCAAATTNATTGACAAACGAACTGTTATGTTCATAGGAACACTACTGATGAAAGAACTTACCTGTTGTTATAGGCCGACTCGTTGGCGGTACAATCGGCGTAAGACTAGCAAACGCTGGACCGACGCCTAAGATTGTGAAATCTCCGGTGATTTGATGTCTATGTGTTGTGGCCACAAGAACGTAAGCTTTTCCAGGTTGCAAATAAACTTGAATGCGAAACTGTAAGCTACCACCACCATCATCATTATCCGCGATCAAATTTACTGTCGGATCAGATGGATCGAAAGACTTCTGATAGAAATAACCTCGTGTGTCCATTGAGCTATTGCTTCTGAATATGTAAATGCCAGGCGTAGATACCGCAACTTGCAATGCTTGAAAATAAAAGAAATCATTTACAAGATTTAGAGGCCGAAAGAAAAATGGACTGTTCGGAGTTAATGCACCGGCATAAGTCGATGGTACAGGCATTGCAGTTGATGCTGCAAAACAAATGGATGGTATTCATTAGTGTTCAAGTTTCTAGATAAAAAGATTTTGTGAGAAACTTACGCGTTAGTATCGGTCGACTTGTAGATGCAGTGATTGACATAAAAGTAACCAATGCTGGACCAACTGATTTGATCGAAAAGTTGCCGATCGCATGCTCTCTATGAGTAGTCATTACGAGAACATACGTGATTTCGGGTCGAAGATAAACTTGGATACGAAACTGGAATTGGAAATCGCTATCATCATCCTCGGTAATCAAATTTGCCATTGGATCAGATGGATCGAAAGAATTGATATAAAAATAACCTCTGGCGTCAATATCACTTTTGCTTGTGAAAATGTAAGTGCCAGCAGTGGATGTAGTGACTTTTATCGCTTGAAAATAATAGTAATAATCAACATTACCTTCAGGTCTATCATAGACTGGACTAGTAAATGTTAACGCACTTCCATATGTTGATATTATAGTAGGCGTAGTGGATTCTAGAAGAATAAAAAGCAATCGCTGATGAAATTAATTAACTAATAGTGCGTAAAACTTACGTATGACTATTGGTCGACTCGTTGATGCGATGATTGAACCGATATTGATGGACACGGGTCCAACAGCTTTAACAGAGAAGCTTCCTTTAGTATATCCCGAATGTGTTGTAACTACAAGAATGTAGGTTTGCCCAGCTTGGAGATAGACCTCAATGAGAAATTGGAAGTCGTCACCACCGTCATCGTCATTCGTGACAAGATTCATCAATGGATTCGACGGGTCAAAAGTTGACTCGTAAAAGTAACCCACCGTATCCATATCGCTTACGCTTGTAAATTTATAAATACCAGCAGTAGAAACTGTAAATTGTAAGGCTTGAAAGTAATAGTATTTATCTTTTTGACTTTCAGGTCGATAAAATACTTGACTGGTCCCCGCAAGTTCGCCTGAGTACAATGATGTTACCGTAGGCGCAGCAGTTGCTAGAAAAATATAAGAGCCAATACGTGCAACAGTGAAAGATCGAGATGGCAATGAACTCACATGTCGCTATCGGTTGACTTGTTGATGGAGTGATGGACACAAGATTGAGAGGGCCTGGACCGAAGGCAGATACAGAGAAGCTTCCTGTAGACGAGTCCCAATGTGTTGTAACCGCGAGAACATAGGTACGTCCAGATTCGAGATAAACGCGGATGCGGAATTGTAACGGAATATCACCGCTGTCATCATCTTCCATGATCAAATTCATCAATGGATTGGACGGATCGAAAGGGGAACTGTAAAAGTAGCCGATGGTGTCAATGACACTGTTACTTGTGAAAAAATAAGTGCCAGAAGTAGGTACGACAACCTGTATAGCTTCGAAATAGTAGGGCGCATCGTCATCACCATCGGGTCGATGAAATACTTGACTACTAGCTGACAGTGCACTCGAATAAGATGATGTCACAGTAGGCAGAGTAGACGCTAAAACATAAAAAGACAATTCATGTCGAAGGGGATTCTGTTCGCTAAGAAGTAGATCAAAGTGATAATCAACTTACATAATACTATTGGTTGACTTGTTGATGGAATGATGGACATAATGCTGACTGAAGCCGGACCAAAGGTAGAAACAGAGAAACTTCCTGTCATAAATTCTTCTTGTGTTGTAACCACAAGTACATAAGCTTGTCCAGCTCGTAGATATACGTCTATTTGAAATTGCTGGTCGTCACCACTGTCATCATCATCAGTGATTAAGTTCGCCGTTGGATTGGATGGATCAAAGGGTGAATTGTAAAAGTAGCCCATAGTGTCAACATTGCTACCGCTCGTAAATGTGTAAGTACCATCCACAGACACTCCAATCTGTATAGCTTGAAAGTAGTAAAACTCATCGTCATCACCATCGGGCCGATGAAACACTTGACTACTGAACGATAATGCGCTCGAATATATAGTCGAAATATCTATCAAATCGAAACATACATTAGGTCAGTTCCATCCTTATCCTTATACTTACTGTCGACTTTGTAGAGTACATTGACCGCAGTGGGACCGGACGACATAATCGAAAATTTGCCAGTGGCTTCCGGGGTGTTGGTTGTGGCAACCAAAATATATCGGTGATCCGGATGGAGCAGAGCAGTAAGTTTGAATTGTCCTTTGCCATTGCTATCATCATCTTGTGCAATTAGATTTAAATTAGTATTCGCAGGATCGAAACTATTGTCGTAGATATAACCATAAGCGTTGGTCAAACTTTTACTTGTGAACGTATAAGTGCCCGTGACTGGAACATTAACTTCAATGGCTTGATAATGAAACTCTTTTTCCGACTCCAACGATGTGCGAGAGAATTTTGGGCTATTCGCAGTCCAAATACTAGAGAAAATTATTTCTCCATCCTTTCCAGAGGTTTCTATTGGTAAGGCTGTTGATTCTAAACAAACAAGATTTGAAATTATTTTCAAATTCGGCGATACTCAATGGCAAAAAACTAAAAACAACAAATCAAACAAATACACTCAAGTTACAATTATTAACTTAGGGCAGTATTCACATCGCTTTATCTGAATACGAAAACCTTAATCCATCTTCAAAGTCATATTTTCAGACCGGGATAGTAAATCATCGTTACCTTTAACATTCGGACACTTCACAATTATCGCATTACAATAGCAATAGACTTTGACGATAGATGAGTTAAATCTAAGTTTAAACTAACAAAAAGTAGCTCGTGCTTCTATTCGATTCAGTCTGGCGTATGGACGTTCAGACGAATACTGATGCTAGTATGACTATAATTATTGTCGATTTGTTCGTTAAAATTCTTACCGTGTATCAAGCCAAATAGAAGTCCACTAATCAAGACGGCAATACCAATAGTATCGCGCAAGCACGAAACGAATGAACGAAGATTCATTCGAAAAGATTGTTTGAAAACAGGCAGTGTTGTTGGTTGTGCTAGAATCTCGACTAATTGCCTACTCTCAACAGAAGAAATGAGAAGAATGCCGTTGGCGTTATCTGATCTCAGAGATCTTTTCATCATTACTGAAACAACCCTATGTATACTTGCTCTCTTTTTGTATTTGTTTATGGCGTTTGATAAAGATAAGAGGATGAATACAATGTTTAGAATAGCTTGTATCACAATGTTGCCACGCGGTAAGATAACACAAACTGGCAAACAACACTTTAATGTAACTTAAAGGTAGATTTCAATTGCAAAGTCCAGATAAACATAAACTTGTGTGATTATAACGCACTAGAGAGCAATTTATTCTTGAGGATGTGAAGATAAAAATGAGTCAGAATTTCGCGCACACAGTTGATCTTTTAAACAACAATCGCATGATTTCCAGAATTCAACATGGATTTATTAAAGAATAGATTTCAGTTGAATTGTACGAACTGATGAATACAAGGTCGTTTCGAAACACATAGTGTTGATGTTGTTATAGCTAGAGAGGAGATTTTCCGTTGAATGTCAATTTCTGCTTCTTAATCCAGTTTGAATTAATATGCTATTTAAATCAGAGTGATAAGTAAAAAGGCGGTTGATTTTTTGCTTGAAATTCATGTCATAATGTATCAGAATAGAGGATGAATAACAATAGTGAAAAGCTAGGCTATGAATGGAATCGATGTTATACTGAGTTTAAGACTGCTTCGTTATTTGACATATGCATGGATCTTTTGGGTTAGAACTTTATTTTCAAATGAAATGAACTGAGTATCTTTAGTTAAGTAGTTTCATCTTCCAAATATTGTATATTGAATCTCTCTCGTCGGTACCGTATCGCCGAGGTTGGACACATTGACTATTAGTTATTCACAAATTCTTAGTGACTTCTTGAACATCCGATTTTTGAATCCAAATCGTTTGATATCCTCTTGTCGTTGTTTTACAGTATCGTAATAACAGGTATCACTTTTCGCAAAACGATTCATTAGAAGATATTGTAGAGAGAAAAATGATGAAAAGTCAGATCCGTTAAAAAAGAAACAGGCATAACGTGTGTTATACCGTCTTCTAAATTAGCACAAACATTCGAGCAAAAGTAGATGATATTCGAAACGGATTTCCTCTCTTACATAGTTTTGAGTCAACAACTATTTTTCTAATATGTTTGCTCGTGGGTTATCAGAACTTACAGTCTCAAGAAACTCCAAAACAACATACTTCTATTTGTTTTTTTTTTCTATGGACTTTACGGGTGTTTTACGCACAAAAATATCGAAAAAGGAAGTATAATTTATTTTTTTATTATCGCCAATATAAAGAACGAAAGATAGGGCATACCTTGGCTTTTCCTCTCATTACGAAGAAACCACTGTTTTTTTCACATACATACTATTCCCTTGGAAGCACACGTAACGATGAATAAGAACGGTACAAGTGGTCCTATACCGATATATCATCAAAATGCTAATCCATTATTATACACCCTTGACCAGGATCATATGAACATTCAACCATATTGGATAATGATTCTACAAATAGCCGCATTTCAGTTATTTTCTCGATTTCGGCATCTTATCAAATATAGAGTGTTTTCAACCACATTGGAAATTGGTCTGTTACGTTGGGCGATATTAAAGCAGCTTAAGACAGTAAAACCACTTGTCGAAAAATTCGATGTTTTTTTCGGAAACGCCCTACATAACCCTGGACTCATTCGAGCAGAATTGATTAACGAAATGGAGCGCATTAAAAGAAATACTCACAAAACGAATGAAAGGTTCTATAGGAAAATTGATTTCAATATTATTGATTATATTTTCCATGGTCTTCCTGTACTTGGTCATGCTATTTGGTATTGTATCATTCAATCATCATGTATGTCAGCAGAACGGGCAACTCCATGGAATTGTTACAATGCATTTGGGTATCGACTATTCAATTATGTATTTGTATCCTATTGGAATTTTTCCTCCGTTTTTTACGTACAATTGATGGCATTTGTGCTCAAAGACGTCCATAAACTTAATTTACCAAAAAAAAAACCAAAATCAATCATAAAATACGTTATCTATACTATTACTATAGGACTGTATTTCATTACATGGGCGTTTGCTGGTGCTTTGTTATTGCCATATATGATCACTCATGTTATACCAATGGCATTTGCATATGGATTTATGGTTGTGATCTACATTTGTCTTTGGGTTGCATTCTTATGTTTCTCACAGATTTTAGCAGCACTACCTAAAATGACTCGTATAATATTCTATATCTTTCTGCCGAGATCTCTCGAAAGCGCATTCTATCCGATTTCAGCTTTTTTGTATTCGCTTGCACTCTTCAGCTATACATTTCCAATTTTACTTACGGTGTTCTATAATTATTCGCAATATTTATATTATGGTGAAAATTTCATTTATACAATGTCAAATGAGTTCAATTCTCGAGATACTGAAACATATTTTGCCATATTTAGAAATTCAGTAAATGAAAAACTTCACAGTCTTTTGGATTTTGTTTAGAATTTCAAGTGTTTTTTTGTATCGACTAATTCAAACAAAATCATTAGTTTGGTTTAATTCATTCAATAAATATTCTTTTTACGTATCAAAATAAGAAGACTCTGGGTTTAATTTCACGTACTGCGACATTAAGTAATGACGCTTGTTTTTCATAACAAGGTAGACTAGAGTAATACAAAGAAATAAAAATAGCGATTACCTGTCATATCACTTCCTTTTTCGCATCACGTTGTTTACTTCAACATATTGATTGACATGAAATAATGTAATGTTTATTATTTGCGTGTTTATTCGTTAGATACGCATGAAGACCTTGGTTTAATCAAAGTGTCCTGCGTGGAGGATTTCACATTGACATTCTATTTTCATATCAAGAGAATTGTTATCAATTAGATTTGATGTTTCAATGTACAGAAAGGGCGGATGAAAGAGTTTAACCTATTGAGTCTTACTCAAACTGTCTTGATATTACGAAATATTTTGTAACTGTAAAATAATATCGACGACACGACAGATGTATCAGAGAAAAAATTGAAAATGTGCATCTATTTTTCTTCCTTTTCTGTCAAAGACGAGCACCATAAGTATACTAGTACGTGTAAAGTGGTTGCATCGATCATGCGCATATTGTTTTTCTCTTCTAGATGGCAGAGTTTGTTACCAAGTCACAACGTATGTTAAACTCACTGGAATCGGGTATCAATTCGCTCACTATTGTACGTACTGCATTGTGTTCGTGATCATACGAAGCAAAACAGATTTATAATTAGTTTTAATTAAACGTATCAGAGGTTATATTCTATTCTAGACCGATGAAGAAACTTCAGCATTGAAGCTAGAAGCAACTGGAAAGTATCGTGTTCTGCGTTTGTTATCAACACCATTGAAATGTATAGATCGATTACCAACAGAGAATGAAAAAGTGGGTATTGTTCTCGATGTGGAAACAACAGGTCTTAATTCACAAATCGACGATGTGATCGAACTTGGAATGATCAAGTTTATCTATAAAGATTGTGGAGATATTTCTGATATCATTGGCATATTTGACGAACTGAATGAACCTCGTCAGCCTGTCCCTGAATTTATTACGAAACTTACAAAAATTACAAATGAAATGTTGAAAGGAAAGAAGATTTGTATTGCAACTGTAAACGAATTTATCGGCAATGCTGATCTCATCATTGCTCACAATGCAGCCTTTGATCGACCCTTTTGCGAAAACTTATCAGACGAATTTTCAAGAAAAAGATGGGCATGTAGTATGAATGAAATCAAATGGTTTGATTATGGATTTGAAAGTCTCAAATTAAAATATCTTCTTGTTGAACTTGGATATTTCTATCAAAGTCATCGTGCACTCAATGATACTTATGCAGTACTTAAACTTTTATCAACTCAACTCCCTGACAAACAAGAAACTGGTCTTGCACATCTACTCGAGTTCTCCAACAGGACAACTGTCCTTATTAGAGCAATTCAGTTTCCTTACAAATACAAAGATAACTTGAAACAACGTGGATACAAATGGTGCGAAAACAATAAAAATGAAAAGTTCTGGTGGACGGAAGTTTCATTAGATAAAAAGGATGATGAACTTAGATTTCTCAAGGAAGACAAATTCAATTATAGAGTTGAACCGAAATTAACGACCATTTCAGCATTAGAAAGATACAAATCTTGGCAAAAACTTCTGTAATAGAACAACAAAGAGCTTCACAGGTGAAAAATTTTATTTTGAATATCAGTCCCAATATATGTATTTTCATAATAAATAAATGTGTTTCGAAATATATATAAAATAAAAAGCATAAAATGATTAGAAAGTTCGTAATTTAAACTGTCCAATAGTGATACACTATCATCAATAAATGAATGCTAATTTGCTATAGATATATATAGAACTAATACATTCAATCAAAAACCGAATCTATTACGAACAACGTTGATATTTAAGTGATAATACGCTCATTCACTCCCGCATCACAGAACTGCATGATTTCAATTCGAGTGATTGTCTCTATTATCAATTCATTTTGATACGTGTCTTCTTTATAGCAAATGATAAAGCTATAGATGACATGTTCTTTGTTTTTCCTCTTGATCAGATGTTTGACCAAGCATCATTCGCATACGAAGATGAAACGTTTACTCAACAAATATATACCATTGACGAATGTGTAGTATCTCTCGCGAATTAACTTTAATATGGATTTCAATACAAAAATTGTTTCTATTGATCCAACTACACAAAATAAAGTTGTATTTATTAGCACGAGTTATAGTTTCTTTTTCATACAAAACATAATCCGCGTTTTCCTTTATTTCCAAATTGCTAACAGAGAAATAAAATAATTGTCGCAAAAGATCGTTTCAGTAGATAAAACAGAAGTATCCTGCAGTGAATACCAAGTGACATAAATCTGCTTAGCAAGTGTTAGTTAACTTGATATAATCAAGATCAACAGATATAATGAAAGAGTATCACATTAGAACTGACATCTTTTTTTATAATGATTGAAAACTTATGCACTGTTCTAAATTTATAGAAGAAATAGGACTATAGTGTTTATATATGTTTGACGTGGTAGTTTAAAATATTTCATCGAATGTTGCACATACAATGTCTTTCAACGTGTGGAAAAGATTTATAGTTCAATGTTTTGATGTGCGATACTGTCAAATATGTAGGTAACAAAATACTTACGATAAATTATACATTCTTAATTTTCTTCATAAGTACATAGATACACAGGACTAAATTCATAATCATACGATCAAAAAACATGTTCGTTTTTTATTTAATTCGAGGTTTTTTTTCATTTAATAGTCTGAAAAGTGATAAAAGACAATCGCTGCTGGATGAAAACGCTCACGACACACTTCACGAATGGATTGATGTCAACTAAAATATTCACATCTTTTAAAATAGCTTGCAGAAACCAAGTCCGCACAATCCTTAGAAGGAAGGGAAAGCATAGAAAACGACATCTACGCTTCATAAAGTATAATGACTTTGCTTTCTTTCTTATTTACCTTTCAACATGCGTATGCGATTATGATTTTTCTTCGTTGAAGAAACATTCGAATCCGCGCGGCTAATAATATGACATTGATGGTTGAATTATCATTTTCAAAAGGAATACAGCTACTCACTTTATCGCTAATCATTGTTTCTTGTATATCTATAACACAATACACTATGAATAGTAATCATAGAATGAATTTGAATTCTAATCTGACACATTTTTGGTAAGTTAAATGAAGAAATTAATAGAGAAAAAATATTCACTCGGTTTTTTCCTACTAAAGTAAATACGTCGCTTTTGTGTTCTTCATATGACATCATTACTAGAGAAAGTAATACATGTATTGATTCTTTTGAATAAACAAATAATTTATCTTACCATCCGTCATCATCGAAATTATGTTTTTCTTCTAGAAGAAATTGTTCCACAAAAATAACATTATCAAACCAAGACACATGGAGAATGTAGTACTTCTATGGTATCATAATTCAGCAGATAGTGACATTCTATCGGCATTAATCGTAAATCAGATTCAAGAACGGTAAGATCGAGAAAAAAGTAGTTTTTCTTTTGAATTTGAAAGTTAAGTTGAATCATTGAACGAATAAGTTTTCCTTTATTCAAACATATCAAGTATTAAACGAATCATTTCTCCATATTCCTCCCATCGAAAGTAACATAGGATAAGATATTATGAATTGAATGCGCCGTTGTCTAAACTCGTAGAGCGACATAGACACAAAGTGATATTCGAATAAATGTCAACTATTGAAGTTTTCGAAAAATTTCCAGATCTTTTACATAGGAACATTGCATACTTACAGTTCAACGATTTACAACTATGCACAGACTACGTGGATTCTATTCCAAAGAAGAAAATCTTTTTAGTATTATGGATATCAATATCATCAACGGAAACATTATCTTCTCTACATAAATATCGACAAATTGATTCTATTTTCATGTTTACAGAAGATTTGTCATACGACAAATTGTTCACCGAAAATTTATTGGATAAATACGCTAAAATTATTGGAATTTATACAAATGAAATCGAGTTATTCAAAGCTATTAATGAAAACATCGATTTAACTTTGAAACAAGATCTGTCGCTCTCATTTTATAATCAACATCAAAAGTCGACGCGTGAACTTTCAAAAGAATCAGCATTATTTCTTTGGTTTCAACTATTTAAAGGTAATCCAATAAACATTGCCCGATTCTGCGAAAAGAACTACGTAGATCCAACCGAGTTGTGACACAGAACAATCCGTTTGTAGCTTTAATCTACGCCCTCTAGTCAAAATACACTAACCAATAATGTTTCTACATTATAGTTTTTAATGTCATTACGAAAAATAAGTTTTCAGTTGTAAATGATGTCGAGTATTTCTAAACACATTTAGTTTAGAGAAGATTCCCATAGCAGCACGAGGAATAGTTAAGGTGCGATTGGAAGGAATTTGTTACTAAAACTATTGATGTGCAGATAGCGATCAAATCCAATTTTTTACACTTTCTCGTTTCTTTAATACAGATGTTCTTCTTCACCTACCACAAAATGATAAAAATGCCAAGCAACAATTGGTTAATTATTTGAAACAATGTTATCATAATAATAATAAACAATTAAAGTTAATTGATGAGTTTGATTCTCTCTATAAAGCTGAAGATGCAATCAAATGGTACACTGGTCAACCATTTCTCTATAAAAATTTGAATAAAGCATTACGCACTGAAGATATTGAACAATTATATTTATTTCGATTCTTCATAACTGATTTATGCACAGTATTGCACGAAGAGTACACGTATTTGAAAGAATTTGAGCCATGTATTACACTTTATCGTGGAGCGTCGATGTCCAATGATGAACTGGAAAAATTAAGACAGAATGTTGGACAATTGATATCAACAAATGGTTTCCTGTCTACTAGTCAAATAAAAGAAGTTGCGCTTGCTTTTGCTTCTTCTGGTAAATCGCCGAAGAAACATCGAGTTCTCTTCGAAATCAAATGTGATTTAGCATTGACAGAAACGACAGTTTTAGCACCTGTATCGCAGTATAGTTTGATCCCTGACGAACAAGAAGTTTTATTTGACACTGGTGCAGTGTTTGAAATCATTTCAATCACAACCGACGAAAAAAACGAGTAAGAATTAGACGAGCGCGAGATGTCTAATGTATGTATTGATCATCTTTTTCTACAGAGATACCACGCGAAACGAAGAATCAACCTTATCAATCATCTCAATGAAGGCGACAGATGAAGGTAGTCAAATTGCCAAAGACTATATAAACGCAAATCTTATGCTGTTAAACGGTAGAAGTTCTCAAGTCATGTTTGGTATCCTACTCGCTGACATGGGTCTTTACGATCAAAGTATTAAATATTTCGAGCGTCTTGTTGCTGACCGTGACTTACTAACTCACTTACCGGATGATGTTATAGCACGAGCTTATAATGAAATTGGTAATGCATTAGACATACAAGGAAAATATCGCCAAGCATTGGAATTTTATTTACGAGCATATGATATGACTTTCAACGAAGACAAGCTGAACGATGAAAATCTTCTAAATGCTGCAACACCAATAGCAAATATAGCGTATGTGTTCAAGAATTTAGGATACTTTGAAAAGTCGCTTAAGTTTTTTCTGCAAGCACTGGAAATTGTAGATGCCTATTGTGGTGATACCCATCATCAGACGGCAGCAATTCTCGACAATATAGGGAGTGTTTACCGTGATATTGGAGACATGATTAGTTGTTTGGAATATTTTCAAAAAGCATACGAAATATATACGAAAGTTCTACCAGAAAATCATCTTGACATTGCTCGAGTGTTGAATAATATTGGAGTCGCATACATGAACCTTGGTAAGCTTGATCTTGCTATGAATTTTCTTCGACAAGGTTTAAATATGCGTCTAAAATTACTACCAACGGAACATCTTGACATAGCGATTAGTTTGATGAATATCGGAGGAGTTTTACATAACAGATACTATATTCAAGATTCACTTGATCATTACAAGCAAGCTTATACAATACTCGAAAAGTTGTTTCCGAACGGACATCGATGCGTTGCGCATTGTTTGCAGGAGATGGGTTACGTTTACAAAAGAATCGAATCTTACCACACGGCAATGGAATGTTTCGAGAATGCCTTAAGAATTCGACAAAATCTACTTCCAGATAATCATCCCGAGATCCTACAGACCCATATGATCATCGACGACCTTGTCTCTCTGATATTATATCCACGTAACAAATGCTGTCTAAAGTAACAACAAACAACTAATAAACTCTTTCAACAAACTGTTGGTTTTATTCTGTTACTAATATTCCATTCTACTTGAAATAACCGTTATAATTAAACGCGAGCTATGTCTAATGGCCTTTGTTCACTAAAGTCCTTTTCCTTTAGGTTCGATATTTATGGTAACAGTTAATGATATACAAGAAAACAACCAATACTCATATCTTTTCTTTTTGCTAAGTTTCATTTCTATCAGATCCAAAGAATTGACAATTTTGGAATATTATTTGTCCTACTTATTGGAAAATCCTGACTCGATTGTTCCTGACTTTTGTAGTTTGAACAACAATTGTGACTTGCGCTATATTGACATAAAAAATCATCGTTTCGCTCCAGTTTTTCCCGTCCTAAGTTAGTCGGAATCAGATTACAGAGGTAAAAACTTCACATTTTATCCTAAAAATAGTAAAAAAAACCGTGAAAGAGAAGTATTTTATTTTTAAGACATGATTCTCTCTTCCGTCTTCTTCCCATGAAAACAAATAAAGGAAGAGAAAAGTTTTTGTATGGAAATGTTTATTTCTTGAATACTATTACCATAGGAGACTTCGTTAGAATGTTGTTCAATAACAAATCCCATTTATGGATATTATTCTTAATGGTTGAACGAAGTCTGGATAAATAGTTAAACTGTTTTGAATATATTTTTAGCATTGAACGTCTTTAATTTTAGCTATATCGTATAATCAACCGAAATTCCATTCGAATGCAACATGGAATCCAAATGGTACAACTGTTGCTAATATCACTACGATTGGTTCATATCCTTCTGATATTTTCGTTAATTCAAAAAATCAAATATATGTTTTTAATCAAGATGACCATCAAATTATCACCTGGTCGGATGGAAATCTCACATCCACAAGAAACATTTCTGCTGATCTAACGAATTCATCGAGTTTATTTGTAACAACAGCAGATGAGATTTATATCGACACATTTTATTCAATCGGCGGTGTTAGTAAAATCATATTCAATTTAACACAGCCTATTCCATGGATGAATTTTTGTCAACAATGTTGGGATCTATTTGTTGATTTAAGAAATACACTTTATTGTTTAATGAGTGAACGTCATCAAATTATTGCAAAATCTCTATCGAATGATTACAGTCATTTGAGAATCGTGGCTGGAACAGGAGCTGCTGGTTCAACATTGACAACACTTCGATATCCTCGTGGAGTATTTGTTCATACTACTCTGGATTTATATGTCGCAGATTGTGGCAATCATCGAATTCTATTATTTTATTTCGAAAGATTAACTGCTGAAGCAATCGTTGGAAATGGATCGTTGAATATCACAATAGCATTAAGCTGTCCCACAAGTCTAATCTTAGATGCTGATGCTAATTTATATATTGTCGATTCTAATAATCATCGTATTGTTGTTCAAGGATTAAACGGTTCGAAATGTTTAATTGGATGCTCTGGTTCGTCGGGTTTTGCATCAAATCAATTAAATTCTCCATGGAGTCTTAGTTTCGATAGTTACGGAAATCTCTTTGTTACAGATCGAGGAAATCATCGAATTCAAAAATTTGATCTCATGTACAACTCAAGAAGTAAGTCAAACGAAACTTAAATTTTGTATTATGTACTATTCGTTTATTTTTAGTCGTTACAAGTTCTTTGATCACGCTTTATAGTAGTTCCACAACAAGCTGTGGTTGTCCTTTTCGATTATTTATGAATACTAGCTCGTTTAATCAAACCAACGCTACATATCAATGGCAATCGTCACCAGCGGGTCAATATATCTGGTCGAATATTAACATATCTTATTCAATCTCAGTCTTATATCTAAGTAGTCAATTATATTCAACTGATTATCGATGTCAAATTGTGATTGTATATCCAAGTCCAATGAATTTTATATCAAATACTGTGACAGTGTTGACCGAAGTGAATGATACATATTGTCCAACGAAAGTAGTCGATTGTGCCTGCTGTGGAGATGATATAAATAATTTCGTCTTGATTGGTGAATTAGGTACTCAAATTCATGATTTAAACACATCATGTGCAACGAATAGTTATGACAATCGAACTCAAGAATCAGTTAGCTTGTTTGAAAATAGGAATTATACAGGGCAAATGTCTACAAATTTTTTGACTGATGAACAATTCGCCATATGGATTGATTTCAACGATGATTTTCAATTTGAATCATGGGAACAAGTAACCTATCATGTATTGAATGCGACATTTTATGCAAACTTCACCATGATCATTCCACCTAGTAGTTCGGGAGCTACGATAGGTGTCCATCGAATGCGAGCAACACTGGCCTTTGCGGCTATGCCAAATCCATGTGGTGCATCCAGTATCTATGGTGAAACACATGATTATACAGTGAACATTTTACAGCTTGCAGGTAAGACAAACTACTTTCCGACAGCTTTAAGATTTTTTGTGAACAAGTGTTCGCCTCTCAAGATTGGACAGACACGAAAATGCAAACTAATATTCTAATTTACGTATTTTAGGTTAGCAAAACACGCTGGCTACATAATGATGGAAACTATCGCTCGGTTCGAACACTATATTGGGTTTCGCTTTTGTGTTTGTGATATTTAATAAATTTCGAATATTTTTATCTCGTAAAACCAAGAAAAACTACTAATTGTCTTGTCTGAACGAAATCGTGAAAGAATAATGTAAAAAATGAGAACTTGTTCAATTGATCGTAAGAATGTGGCACGTGTGTTCGTGAAGACAGTTTGAACATAATTCACAACTAATCTTGTTTAATGTAGCAATAAAAGAATGGAAAACATGAATGTGAGTCTCTTGTATCAGGGGATGTAATGAAACCTCCAGCTACCGACTATATCGTAAGCTGAATCCACTAATCGAACGATTGGTCTGATGTACGATCAAGACTCACGTCGTGGAACCTACCTGAGGTGACTGGATCCCGCGGGATCCTTCCGGAACCGTGGCCTTTTCCCGCATCTTCCCGCCGTTTCCGAGCAAGGATTCCACCGGAACCCGCCGCAAAACGATACGGAATATGGAAGCAGTATTCCCACCGGAAATCACCCGTACCGGAACCGAACAAAACCTTAAAAATCCGGCCGCCGTAAAAAAACGCGACAGTCCCGTATCCCACAATGAAATGATCGGAAACACAACGGATCCCGCCGGAAACGAGTCGACCTGAGCCGTATCCCGGCGGGATATCACCGTATCCAACAATTCTAAATCAAATGCAATGCCAATAAAGATCTTCAGGAGATTTTTCGCACACAAACACGTTCTATCAAATCATCTGATTTCCCTTGGATCTACATGCATTTCAATGACATTTTCCTGGATTTCACCCAGATTTCATCAGGATTTCGCCTGGATTTCAATGACATTTTCCTTGATTCCGTCGAGATTTCACTAGATTTTATTAGGATTTCGCCTGGATTTACATGGATTTCAATGACATTTTTCTTGATTCCGTCGACATTTCACTGGATTTCATCAGGATTTCGCCTGGATTTACATGGATTTCAATGATATTTTTCTTGATTTCGTCGAGATTTCACAGGATTTCATCAGGATTTCGCCTGGATTTACAGGGTCGGAAAGAATATTATTCAAGGGGGGTAACGATATAATCCCGAGTCGGAGGTATGATGAATTTTATACCAAATGAAAGTCCATGAAAAACGGGGTTTAGTGATGCTAAACACAAAGGCTTTAAAAAAACTTTCATATATCAAACTCTTTAAAAGACTACGTTTTGTTGAAAAAAAATCATTATAGCTCATNCCTTGGTTTCATGGAATAAGACACCTGGCTCACTACTTTTGGATTACCCTAAGTATTACTCCTGATATGCTGAAATCATCTCAGACGAGATCTTAGCCTGACCCATGACCACAATAGTAAGTCATACTGTCATCTTACGCAGAGGTCCTGCCATTTCTCACATTTCTACAACACACGCATATGGATGAGAGCATTTTCACATCAGTAATGCCGACCTTCATAGATTCCCTATTCCCATACACAAACAAATAAACGTACGACACAGCATTCTCCATATATACTCAGCGAACCACACGCAAACCAATGGAGGATTCAAAATCGAAAAGGAATCCACAACAAATCCTATACATATGTGCTGGTGACTAACAAGTGGAGGATTGGTACCGCGGTTGTAGCGGAAAAGGTTTTGTGCTTGGTAGGAATCAGAGAATGGGAAAGCAGGGGTGAATATATATTCTTTAGTGTTCGTAGAAACACAGGTGATGAGGAATGGACCAAAAGAATCTTTCACATCGTTTTGAGGTTGCATTGTGTCAGACTACTAATGGAAAATTCTACGAATAGGCCTGTATAAGGGGAAGTGTTCATGTGGTGAATTAGATTGAATTCTACGAATTTGAATGTGATAGAATAGTCAATATCGAGTAGATATGGGCGGCAGTGCATTGCGAAGCTATGTGTACTGCGTGCATTGATTGTCACAGTGGAGGATTTGGTATGTAGACTGTCGATGCCTGTTTTTGTATGATTGTTAATATCTCCTGGATTTATGGAATACTCATTGGCTCGCGTTTTTCAGTTTCAACGGGAATGGTCGTTAAGGTAATGTGGATTATTTGGAGCTATTTTTTGCGAAAAGCCTTCAATGGGCCAAATCACTTCGTGAGCCGTGCGACTAATAAAATGGATTTTTCAGGAATACTAACGAGTACAAAATAGAGTTAATGAATACAGGGATTGTTTGTGAGACAACGTAGTTATGGCCGTTTTCTTGATGAAATATATCCGAGGAATGTGAGGCGTCATTATCGAAAGGAATCACGTATAAACTTGTAATGAAATCTCTTGGTACAAGTATTATAAAGGTCATTGACATCCTGAAAAAAATTGCGCAACATACACGAGTGTATCTTCCAAAAGTTGTCAGGTTTTCCCAGGAATGTCGTCCCATTCTGATGCAACTTTGATGATTTGCAGAGGTTTGAGTGGTGGTAACTTTGGCGATAAAAATTTTGCCGGTAGAAATGGAAATATTTCACTTTACCAAATACGGATGATAGCAATAGAAGCGCAGATAATTTTAAAATGATGGAACTATATTTTAGAGACAGTGTACATGAAATACAATTAAGAAAAACTAATTCATCATGTCTGGAATGTTTGCTCTGCTTGATAATAAAACCGAAGAAACAGCAGGCTAGATGTTAGCTTTTCCTTACAATCCAAACACTCCTGCCCACTAGACGTTGATAGGCGGAACGGAAGGTAACGGGGGAAAAGCTGATGATCTGTATCAGTTCCGTTAGTGTGTGCGTGGTTGTCCTGCTTCGGAGTTGGGGGGATGAATGACGTGATTCGAGGTCTTCGTGATAACGTTTATTGATAACGACGAGAGAAGAAAACGACTTATGTCGATCACAGTTCAAAGACAACTGCCTGTATCTGATGTTACAAGTTCAAAGAGCGGTCAGACAGACGGCATAGAGAGAAACCAGAGGGAAAGACAAAAGAGATCTATATATTATGGCATCGAACCGCACATAGGACACGTAGATCTGAACAAGAAGAAAGAAAGAAAGAAAAAAAAGGTAGCGATAACAATGTACTATCTGTTATCTCTAATACTGGGGCATGTTAGAAGGCATAAGCAGGTCTAGTAAACTACGGCTTCAGAATATCTCGCTCAGGCCACTTTTGATGGAAACCCCGAAATATCTCCCAAATCCATCTTAGAATGAATCGGTTTTTCAAAGTTCAGAATATTCTGTTGCAGATTTTCATGAGGATTTAGGTTTGACCCAGTTTTCATAGAGAAAAATCAAGTTTCTGTGAAAGTGACCGTACAACATTGGTAGTATTTTTACTATCTACCATGGAAGATAAAAATAAAATTTCAGTTATATACTAACAGAATGCTCAGCATCAAGAACTTGAGGAACGCTGAAGATCTTATCAGAATCGGAGTATGCGACCGGACAGGCTGACGATTTTCCCCGGATACAGCGATATACTAATTTTATCGGATTTCTGAGATTTTCAAAATTCCGGCTCCAACGACCGGATCCTATCGGAATATCTTGGTAATCCGACAGTCAGATTGGTTGACCTGGGTAGTGAGAAAATATCATTTCAAACGACAATTTATTGTTTACTTTGCCATCCGCTGGTCTCCACATTTAGTACCATTTCTATTCAATTTATCAAAATATTTCTTTTATAGCGCAGATTTCCTGGGCGCATTGAATCGAGAAGCGTCATCCAGAAGTATCGTCGCTTATTTCGAACGAGTAACAAACTCACCGCAAATTGTTCATACCATACTAACGGCAATCTAATCGACAAAATATCCAGACTGAGATTATTTTTCCATGGTGTTTCACCGTGTAGATTTTTTGAAGAGTTCTCTAGTGTGAATTTGTAAGCGTAGATTATCATCATTAATAAATATGAAATCTAACAATTAAGTTGT